TCAGGAGATACAAATGTTGCAAATAAATCAGATAAAACAGTGCATTCATGCAAGTCATGCTCTCCTGCATAAAAACAAGACATGTTGTTCAAGTACTTTAACCAATCTAAAATGCTACATGCCTGTGGCATTTACTTCATGTGGAATTTTCTATGGGTTTTTGAGATGAAGATCAAAAACAAGTTATTCTGAGAAATATGACAATCCAAGTGAGACTCCAATACAGAAAACAAGGTGATGTCCAGGAATTTTGGTTGTTTTGATTGACTGGTCAATGTTATGATCTACTTAATCAGTTGTTTTAAATACACTGGATTCAACAGCAGTGAAGAAATCTCGACACTCCCATGTAACCGACAAATTACAATTTACAAACATTTTCACTGATTTCGGACTATTTACGATAGTCCAAACTTCAAAAGTACAAATCAAAGCAGACATTTCAAAGACTTTCTAACAAACATTGACCTTGCTCATGCACCCAAAAATAACAATACACAGATTGAGGAACCTGATACAGTTACATTAGAGGATGACTCTAACTTGCATGCTATGGTACAAGCTCTCAGACTGTGTTCTATTCACACACAGCCACTTGGCCGCCATACACGGAGTTAAACACAGTACAGTTATTCCCAGCCTATTCAAGCCTTTCAGGCTAAAACCAGTAAATTATAGAGGCCTGATGCTCCATTGCATTCCCTTAGACTCCTTTCTATAGGAAATACCCCAAGTGGAACAAAATCAAAATAACTATTTTTCTAACTGCTACTATGGTAAACATATATTAGTGGTTTGAAAAGCCACTGAATGGAGTGAATTTGATATCAACAATGTTATTGTCCTAGTGTTAGTGTTGTGTCCTCTAATAGAACTTTTCAAGTAGCTAGGATACTCTAGATAATGACAGATTTCAGCTGAATCCTCGGCAGGAATCTAACCTCAATCGAAAATCAAAAATCAGTAGGTTTGTACATTGTATAGGGTTCAGAACTTTCTTTTGTGATTCACAACTTCAAATGCTAAAAATTTAGTAGCCATTTTTACATAGCAGAGTCCATCCAAGGACAAGGATTCGAAAATGGGTCAGTTTGAATAAAAATTTAAACAAGTGTATGATTGGTGATAGCGTCCTATGTGTTCTGAAAGTTCCTAGGGGGGCTCAATTATCTGTGAAATAGAATAATCACTGGCCATGTTAGACTTACATTAGTTTTTTCATTAGGTCTCACATGCAATGTTGTTAAAATGTCACTCTGAACCACAAAACTCACACAGCATCTCCTCTGGCTACCTACCTACTCCAGTCACACACATATACAGTATGTACAAGTATTTAACCAGTACATATGGGATCAAAATAAAATCAATGTTTGTGTAACTGTTAACTAAATCTATAAACTCGTATATTCTCAAAAAGTGAAAAATATAACTCCTGCATTTTTGATTAAGTTAAGAGGAAGCTATCTCTGATACTATCGTAAAATAATTTTAAATATGAAACATTCAGTTATCTGATAAAATGTTCAAGCCATTTATAATATTTTTATTTAAATAACACTACATTTTTTAATATGTTATCAATCAATCCAATCTGATCTTGAAATTTCCAATTTGCCAAATGACCAAACAGACATTAGTAAATAAATCAGATAAGTAAATGTATTTAAATATTTTTCCAGTATGTGCATCACAAAAATGTCACATTTGATTTTTATCTGTGATTGGTAAGTGACTATAAATTTAAAATCAAAACCCTACAATTATCAAAGTTTCCGATCACAGCTGTGAAATTGACTGTCACCCCCCAAAATATGTCCAGAAATAGGAAAATTGTGCCGCAGCAAAGAAATTCAAAGGTTTCAGAGAAATCAAGCAAAGTGGGCAAATACCATCTTGATCCATCAAGGGATTTCATTGACTGAAGGAATACATTGGTTTAACAGTATGGGCAAAGACAACACTGAAGAATTTTGGACAGGAAACATAGTATATCTTTGTTATATCTCTGTTATGGCTCTGGATTGTTTGACAATGGTAGATGGCCTGAAACTGACCCTTCTTTATCTCCTTAAGTATTTACTCACTACTTGTTATATTTAACCTGTACACATGTAGGGTGTAAAACCTTAAGTAATTCTGTATATAAACACATCGTGAACTTACTTTCTTGATTTATGTGTCAAATAAGAATTTAAATATCCAGTATAAAAATCATTTTTTGAATTTTTTCATTTTTTATCTATCACGTTCAGTGATCTCCCCACGATATTTTCTCAACTGGGTGCAAATTCCTCATTCTATCTGTTTCTGGTGAAAATATCCCAATATATCACACTTTTGGCAGGGTGCAGAGAGATTGTCAACTGAGGGCAGGTAATTTTCAAATTTTCAACTGGGTACTGTGCCCAGTTGCTCTAATACTGGGAAGATCACTGACTTACATATCAAAGCTAATTCAAAGCCAGAAATGACAAACCTGTGCTCAAAGCTGTCAAAAAATCACCATAAAACCGTGAAACGATGATACAAAAATAAAAAGTTCAATTGAGTATATTCTGAAGTGCTGTGCCAATGAAAGTGAGAGCCATAGGATACCCATAGGGCCAGTTGATGGACATGTGTTTTGACACGAACCCAAAATATATTACATAGGAATATGAGCAATGGTTGTAATGATACATCATAATGGGTACGTTTCCTAATTGGCTCCTCTGGTCAAAATAACACAATTACAATGTCACATCATCTTTCAAATCGATGCACATTTTTTGATAAAATTCAAAATTTTTGGGACTTTCCCAATAAAGAGCAAAGGAGGAGTAAATGTTAACAAACAATCAAGTGCTACTTTGTATATGAAGACTAGAATCATCCAACTGATACAATGGACGTTTCAAAAATATTCAGCCATTTTGATTAAAAAAAATGTTTTTTAAAGCATATTTTACGATTTGAGATTTTCTTTAACATTAGATCCATTGATGCAGTATGAAAATTGTATTCACTCATTCAGTAAAAATAGACATACCCTTAAGGCTGAAAACTCACCAGGCAAAAAGAAAGTCATTAGGCACATTAAATTAGAATGAAGCGATTTTAACTACAGTCTGAACCACAGTGCAAGTACAGTGATAATTACATGGCGAGATTTGTTGGTTTGAAAATGGAGTCATTTCTGAATGCAGTGACTGCACACCAACAATACATAGCATAACTCTCACTGTGCAACAATGGTATAAGATAACATAGCATTGTAACTGCCCAGATACGGGATACCCCAAACCAATTTGTAGTTTCAGTAGAAAATGCAGTGAAAAGGAGAGAAATAGAATATCGAAAAATATAAACAGCCACAAAGTTCATAACCTGATGTATCGCAATATGCTACGATATTAGACCCTAAAAGGTACTTCCTCGAGGAAATCAGATGTCATTTCACCGATGAAAATTTTGGAAAGGTTATTTTAACTGGGCAATTATTGAGCTGGCCATTTTCTAGGATACCCAAGATTTGCGTGTGGACCCACATGGTGAGCTCCATGTTATCTTAAAAGCCCAATATGACTTAAGTGGCCCATAGCATGAAATCAGTCTGGTCTCAATGCCCCATAGTTTAAGCCTTCCACCCTGTGTGATCACAGCACTCTCAATAGCTTGCAGGTGTCCAGGAAAGACTACCTCCAAGGTTTCTACCTGTCCACTTTAGAAAAATTACAGGTAAATGTAGGTTGCCTTGAAAATTACAGGTATACAGGTATGACTACATAACGAACTTCACAATGACTTCTAAATTCCAAGTACAGCACACACAAGCTTCTATTATTTGAACTGCTTTCAAAACTGAAGTCCATAGCACTAGTAATCGCATCATTTGCTTCAACATTATCACTTGACAAGAGAAATTCTCAGCCTTATGTAGGCCTGTTGAGCGAATGTACTGACCTATCATCGCTGACAGGTTCAACATGGTAGATGACACCCTCACGGAACCTTTATACAGGTTAAACCTGACCTCTACTAATACTGACAGTACGCATCAGTCAAACAGGTAAAAAGCAAGGTTTTTACTTTATGGTTGCCCGGGAGATACTCATTGTAATAGTAACAGGCCACCTTTTCAATTTTCTCAACTCAAATGGGCAATTAAACCCATGCAGCCATGAGGAGGTTGAAAAGTGCTATACAGCTTGGTTTTATGTCCCTATTATGTGTCATCAGTAGCTTTAGTCCAAATGGCAACTTTATGGGCTTTCAAATTGAAATTCTGTTCATCAGAAACAGCTACTCTAATCACTTAATGGCTATACTGAGGGCCTCTATCATCATAGATTAGGTCAATCATCTGGGTTTATTTCACTCTACTGCAACAAACGTCACTACCAACTTCATGTACAATGTTAAGTCCATCTCATGTCCTTGTTATAGCGCCTCAGATCTGAGCTTTGAGATTTTGACTCCTATTTCATGCATCTAGTCATTTTGAAATGCTCTACTTAGGGTTTAAATTTGACTTAGATTTGAGCTAAAATGGAGCTAATTTTGAGACCTAAAACTTGAAGTATATATCCAGATTTTAATGATATTTTTCTTCAAAAGAATTGTATATTTATTAAGTGTTGGTTTAAATGCCTTAAGATATGACTACTCTCGTTGAGAAAAACATAGAAATTCATGGCAAGGTTTGAGCCTTATAGTAGCTGTTTGTAATTTGTATGTTGTGTTATGTAGTGCCTGTTCTTTTGTAGCTTTTTGTACTTTGGGTTTTGTAGCTGATTTTACTTGAAGCAATGGTTGTGCATGGTACAATTTATGTTTTTGTTTTGTAGCAATGGTTGTGTTTTGTAGCAATGGTTGTGTTTTGGAGCAATGGTTGTGTTTTGAAGCAATGGTTGTGATTGAAAAATGTGACCCTTCCTGATATTTTTTGTAGATCATGTATGATTATCAATTCAATTAATGCTCCCATGTTGGGAAACCATATAATAAATGCTCCTTACCTGTGCTGTAGGGGTTGTGACATCATCCTCGCTGATTGATGATTTACCCATGTGGGTAGGATTCGCACCATCCCTGTCATCAATGACCAGATCAATAGGCATCTTTCCTTTCAAGCAGCTTATGTAACGGTGGCAGAAATTATCACATAATTCATGCACCTGGAGAGAAAAGGGTTAAAATCATTAGAAAATATCATATTGTTTTTTGAGATGAAAGAGTTAAAATGGAACATTTTTTTAACTCAGGAAGGAAAGGGTTAATGATTCAAACCAACTTTGTTGTTGATATATTTTCTTGATTAACAAGTTAATGCTTTTAAAATGTTCTTAACTATTTTCTACCTCTGACTTCATGATTGCTCTTTTCATAGGTTATTATTGTGCAGTTGCGTCTTGATTTAGCATGGGATAAACTTAATCTATAAGCAGATTTTGATTTAGTCACATATGGTTATAAGCTCAGGTAAACGGGATTTTAAAGTCAACGAGTAGTTTTGTTTTGATTATAGTCACAAAGCTGATCAGCTGATTCAGTTATAGCAATAAACCTTTCAGGTCTCGGTGAGAATTTAGATATTTATATTTAAGATAGTATTTTGTAATTAAATGTGACAGATTCAAGAAGTTTGTATGAAATGACTGGAACAACATATGACTTATGGATCTGAACCTCTCTTTGGGTAACTTAATTTCTCGCATCAGTCTCCTCCAAATGCTTTTTATTTCTATTGATATTAAAAAGCAAAAGCGTATTGTTTCACACAAGTCTCTGATACCACCACGGAAAAACATCAGACATATACGCTATAAATAGCTCACTATTAATCATCGATATACATGATTAAATACATACTATAAATTATAAGTATTGTTTGCACAATGTATTGTTTCACAGTGTAATATTTGATTCATATTGCTTGTGTTAGGTTATGATATATTTAGAATTCTATGCTGGGTTTCTCATAAATTTACCATGAGAAAAATATCTATATAATGGTAATGGGGACACCTTTGTATTAGCAAAGTACATCAATCCAAGAATGCTTGACTTTTATTTTATATATTTTGTGTATTTTGGTCAGATTTATCGCTCTCTTGGTTTTAAAGCCAAGAGAATTGGGTGTTTTCCAGGAGTTCATTTACAATAGATATCATTTAATAGAAAATATATGAAATTCAATCTTTGAATTTGGTGCCGTAGTGCCTTGTGGGCATGCAGACTAATAGTTATTTAATCCTAATTATATTAAATGATTTGCTTATCCCTTAATTGCCAAGTATACAGTTACATACTGAGCTAAAAACCACAATACAATTTATGCATATTACTTCAGTAGTGCATTCTCGCATTGCACCGAATATTGCGAACATAAATGAAGTTATAATATATGATGGGAGTATATCACAAGATATTTTTTATCTAGCCATGAAGCCTCTACTTATCTTGTCAATTCTATTTTTTGTTTTTTAAAGATAAATCTCAGATTGATGCGACTAAAATATGCAATATTCATGATTATCTCTTTAAAACAACGACTCAAAAATTTTCAACAGATATCCTTATCTAGGTATACACAATATAATCTCATTAATGAGAGACAGCTAGAAGGGTCAAGCATTATTGACAGACAACTTTTTAAAGTTTGATTAAAGAGAAGCATACATGTACTATGACACCATCTTGAGTAAATCTATACTTTAATTAATAGAGTTGGTCGGAATAAATTGATAAATTTTCACATTTTCCCTATAAAATCAGTTCAATGCAAACAAAGTGTTTGTTAAATCCCATTGAAGTGTTTTACATTTGTTTAATTGACGATTCATGTTTCGAATGATTTATTGAGGATTTCTATTGTGAACTATAGTATCAGTTTGTAAATATAATATCTAGATACATAGGGACTGTATATAGAGGAAGATGGCACAAAGGGCTAATTCACAACATCTTAGTACATATTGAGCACTGCAGTTTGTCTGAAGGTAAAACTTTCTTTCAAAAATTTATTCAATTTTGCATTTCCCTTTCAAATATTACAGTGCTCATAATTGTAAACATGAAAATACAAGAACTAGCAATTCAACTGAAGAGAAATATTTTTACCCTCTAAATATATACAAAATATGTTTATCAATGAGTGGATTTAAATGCTAACTGAGAAAATGAGTGAAATTGCCATGAAAAGTAAATAATTTTAATGGGTATATACTAACCTTCTCTAGCTCAAGCAAATGGAAACGTAAAACTTGAATGGCTTGAATCATCTGAAAAAAAGAAAATTATTCTTTAAGAAATATCCTCAAAAGCTGCTATCTCTTTAGTAATAGCAACTTCAAAGCAATATCATAAAATGCGATCATTTAAGGAGAAATTAATTTTTTTCAATTTGAAACCAATTCATTCCCTGAGCACATAATGGTCTGCAATATTAGCCAAGCCAGAGAGACATGCATTGTTTTTACGATATATTTACGTGATACTACGATATTCTATGTAATAAATCAATAGAACAAAAACTATGATCTTGTAATCAAGCAAAGAAGAGATTTGTGTGAGTAGACTATGTGCAACAGACCTCTAACTAGACAAGCAACCAAATGAATGAAGCAAGCATATTACAATGGAACATTACTAATAATAACAGGGCTCTATCTAGGCAGAAGCAACCAAAAATGAACAATGGAGAGAATATACATTGTATGGTAGCATAAGCTTAACTTCAGATTTTTTGTGATGAGATGACAGAATCTACCCACCCCCTCTCAGTTAGATTCAGAGTAGATCATGCAGTGCATGGTTACTGTGATATTGCAGTGCATGGTTACTGTGATATTGCAGTGCATGGCTGTCATATCAATGCAGTGCATGGCTGTCATATCAATGCAGTGCATGAGAGTAAATAACATAATGTTATGCATGGCTTGTGATGCAAAAATAAGCAATTGTAAAGAACCAGCACTGTGACGAAGACAACACTATGGAACTGGGAGTTTTACAATCACAACATTTAATAATCTCCATTTATTGCTCAAGAAACCACACAAATCCAGCCAAGTGTCAAGCCAAAACAAACACAAAGCATGATTGCCAAGAAATAATTAAATAAAAATTAATAGAAAGTTATTATTAAATTTACGGATAATACCAAAATTATTTTTCAATTTTCGCAATTAAACTTATTGCATTAATCCGAGAATTGGGGAATTAAACAGCTAGCGTAGAAAATTATTCGCATTTAAATACATTATAGATTTCAGTGAGAAATTGACTTGAAGTGGCTAGCTTAGGATGTATCCAAACTACAAGAGATTTGAGTCTAATGTAAAAGAATTGTGAACACAATAGATTTAGCAGGTCTGGTGAATCAGAAGGGGTAGAATTCAGTGGGGAAATGTCAGCAATGGTTGTGGCATTGATCACAAGTAGGGTTGCCCTCTTCAGACTTCTGCATGACTTCACCGTAAACCACTGCAACTTTCATCCACTTTCATACGTTTCCAATTCAGTAAATCAGCAGAACAATTGGGCTATTAGTAGACAATTAGGGCCGGCAAATCATCGGTAACCAGCTATGGAAGCTAAAAACCTAGTGGGGGAGCCCCTTAAGCCTCTGACTTCTTGCTAACACAATCTGTTAGCCACTTTTTGCCCCCAGTCAGGTTTAATTCCTGATTTGGAGTTCAATCAAGATATGTTACCAGGGAGTTAGGGGGTCATTGAGTATAGGTGTAGTGTCGGATTCGAGCCAAGAATCTTGTGGCAAAACACATTATATCACAGCAGAGCAGCCCTTCAAGGAAACAGCTCTGACCCAATGTCATATAAAGGACAAGACATCTTACGTAGGTCCATTTGGTGACAAGAATTGATAAACTGAACTGTGGAATCCTCAAACATTCTTTTAGATTAAATTGATTAAAGCACCACAAATATAAATTTAAATTGATATTTAAAAGAATATTGAGACTTCTCAATGTATGGTAAAAAATATGATGAAAAAATGCAATGCTAAAGCAGTTATGCCTAGGTCACATAGCCGCCGGGCGCCGGCCGATGAGTAGTCATCGGCCGATTCCTAAATCGACCGGGCGCCGGTGACTTTTCACCGATGTCTTGATCTAATCGTGAGTATGGTCACATTAGTACAGGCATCGTACGGCGCCCGCAATCAATTGAATCTGAAAGACATCGCACGGGTATCGCAAGGCTATCGGCCGATGGCCGTACGGGACCCGCCAGGACATCGGTCGATTTACAGGCCTCTAGATTTATACTTAATCCCTGTATGACCCAGTATGACTGTTCCACATGGCGTGAATGCAACATATGAAAACGAAATACTTTGATAAACAGGACTTCCAGGATAATAATGTTTTCATGCAATAAAAATCAGAAAAAGAAGATCCTCTTTTGAGTAAATAGGTTCAATATTTAGAAAAAATGTTGACATGGGGTCCCTATTCATCATTTTTCGAATTGTTTGATTGATATTTTTATCATCATGGGTACTTCAATTGAAAGAAAACATATTGTTTTAATAAAAACACTCTATTTGTGCCCAGAAGGTACTCATGGTGAAAGATATGACCGTCTAAAATCACTTGCCATACTGGACGTGGTCTTTTCATCAAAGTGCACCCTGATCTTAATTCATTTTTAGATCTTTCATATAAAAAAATACTAAGTCTACCTGTCCATCCGATGCTATTAGCAAAATTCCCTATTTCTCCATCTTTCTTTCGTCTGTTCTTGTAAAGGGAATTAGTTTGGTCATAAAAATATGGCTTCAAAGAAATTGGCATATTTCTTCTGTTTCAAGTGGAGTACCCGCTTCCCTATAGACACATCTAAATCTTCATCATCCACCAGCTCAGTAGCATTGTTATTGTCTTTTTCCACCTGTCTTCCCAAGGCCTTCCTCATATATGGCCCATTGGCCTTATCCCCTCTATCCTTAGCCTTTGGCATATTACGTTGTAATTGAGACGTAATTAATCGTAGTAAAATTGTGACCCTTGAAATTACTGTACTCACAAAAACATTCCGAAGGTTTTTAAAATAAATGATTTGTAATGGTATATGCATGAGTGAATATACGCATAAAAATGTAACACTCTATTCAATGTGTATGACAGACATACACGATTAATGTCAATATAAGAACGACTAGATCAACTCACCCACCCAGCCATTCAAATGTGTGCCATTGTTTTATATACAGTAAGCTTAATCGTTCCATTTATGTTTTATAAAAATCTCTGACAGTGTGTACTAATTATAATTCCTTACCTCATTATTTTTAAAACCCTTATATCACTTTATAAGTAATCATTATTAAGATTTATCCAACAAATCAGCACGCAAAATCCAAAGATGACCGTGCGATGCCACCGGGCGCCGTAAGATAATCGTACGATGATCGGGCGGGACACGGCCGGGTAGGTACCGATGAGTTTGGTTGAGAAAAAATCGCCAAGACATCGGCAACTTTTATCTCCGCGATAAAACTCTGCCGGCGCCCGTACGATGTCTAAAAATCGGCCGATGAGTGGCGATCATCGCCCGGCGCCCGTACGATGCCCGGGCTCGCCGGCCGATTTTGAACAAAATACTCATCGGCCGGGCGCCGCAGTGAAAATCGGAGCCTATGTGACCAAGGCATTAGCAAATATAATAGCCCAATGTTTTAACTATGTTCTGAACAGGTCAGCATACTTATGTTCTATATTAAGCTCAAACTACTTGTAAGTTTATGCCTAGAGTTATATAGTAAAACATTGTTAACATACACAAAAAAGATTAGTATAATGTGTTCTAAGTTTTTTTCTCTAACTAAACTACAAGGTTACAAGTGTGTGTTGGAAATAACAAAACAAAGCACAAAGTTGGCAGAAACCGGAAATATTGGAATCGGTCCACATTATTTAAAGATTCTGAGATGTGTTTTGTAGCAAAGCAGTAAACATCAAATAAAAGTTAATGCCAAATTACGCAAACAGATATTTTGGTGCAGTATTGTGTGTCATTGACTTTACAGAGCATTTCTGAAAAATATGCATTTGTGCATTTGAAGTATAACGTTACTCGCTACACTATATTTGAAATATAATGTCCATGCTACACTATATTTGAAATATAATGTCAGTGCTACACTATATTTGAAATATAATGGGGCATGCTACACTATATTTGAAATATAATGGGGCATGCTACACTATATTTGAAATATAATGGGGCATGCTACACTATATTTGAAATCATAATGTGTCATACTTTTCAAAGAAAAGTGCCATACTTTTATGAATATATCATGCCATACTTTTTGCCATACTTTATAAGCAACAAAAGGATGCCAAACTAAAATGTGAACATAGCATGTCATACTTTGATAACATAACATGTCAAACTTTATGAACATAACATGTCACACTTTATGAACATAACATGTCACACTTTATGAACATAACATGTCACACTTTGTGAACACAGTGCCATAAGTGAAGGTCCAAGAGAAGGTAGGTGTGTTACTTGGGTTGTAAGAAGAAATGTCATGCGTACCAGGCTATCTAGCTCATGATTGGTCGAGAAGACATGCCCCTCTGCCTGTGCCTAGTTGGAAAGCAAGAGGAAGAATTATTTCGGGAAAGCGGGTGGTCATGTAAATATCTCTCAAACGACCCCCACTAACTATGTCTAAACATATCACCTAGGCAACCAGGTGTGTTTTCTTGCATGGGGTAAGGGTGGAAGTTAAGTTTTGGGTAAGGCTAAAATGTTTTTTTTTTAAATGTTAGTAACAGTGTACTTTTGGTGGTCTTTGACATACTAGAGAGAAGGTATATTAGCCTAAGGTAGACTGGAAGTGGTTAAGCCGAGGTGTTATGGTTCACAGTAGTGAAAGGGTTAACAGCTACTTGTCACATTTGACTAAATAGGTGGCACTGCTATATAAGATAAATACAGTCTAACACAGGGCCCAAAAACTAGCTCAAATTTGGATTTAAATTTTTGGGCCTATGTGCTGGACTGTAATAGCACCTCTATTTAATATAATGTTACAGATGTGCAAAGTAGGCCACCACCAAAGGTGAAATACATGAGAAAAGTGCAGTATATATAAATAACGTGTCCATCATGCAAATATATACTCTAAAACCATAGTCACCAATGTCTCTAAAACTACAGTCTTTTCTTGACAAAAATTATCAATATCTATTTCTATTCATTGGATAATTGCAGAAAAAATAATAACAAAATTTTAAATATGCAATTGCTTTACTTAATTCCTAATGAGTTTGAGTTAGTAATATGTAATTGATGATAGGTAAAGACTGGGGAAACAATGACAATGTTTGTCTTTGTTGATTGATTGATGACTATGGTTTATGGAGTCTTGTCTGCATAAACAACAAAAATCTCCATCCTACCAGACTATCTAGTTCTTGATCAGAGGTTGCTAGAGGTCTCCCTTCACTTTGAGCCTAGAAAAAAGCATATTATGATATTATGGTAGTCAAAGAACCTAGAAAATATCAAACTGTGGAAGCTAAAATCATAAAACCTAGAAAACGGCATATTTTGGAAGTCATATAGCTCACAAAGTCCAGAGAAAAGTATAAATATCGAAAAGCATAAAGCCAAGAAAAAACATGTGTAGTATATCATTTTGACCTAGTAAAATTGATCACTTTTGGCCTAGTATGGGTTTTCTTTACAACCCAAGTGAATTTAAAATGTCAAGTTAGTTCAGAAATATAATTCACTGAGAGCCTTTAAGATAATCTGGGCAAAGAGAATATATAGCTTTATGTAAATAAAATATGTCACTTTTGACCTTGAAACATTTTCATGTCAGAATCTAGGAAATATTTCTAATTTTCACCCAGAGATAGAACACTATGAATTTAAGTCAAATAGCGATGTTTCTATTTCAATTCAAAAAGGTATATTGCATTACATTTAAAAAAGACAATATAACAGAACTACATTGTTATATTTTAACCTAGAAAATATCACATACACCATAGAAACATTAGTCATAACTGATCTTCACTTTGTTGTAGGCTTTTGAGTATATCTCATTTGAACCTGTCAAAATATGACAGAGAAAATCAATGATATCAACTTAAACTCCAGTACACCTAAAAATAACAGAACTAGAAAGATTAATATATAAATATAGAAAATTCCTTTTGATAATGTCATCCATATATGTTTTTGTGGTTTAATACACTGTAGTAGGGTAGGGTGTATGATATTTATTTGAAATTCAGGCGAATAACTGGATTGATTTTGTGACAAAGACACAGAAGTCAAGACCATTGACTTTATCAACTACAGATTAGGCTCCTGAACAATAATGTTTTATGTTGGGTCAAATTCCAATCAGAAATGTATGTTTTTGTTAAGGTTGAAATCTAAATAATGATCTTCAAAATTTGAATAAATTAGAAAACATTGCACACTTTATAATTAAACTCAAGAAAATGGATGGGTTAATAACAAGTGATAAGTGAAATTCTAGATTAAAAACAAATTTGAAAAAAAATGAAGAATAAAAAAATATTTTGAGAGTGAAATATGTTTGATATTATAGTCTAGGATGGGAATAGTGTAGGATACGAACTACAAGAGCACAGAGTACTCTTTATAGCCCATTATGATAGACGATGATGACAGACATAACCTTAAAAAATAATTAATGAGTTAATCAACTTCAATACCTCCAAACTCATGATATGCCAATACAGGATAAACATTTAAAATAATCCTCAAATAGCTAGAAATTTTCATATGAATAGAAATGCTTTCAGATTTAGAGAATCCTTTTTGGAATAATTTTGTAAGAATTTACAGGGATGTTGGGTATATGTTGGTGCATTTTCATAACCCTTTACAAGCCCCGAAGGTAATCATACACATGAATATCCCTCGTATCGTGTAAATGCAGGTCACAGTCATTTTTACAAAATTCTGAATGCTACAAAAAATATGAATTACTGCTTCAGCCTATTATAGAGTGGAGATGCTTATTCATATGCACTAATCTGCAGATTAAACACATTTCTGTTAAAATATATTATTCATATCATCGATATGAGATGCAAAATCAACCTATTGTTCTGAAAAATCAGTTATTTTTTCCTAGAAGATCAATATCATCAAGGACGTCTTATATGGAATGTACTTCATCCTCCTAAGATAAATCCTGTGAAAATATCAATATATTTCATATGCAGCGAAAAGGTAGTTTAGTTAACAATGATTATGGTCTAAAAAGACTATATTTCATAATTACATCTTTTTTCCAGTAGAGACTTTTTATGAATTTAAAGCAAATATAATAACTGATATGTTATTAATTAATATATAAAGATAAAGATATGTTTCTAATAATTATATACATTTTGCAAAAATCATTGGAAAAAGTCTCACTTTATTGAATTTTTACATCTTTTTCACCTTTGATGTTTTATCATTCAATATTCAATTCAATTCAATTTTATCATAAATTCATTGTCTATCATATAAAATGCACATTCTTTGTTCATTTACAGTATATTTCATAATATACCAGCATTACATGTGTGAATTATTAAAAAATAAGTGAGTGATGAGACAGAAAGGGATACGTTTAAAGCTTAATTGAAAATACATGAATTATATTCAGTTGAAAACTAGATGAATATTCTTTAGCTATAGCATCCTTAACAAAGTCTGGATTTGTACCACATTTAGGGTTAAATTTTGGTGTCCTCCTTCAGAACAGCATGCTCATGTAGCAGAACTTTTAGAGTTACAGCCAGTTTAGGATCAGATTTCAGAAATCAGTAGAAAATACCTCAAAACAGAGTCCCTAGTGTTCTAAATATGAACTTTAACATCCCTTAACATTACTAGCATTTCCCTATAAATGATTAGAGAACCTAGTCAGTCTAATGATGAACTCTACAGCTCTGTGTGAGCCACAATGAACAGTTAGCAATAATTGTAATTTTTATAGCACTATTAAATAATAACAGCCCTGTCTGTAGTTCCTAATTACTAAGTCTACTAAAATTAATAATCCAAAAAATAATTTTGAATAAAATAATTGATTGTACTTTGGTTCCATTTTATGTTTCAAAATAATATATTTCATATCTGTTAAATTTAAATTTCTTCAGTATATATTTCACATTTTGAATATTGCCAAGTGAATGATAAAATTATTATCTGAATTTTGTGGTCAGTTGTAGAAGAAACATATGTCCTTAAATTACTTTATTTGTACTATTATCTCAAACATATAGGTCAGATTAGCAATAATCTTTAAAAAGGTATATAGTATCTTACAAATGTGTCTGATCTATAGTATACTTACTGAATAAAAATAATTAATAAATATTCTTGATAAATGCCCCATGTGAAAAAGTAGGTAATAAAATATTAATATACAATTCATGTATAACTGAAACTAAAATAGGGCTGCACTACTGATATAGTATTTTCAATATAATCCCAAGGATACTCTCCAGTTATTACCTACATCCTTATTCTCTTAATTGGAATAATGGACACAATTTAATTAGTCTTGTCATAATAATTACATAATGCGAGGATTTATTCAAGTAATATTTATCCAGAATATGGACTTATATAATAATTGAACAGGGATTTTTAAAGGTCATTTGATGTATACATAGAATATTATACAGATCTTCTGAACATTTTGCAAAGCTCTATGTAAAAGCATAAGATTTCAATTTCTGGATGCTTTAGTATATCTTAATAGGTGCTAGATTTAGTATCAAAAAGTTTGAAGTTTAATTAATTTACTGCCAGAATTTATTATCAAAATAAAATAAATACTACCATTGGTATCTAATTTTTAATTTAAATTATTCTATTCTGTTAGACATTTTTCAGAAAACTGTATATAAATTTCTGCATAAAATAACTGTAGTTTGCCTAATTAAAAGACAGCTGACTTGGGAAAAGTATGGTGAATTTTTGATATATTGTCGAGTGTCAGGGTATTTTGAAAAATTAGGATCAACTTAGCCTCAGAACACAGGGAGAATTCAAATTTATTTTAATAAAATATTTAGGTCAAAATGAGTGCTAAAATGATGAATTAAAAATCAATGCATATTCCTGCACCAACTTTTGATGGATGCATTTATCTATCCTGCTATGACTTCATAATAAATAAATATGATGTACTAGATATTTTCATTTGTCTCATTAATATTTTGGATTCGGAAATTCCCTTTAATATTATTTATAGCAGATTTTTATGAGCTATGGATAATTTTTCCAACATTTGCTAAAAATTGCTACAAAATTGCAACTAATTATTAAAAAGTAGAAGTTTTTGGAACATTATCCAATTCATCTTCAAGACAATTTGTAAATGACCAAATGTGCATTTTATATGATTTTTCAACTTAGTAAAGTATTTTTATATAACAAAAACCCCAAATTAGTAAATATATGACTTTTGACTAACCTGTTTTGAAAATACTTGTATGTCCTCATTAAAACTTTCTGAAGAGCAAACATCACCCCCTGCTACCCCGGGATCTCTGGGGGTACAAGTTGCTAGCTCACATTTTTCAAATATCAAAGCTAGCAGAGGAAATAGTGGATGCCTGAAAAACAGAGTCTCTAATTTAGATACACCACTACACTTCTTTTGAATATCATCTTTCAAGTCATTTCAATACTTCAACAACCTGAAGAAGGCCGCCATGTTGAAATCTTGAAAATTAGTTGTCAAACTTTTGACAACTTTTCGGCCGTGATTTAACAGCTAACAGTGGGGATCAATTAATGGCAGCTTTTCTAACAGTAGTCCTGCAATGTCTAGAAATAAAATGATCACTTATCTAAGTGTACTGAAGTGTATTAGGCTGTATATACAGCGGGTAAAGAGTACATATAAATTGCTGATAGCGATCCGGAGGATCACCTAATTCACAGGCAAGTTTTGAACCTACCCGTAGCATGAATCTTTGTCTCTCTTTAACTGGTTGTCTACGGGTGCATTTGAGCCCATATTGTTGCCCATATTTGGCCCATAGCTTCCCGGGTAGTGGTGTAATGGGCCGGCCGATGGGTCAACGCTCCCGGTTCCGGCCAAGTTCCGGATGTCGTGCATACTCCTAGTGTGAGCGTCTGCTCCGTAAGATTGCATATGGCTGTCCATCCCTGGGTAGTGTGGAAGTTCATTCCCGTCAAACTGAAAGCAACCAAAAATCGTGTCATTTAATAACAAGACGCTATATACATTATTCCATCGTAAATCGAATTAATTGTACAGTCGGACGGCTATAAATTTGCGTGAGCAACCAAAAGAACATACCCCTCTTTGATGCGCCATCCAATGTTTTTATTCCGTACAGAGTTGGTAACTTATTGTCAGGACGTAGTTTCGCTCCTAAAATCCCTGAGTGAAAGTTTGCTGCAAAATGTTTAGAAGTAAAATCCAGTTATCTGTCAGATGACATATAATACTGCAAAAATTGTTAACTCCATGCACTCAACACAACTTCACTCTTATGACTGTTGTATTGAAATCTCGTGGCCTCAACTCGCTTTAGCTGTCAATCAATATACCGTTGCTATAGTACCCACTGACAAGTAGCCTGTCAAACCACAGCTAAGCTCGGTAGCTAATTTACATACTCCTTCGTGAAGGGATGCGGTTATACCTTCACAGGTCAGACCACGTGTCTCATTATTCTTTCATGCTTTCCATATATCACCATGTCCATGTATATTCTGGATGTGTAGTATCTCATAAAACTAGAGATCATGAAAAGAAAGATTTTACAATGCAATTGCGTTTATACAGATCATCCTACACGTTCCACAACAATGTATAATTTAATCCAACTTTTGAAATATAACGCCAACCGAATTAATTTGCAACGATTGGCATATAAACAATATGAAAACCTATGTCAAATAACAATTTAAGATATTGCACTAACTTCTTAATAGTTGCTTTTGAGCTTCCAAACAGGGTAAAATATAGGGTACATAGAGATGACACTTCATGTGTTTTGGCAATTGTACAAATGGAAATGTTATTTGCTTGCAAACTATTTGCTATATTTTCACAAATAGCGTGTTTTAATAATATTCTAATATGTACTTAAGATGGCTCACGTAAAATAAGTTATAACATAACATACTACAGATCACACACCTATCTAGGTACCGAAGACTGCGTGCACATGTCAGCATTTTAATTTATTTTGTGTGATTTCCAATCAAATATTTTATCAGATAATTATAACAACAGGTTTTCTAAAGTGAGAAGACTATATTCATATCTACATTTGTTATATATTTGGCATGCTATGCAATCAATGTGCATGATAATATAATGCATGATTCTATTGCGATACGGTAGAGAAACTTGCAAGTTGCAATGTTTTCAGCCTGCCATGTCTGACCTTCATAGTCCCGCCCCTAAGTCACTAAGCTCCGCCTCCATTCATCGATCCTATAACCCCGCACAGATTTATTCTATCACCAGATTATCAGACCTAGAAAAATACTGGATTTATTTCACTAAAAACGCAACTTTTTACTTCTATTTAAACATTATAATGATAGATATATTATTCGCTTTGGATTTGAAAATTATATGAATTAAGTTTGAATAACCAGAAACATCTTTCCACATTGTTTTTTTTATTTTTTCGCAACTAGTACAGATACGCATTAGTTCATCAATGATCCCAGATACGTATTCACTATGTGATAAGTCATGAAGGTCTAGCTCTAAGAAATACGTACATGTACTTTATCGCATAGTTTTTATTTGGATCTTCTTGATAATATAAGTAATTAATCAAGATGTGTATCCTGATACTCATTCTGATATTCATCTCGTATTTAAAATATATTGCCATTATAACGTGCGAATTCGACGTTATATGTTTCAGCTTTTTTAACCGACCAAGTTTTATATTGTTTTGTTTTCACCACCACGCCCAAGGGAACGCAGAATACACGGAAATGATTATCAAACGTTTTCTGAAGTTGTTCCAGGATAAATGGAAGTTCTACAAATGATAAGTAAGCATGGCCCATGTACGGGTCCACGCATAAGTTGTGATTGCTCTTATTTTTCGGAACATATTGCGCGTTTACGGTTGGTATACCTTTAATTATATAATCCTTCACAGCACATTTAGTAAGGTAGAAAATGTATTAATTAGAGGTAAATAATTGCTAATTTAACAGGTAAATAATCAAGCACTGCATGTTTCCAGGTAAAATCTCAGGTAAAATTGCGTGATTTATCATACTGCCGGGATATTATGATTTAAAATATGGTGGATTATATTCAACATATTTCAACCCTATACAGTAATCATATGAATCCAGAATGAAGAAAATCGTATTCAACGTTTTCCCTTCATAAAATCGGAATATTTTTACACATAGAGAATTAGATTTCTGCCTCCACCCAACGGACCACTTGGTAATATTCGTCCGCCAAAGACCAACAATTACCATGTCTCTAGTGTCAGGGTGTTTATCCGGATACTGCTGACACAATAAAAAAATGATTTCGGGATGATGCGTTGATATCATTAAAATCATTGCATGATACCAGAACATACATTTTCATTAAAATTTTGTAATCATTGCATAGAAATTGGGGTTAACTAATTTTTGATTAGTGGGTAAAGACTCTAGAAAATGAATTCTAAACTTGATGGTAAAATTACGAGGAGAAAAAGTCACGCAAAATACCTCTAATCCCTGACTAATGACGAGACTAAATTGCAACTCGTAAAGTAGATCTAAATTTGCATGTTCCAAATACCTTTTTGTTTTTTAAGTCTTAATCACAATATGTCCTACTACAAAAGGTCATAGATGAGATTAGGAAGCATGAAATTTAAAATAAAATAACTTTCTGTTTTAGTTAGTAAAACCATCGATTGACCTAAGTTGGACAGGTCGATTTATGAAAAAGATTGATTTTCTTTGACAGTGACCTCTTTCTGTTGATACAGGAACTACGTCAGCTTGCCAGGATCTAGGAATGACAATGCAGTTGTCAGAATTTGAACACTTACATGTATTCCTACTTTGTTATTTCAATAAATGTAATTGAAAAGGGTGTTGTTTTATTTGCTTTGTATTGTTCAATTAAATAATAACCAATTTAAATGCAAAATCAGAGCATAGTCTCAAAAATAATGACAAGGCCAAATATTAAATGATTTGTAAGTAAAGAGAGAAATACTTATAAAATTATGAATATTTAGAAAAGGAGAATAAAAAGGTTGTTGTCATCAAACAAATGGACATAGGTTGAATTTACGAAAACCCTATAAAAGCTGTTAATCTGTCACTTGAGTTAAAACTTGTGATGAATGATATATGTACAAGTAAGGGTAAGGCAGCCTAGACATTATGTACCTCCTTTATTGTCAATTTAATCTACTTAACAAATACTAGACTTTCACTTTACAATTGTAGGTCATTAAACAGATACTTCTGTGTCCAGGTTTGGGCTGTAAATATGAAAGGGAGGGGGTCATAGTCAACAGGGATCAGAAACTCCATCCAACATTTCAGATCTTAGGGATTAGGCATAAGGCAAGTGGTGTAAGGCAAGAGGGGGGGGGGTAATAAAACATGGAGCAAGTTCCCATAAGTCCTGTTCTAATCAAACATTTTCTTTGAATAAACCAGAAAACTTCAGAAAAATTATTGACTAGACCCCCTATCAACCCCTCCTCAAAAGTGAAGTATGGTCACTACAGTATATATCTAGGTTGTATCCATTGTGTTTTATACAAGCCACATGAAATCTGTTATCAAAGTACAAGGTTTTTTATCACCTGCCTGTTAAATTCAAACATGATTATCATATTTTTATACTTTTATTAAATGAAATATTTTTTTGAAAAATAAAACCAATTATTACATATTGATTTGTGATCATCAAACAGATCATGGTTAAATAAAGTGACATATAGGCAAATACGAGGTTTCTATCTTTCAAATGGTGTCATCTATCACGAAATGATTTCCAATAATAATGTGACAAGATGTGTACAAACACAACACAGAATGACATATCAGACAATAAGGGTTGTAAAGCATATTTAGTGTCATTTGTAACCAGCCATTGATGTCATACTAATAATTAGGACATCATATATATAAATGATTAATTGAAAAAATCCCCTCATTCTACTTAAGTTTTAAACCAACCTGTGTGAATTTCATTTCTATTTCTCTCTTTTTCATGCTATTTTGATAGGAAAATTGCAAGGTGAATTATATCTTTAGTGACACCTTCTACAACATATGTCCTAGAGATTGTTCTCTCGCCTTGACAAAAAATAACCTCAAAGTTCAGCTTTTATAAGAAAAAAAACAGGAAAATGGGATGTAATAGCAAGGACTGATCAAACATGTAAGAAGCGCAAACTTCAAAATGTATGGAAATGCGATTAAATTAGCAATTTGTCATTGTATCATCGAGAAAATATGAGAAATAAACTTGACCTCTTCAACATGGGTTCACAAGATTGATCATGTTCAATTAACTTAGACAATTTCAAAACAAAGATAGAATAAATGTGTTTTTATAATACCATGACCACATTTTTCAACATTTTATATCAATTTATATAAAATCGGACATACAGGTGTATTATTTGACATTAAAGTATGATGGAAAGCAATCTACAGAGATAATTTAAAATACCTGATAGGTATACTATTAACTTCAGACTACATCATTAAACTAATTACAAGTGATATAAATGACTTCAAGCTCATGTGAGAAAATTTATGATTTTCAGAAAATAAATTGATATATTTTGAAAATTGACTAACCTTTATCTGCAAAGTTTCAACTGTGATAACTTAATTTTTTAATGCAGAAATTACATGTTAAATGTTAAAACAGTTTTAATGTAGTTCCAAAGTCCCTTTTTCGAAACTTCGCTGATACGACGAGGTCGAACAAGGCACTTGTAAAAGATAGGTTCATGTAGTACTGTTATACTTTGTCCAATAAACAGATAACAGACATGTGAACAAAAAACTTGAACCAGTTTGTTTACAAATTATAGTAGCTATAGTATGTAGGCCTGTGGGGGTACAGGTGGTCACTCCCACCCCACCCCCCTGGCCAGAAACCAAGCAGTTTTTCACCATTCTGATCACTGATCATTTTTAGCCAACACTGTCTAAAAGCCTCTCCCCACACTCCCCTTGGTAGAAGCTGGCTATGGCTGATGTGTTCATTTAGTTGGATAACAGTTGTATAGTTTTAAAGATGAAGAGATAGTCTCAGTTCATCAACTATACTACCACTAGATGGTTTGAACATCAGTCTTGTGTTTTCTCCATCCTAGACCTTTACTTTCTATTGAATTCAGATAGTCAAATGCATGCTTGCTTATTCAACTGATTTGATAGGATTTATTGCTTTTGAGACTTACTTATTATTTCAGAACTACTGACCTGCCCTCTTTCTATCATTTTGTTAACCACAAGGATAGTCAAAAGTATATTTATCTCAAGAGCATTATTTAAGCTCTGGCAGACCCTCCCCAGGCCCATAGCCAATGGTGGAGGGGGGGGGGGTTAATTTGTGGGATTCGAGTAACCCCCTCAGGCCTGGATAAAAATTCTTTCAAAATCATGCAGTTTTTCACTATTCATTATTCTGAGCATTTCAAGTGGTTTTGGGCATTTGTCAAATGTGAACTCCCCTGGAATCTTTGAAAAATGACCCCCCTCCTTGGCAAAAGCTGGCTACGGGCATGCTCTCCTATATGATCTGAGGGGGGGGGGTATAGCACTAGGGGGATGGGCCAAACACAAAGGAAATAGGGGCTAGTGGGATTGAGTAGTTGTCATATTAAGGTTGTTATACACAGGTAAAAGATGGCTCTGTGCTATGACATAGAAGCAGAGTTAGCATATGCATTTTGTGGTATCACACACTTTTGCAAACAGTTTTTTTTTAGTTTATTTTACTACAAAGTTTGGATGGATTTGGTTAATTATACCAGTAATGACATTTTAAATGTATTTTAATTCAACAATACTATATATTTACCAAGTTAACAGACAAAAACAAACAAAACATTGTGTTTTCTAAAAATTGTATTTTTGGACGAGGAGAGTTATAATTAAAAACAAAGTTGGTGAACTACATGTATATTTATATTATTTTCATTTTCTTGAATTAATTGAACTCATTTAATTAAACTAGACTATCCAATGGGCAAAAATAGAAATGTCCTGTCATTCCGTTTCAAGCCCTTGTGACCCACCTCTCCCATTACACAAACCAACTCCAAAGGAAAATACACTAGCCTATTTTGAACATTCTGTTCAATTTTCTATAATTTTGAAAAATACATATTTGTGCCATATCTGAGATATCTCTTGAGATTTTAAAACTGGAATGCTAGATAATAAATTGTTAATCTACTAGTATTTTAAATCATTTCTTGTCATTTTTATTATAAATTTCACCTTTATATTGATACTTCTGGTTTTTATGTAAATTTGGAGAGAATACATTCCATTTTTAGAACTCACAATTATAAAAATGTTCAGTATGGTGCCTTTTCATCAGCACTCTACAATGTTTGGAAATAGTACTAACCAAAAAGTTCAAAAAGGCCTTAGTTGAGCTTTAATGTCCTCTATTCTTACTATTGAAAATTGATTCTAACAATACTATCCCATTTGAAAGTACTTGCTGAGATTCGATCAACTTGAGTTCTTATAGAAAATCAGGAATTCAGCAAGGGTGCATTCACATAACATGGTGATATACTTGATGGTCTCCCGGTGCTAGTCATTGGTCAATGGAGTATGTTTCCATGCTAAGTCAATGCACCTTTGCTGAAATCCTCATTTTCTCAGAAGAACTCAAGATGATCGAGTCTCAACAAGTAGATTCATGTTGTATAGTATTGCTAGAATTTAATAGTAATAATGGGGGTTCTTAACCAGGACATTGGGCCTGCTTTTTAGAACATTTTGTTGTCTTGATTTAAACTTCTGAACTCTAAATAGTAAGTGGGTCTGTATCTTTAAAGTAGCACGAGTAATTGATAAAAATTGACTTCTTTAAGTTTCCCCCATGGGGTAATTAATCTTATATTCTATTATAATTGTAAATAACTCAATACTCTTTGTAGTAAAGGTAATGATATTGTGCCAAATGAAAGGGTCTTTATTGTCGTGAATATCTACTTTAAAGTCTTAAAATGTATGCAGTCAACTGAGTAGGTTGCTAGGTAAATGTACACAAATCTACAAAAGAAGTTTGTACCCACAATGCAATATCATATCTTAAATTAAACATGTGATCAATCAAATATTATGATAGAACATATTAAACTTTGTAACTTGGGTAAACAATTGGTTTTAAGTCACGAGATAGAAGTAATTAGATATTGGTTGATATGCTTTGATATCTCGGTTAATGTTGATTTTTGTGATTGATATTGACTTGAAATGTCACTGATATGGTTATAGCTCACACCTATAACAATAATTCATCAGATGTTTGACATTTCCATGGCAACAAAACTATTTTATAGAAAATTATGAGTGATAAAGCGTCAGTGTATGTATATAAATAAATCCAAGGAAGATTATGTGAAGTAATACACAATGCTTCTTGATAAGACATAAGCTTAGATATGGTGCATTATGGGACACCAACCAAACGTCCTTTGTGTATGTTAAGATGTTTGTACAGCAAACATGTAACTGGATTCAAATATGATTTTGTAAACATTTCTTTGAATTTCTTTCAATAAGCTGAATGGCTACTGTATGGACATCACACAATTCTGCAATTCAATTTCTCAAAATGTGAAAGGAGATTAAGCACAATGCTTTTGTTAGAGCTTACCATATGAATGAGATCAATGGGTAAATCTATAATATTGGACCAATAATCAGAGTGTGCTAAGGTACAGGGACAAATTCCACAGCAACACTGACTTGGGAGACACTTAGAAAAGAAACCTTTAAGATCCAGAGACATTAAGTTCAAAATGATTTGAATTATGAAAATATACCAAAATTGGATTTTACACCTGGTAGCCTGGATGGCATAAAATGCAAGTTTTGAGGAGGATAAATGCTGTAGAATCAAAAAAAACTTATAGGAGATTCCATTAAGAGTGCAAAAAGTGAATAACAATCACAGAGGAATTCTACATATCACCGAAACAGCCTTAAGTTCGATGACATCATCCCTGCTTGCCCACTGACATATTCAACATATCTACAGGGTGATCATATATCTCAAAATGTTCATAACGGTGAAGTACGGAGACAATAAAGACTTGATTTGCAATCCGAGTTGTGCAGTTGTCAATTTGCTCAACAATATTAAACGTCGCTGTGGCCTGGGTAACAGTAACGTTGTCCTAGACCTCTCTGATGAAACAGGTGCGTATATGGCAACCTCTAGTTTTGCATCAGATCTCTCGTCCCCAATTGTCCCATAGACACGTGTTTTGGGAAATGGCTAGGGAGAAGGGGGTAAACAGGGGCATGATAAAAGACTATTGAAGTCTCATGGATAACCAGTCATGTATTTTAAAGGGTAAAATTAAGAAATGCATACAAAATAAATATTGATAAACATGAGGTTTATGCCACTTGTATACATGCCCATGGGGTATCAGGCTATATCATAATAAACAATATATCACCACCAATAGCCAACATTTTTTGTGACTGGTGTCATATCCAAGCAAGAATATGTAAATTACATTTTATTGCAATTAACTATTAAAGAGAATTTAATGTGCAACACCTTAAGCTACATAACTTACCCCCTCCCTTCTACTTATAAAGGGATATATATTCACACAAGATGGAGAAATACCACTTAATACTTGCAACGCCAGTAGAGGAAATTATGGAAAAAATATTTATAACTGAACGTTAATGGCCATTAATAAAATATAAAGTCATAACTTACAATGACTTGCAATTTAACCATTCATTATTGATATAGTCATTCAGCTGTAGAAAACTTATACTGTAAATTGCTCTAATTTGGCGCTATTCAATTTGACGGATTGGGCAAATTTTGAAATTTTGGCTGCTATTTAATTAAGCGGATTGACCCATTACATCAGTAAAATATGGATAATGGAGGGCTAACTAGGAAGTCACATGACCAGATTACTGTACTCTTGGGTGACACCTTCATAATAAGCTAAAATGTAAAAATAGGGTATTACAATCAAAATATTGTAAGAATTCTCAATAAAATCTAGGGTCCCAGGGATCAAATAAAAGCAATGCAGTACTAAATACATGAAATTTTCTTAGAAAGTTGGGTTACATGGACCATTACCCTTTTCATAGTTTGATCTTACTTTAAAAAAGCTCTAACTACATTCTTTCAATCTGAAAAAATCCTTTGATCAAGCCTAACCCAATCAGATTAAGTCGGCCAAAATTCAGTTACCCAATCAGAATTGTCTCCCATAATAACTTTCCAGCCTTCTTAGGACCCTGCCATTTATTTTGTATTAAAATACCAGCTACTTTTGGCATTATTAAGAGCTTATCAACTTTAAAATGGTCTATCCTAGTCAGAGGATAAGTTCTTAACTCTGGGCTCCAGGGTAATAGGCAGATCACAGTGACCGTGTATTGGGAAGTTGTATTTGTAGAGTAGGGAATTCTTTTGATTCTAATCAATGCATTCGGTTGATCTAATGATTTGTTAAAATGCACCAGTCATATATTGATGTACTAGATATAGTATACATAGAACGAAAAAGAGAATAACAAATAAGTTCTACATATACAAATGAGGTTGTTCTAAAACAACTTTTCCAAGTCTATGGATCAACTTTCACTTTTTAAGTTAGAATTGATTATATGGAATTATTTATATCAAAATTACAAACAACACCTACAAGTGTAAGATGTCTAATCTTAAAAAATCCGACTGCTCTGAATCTCAGACTAAGATATGCTATATCTTTTGGAAGAGATTATAGGCGTGAATTAGAAGATGAAATCGCATAAGCATAAGCTTTTTGTCCATCGCTGTTAGTTCATATACTATCCATATCAAAATTTAGAGAAATATGAACATAATGCAAATACAAACATTCAAAAATATAATGTAAATAAAATTCACAGCTCTTGGGTTTTCTACAACCCTACTCTTCACAAAATATATTTTTACACAATATCAAAGTTGTTTATGCTTTCCATTACAAAATAAGCTCTTTCTAAATGTCATAAACAGAAAGTACACTGACGTTTTACATGTTTTTTTTACCTATTTATTCCATTCCTACTGAATGGTCACATTATACTTTTCCAATAATGCCAAACAATTGAGAAAATTGTACTTTCATTATTCACTTTCAATGCAAGCATATCAAGGAGCTATTTTTCTAGATATGACCCAGGGCATTTTATTCTGGATTCCAATAACAACGTTCTTAGCTATCTTGTAAAAACAGTATTTAAATGGATTTTAAAGTGAAGTTTTGGTGTTCCTCTATAGCATATTCCAGCAAATTTGCACAATCAAATGATTGCAATATTACACTGTCATTGTAGCATAATGTTTAATCTTTTAGCAAATATATAATACACATTGTCACATTATTTACATGAAACTCAATGCTAAAACATAAATAAGTTTCAAATCAATACTAAGATTTCACTTGAGAGATGTTGACAAGAGGTCTTCACCAAAAAGATATTCCCTGAAAAAGTGTTCACTGTTCATGTGTTCATTGGATCGAGAAGTGTTCACTCTAGGTGTATAAAAGAGAGGTGTTCACAAGAGAATGGTTTGTAATGTTCATTGTAGGAATTTTATGAAGTGTGCTGGAAAAACAATTACTACTGTTAAAATATGATATATATTGTTCATATGAAAATAAAATAAATGGGCAACCAAAAAGCTAACTGAAAGTGTGCAGGAAAAAGGTTTCTTCACTAACTTATGGACCATCCTCCAAACACAGGCCTCCAGAACTCGTACCTCTTCCTCGAAGGAGGGAACTAAGTGGATGATGTCTGGAACCATGCATTCGGAGGATGCTTATGTACATGCAAAAGTGGAAAATTGAATGTTCACCTAGGTCTAAAAGTCCATCTTGCTTAATCAAGCTTTGGACATGACAGAACGTGGGGGTGATTGAGTGTGGGAAATTGATGATGCTAAAAGTCTACAAATTAATGACTATGAAATCACTATTGCTAATAAAGTGTCAATCAAACACAGCAAGAAGAAATCAAAATGTAATCACACAAGCGTCACAGTGAATAGGATAATGGAAATAAAAATTTTGGAAAATGTATCCCAAAGGAATAACAAAAAAATAAAAATAACTACTTTATTATCAAAAAGAAATCGAGCACAGTACTACACTTGAACATTTCTTAAGCAATCAAACAATAGTGTGAAACTCGAAACAGCAGGAAACAGGTGCAATAAAACAACTTCTCGTTCAAGTCTCCACTATTCTCAAGGCACAGATTAATACACTAATTTGATTTAATTTCTTCCTAAATTGCTTAATTTTATCGCATACAGCTCCCATTTTCTTGGTATGAATGTGTCATATAGCTAATTGCAATATCCTTTTTAACTCATCCGCCCCCTTTGTAAAGTTAATTATAAAAGCTTCAATTCGGGTTTCAGCTTCTTGTGTTATAAAGTTCGATTAATATTAATAATGCCCTTGCATTATTCTTACATGCAATCGTAAAAGTCTTAATTTTCTCCGTAAAACATGTTTAACGATTTTTTGGTAATTTTGAAGGATTTACGTTCTGTTTTCACAGTATTATAATTTCTCTACTGTTCTTGATATTTCACAAAAAAACCCATAAAATTTGTGTTTTATTTTCTGGAAAGTGTCGAACCTATGTGCTTTAAACAAGTAATCCATTATAATTAGCTAATGCATGTTTTCCATATGTTTCTCTATCTCGTCATTTTTTCTAATTGTTCCAGTGTTATGTTGCCCTCAGAACTAAATTCTTCTATTATTATATATTTCTAAAACTTCCTAATTCGTCATTACTTATGATTATTAAAATAACAAAACGCACCATAATGATTATTTCACATTGTCGTTAATCGATTTGATGACACGTCTTCTGACGCTTAACCACATAGAATATTGCATTTTCACACTTTCCTTTCACTTGCCATAAACCCTACAATTTTGCATTTTCACTATTATAAGGGGGAGTTGTAATAAAGAGGCTCAAACAACATAAAAAATATTACTGCTGTTATCATGTTTTTATAAATGTATAGACTTGGTATGAGAAATAAGGGTTTAAGAAAGGTAGAAGAAAATAGAAGGACCTCCCATTACAAACATATACAGGTGTACATATACTATGCAATCATATACATGAATTTCACCTGTGAAAAGTAGGGACAAATTAAATACTTATGAAATGGATCCTAACTTATAATTGGTTCATAATGTTTGTTTGTACACTGCATATTGCTAAATATTTCTTATTTTACCTTCCAGGCTTGGTGAAAGACTTAGACATCCACAGGCGGGACTACGCCTCTAAACATCTATTCTCCCACAAAACCTACATCCTTGTGCAGAAAACCACAATCCCCGTCGACCCTTCAGAAAATCCAGATGCACAGGAGGGTAATCTAAGCCCACAACCCCCTCAGTACAACTTTACTCCATTACTCGAAGACTGGCAGAATCTGTTCCCGGAGTATAAGCTACATATTCCCGAGGCAACCAAGAAACGCAAGGCAAGGACAGCTAGTAAATCACCCAGCCCAGCTGGAAAGATGACATCAAAGTCAAAGAGGAAGTCAAAAATAAGGAAATAATTATCAACATTATAAAATTTGAGATATGTACAATGGTTATATCGTAAGAACTTAAAATGAGTTCTTGCAATTGTCATGTGTTTGAGAATGGTATGGTCAATATTATCAAGGGGGGTTCAATTTCCAAATTCCAGGGGGATACACATTTGACAACTTTGGCCCAAAATCATGTGAAAAGAGCTCAGAATGATGAAAACCTGCATGATTTTGAAAGAATTTGTGGCTGGGGCGGGGGAGTTAGGGCCTGATATAAGAGAAAATAACTGATACTCAGTGAATGAAGAATGAGACCCATAATCTCATACACAAACAAAAGAAAGCTCTTTTCAAATAATGTTGTCTTTTAAAGAGGCAGCAAAGAACAGAGTTTGAAGGTTGGAAGCTATCTTTTCAATGCACAATTCTTCCATTAAATCTGAAAAATAAGTCAGGTACCTTATTAGTATAAGTATTGAAACTTCAAAATGCAGAAATATTAAACTTCATTTAAATTAAACAAGGGGATGTTCCCTCTTTCAGAATTATAGCCAAATAATCTAAATAAAAAATTAAAGCATTTTTAATTGATGAAATATAGGTATCTCTTAGATTTATTCAGGAAAGTTTCCAGCGGAAAAAAATATTGTAATATTGCTACAATGTTTTAAAAATGCTCTTTCTCTCTCTTTATCATTCCACTATGTACATAACCACTCCGACTAACCATGTATTGAATAGAGGAACCAACAAGGAATGTCATGGAAATATGTAAAATATGGACATATGTCCAAAAAATCCAAGAAATCTACACACATTTTAGATGTAAATGAATTCATTCTACAAATGAACTAAAATAAATGTAAATGTTCCATAATTATTTATATTTTTATATTGATGTAGTTGACTAACAGAGAGATCAAATAAACATGAGTATGGATAAAAAGTATATGATTTTGTCTCATTTTTTATTCACTCATGACAAACACCATAAAATACAATTTCAATCTGACAAAACATAACCTTGAGTTGCCAATAAAATAGTAGGTTATCCAGAAGCCGGCAGTTGTAATTGAGAATACAAGCTTTGTCAAAATTTTGAAATATGACCATGGGCGATTAAAAGATTTTCCGACGCGACCAACCACTAAATCATTGTGAGGCACTTTCTGCTACTTCACTTCATCTGCTAGTTTCAGCCAGTTCCTGTCCTGGATATGTTTAACATTTAGAACTACATGTAAATGCATGAGTTTATGAGTTGAGACTTGAGCAGCAACAATGAACTTCTTGGACTGCCCCAATCATATCCGTATTCCACTATGTTCACACATAGAAACACTGCTTCAGGAATTCACGATCCTCTCCTAAACTGATGATTTTGTGGCCCATAAGGCACTGACTGGTTACCAAGGATACCACTGATGTCATATCAAGGGTCCATCTTAACAAAGTCCTCAATTGGGAAATGATCCATGAGAATTATTCCTTTGTTCCTGTTACAATCCAATTCATCAATGAATCCAAACCAATAGATAACCATGCCAGGTCCAAATCTGAAAAATAAACATATTTAAGTTCCTTACTTCATAGCACAATAAGCATTATACTTAAATATGTGAAACCTTATGCTGGGGCCAAGACACTGTCACAATTTTTCGCTTTGCTTTTCCTTTCTAAACTTGCCCTTAAATTGTATAAAACGATAGTGTTTTGTTATAAACCCAAGAGTCCTTGCTGGGGTATATAAATACAGTAAAACCTGTAAATAGGGAACATGTATGGAGCCACAAAAAAGTGTGTTCACTGCAAAAAGGGGATTTTATACAGGAGTCAATGAAAAGTGTGTCTTGAAGTGGTGTTCACTAGAGAGGTGTTCACTAAGACAGGTTTTACAGTAAACACCTATGTACAGATGGAGTGAAGTCAGTGAGATTAAAACTGATATTAAAGTGTGCCAGACTTTTAGAACTTAGAACCAAAACATACAGACTGATTAGCCAGCTTTACAGAGGTATCAAAGTACCAAGTAGGAGGAAGTCGCATTGACATAAAGCAATAGTTTATTGAATGATTTCAAATCAACCAAATGGACCAACAGTCTTTATTTAAGGAAGAAAGGATGCCTCTTGTCCATAGTTTAACTTTGACCAGTAGATTTGTAATACTTATGACACACCCTGAACAGAGTTCTATAGAACGTTCTTTGAGGATAGACAGAGGAGACAGACAGAAGGACAGATGAGTGGGCATTTTCATGGTTACCATGTGAGCAAGAAGTCACGTGTAATGTTAATACAAATGCACAAGATGTGGTTTAAGGATTTAAGCCTTGGACTCAGTGCATTGTGTGCTGAACCATTCCACGAAGATGTTGTTTCCAAATCTTTGTAAGACCCCGCAGTTCAGGAAACAACACCTGAGTGGAATGAAGCAGCCACAATGCATTGAGTCTTAAATTCTTTTCACACATTGCAAAATATTTTCTATAAAATTACATAAAAGATACAAAATCACTAAAAGAACATATTTTCAATGAAACTTTTAATCTGAATTTCAATCGCTTAGCAACTGTACACAACAAATGCGTTATTGATATTTCACACACTGTTCATTATGTGAATACTCTGTTCGGATTGGCTGGAATCGGATACACCTTGCCTAGCTATGTGTGAATTTATAATAAAGCACATGGAGACAGGAAACAGATTTCAGAGTGCTCCAGCCTGAAAAAATCTATTAATGAAACTTACATTTCCTTCAAACATAAAGAAAACTCCCCATTAATTATAATATATACCGATATTTCTTTTGAATGCCTGATTCTTGACTTTGTGGTTTCTATAAAGAAAAACACTCATAAACTAATGCTGTTGTTTTATCCCACAATTACTGCAAATGTATGCTACATTATTTAGCTAATTCAATTCCGGATATCGCAATCTAAGAAGCTTTTAGACACACACTATTGTCTTCAATTACTTGAGAAATTGAATTAGACAGAGTCAGGGCCAGTCTGTAATGTACAGGAATAAAGCAATGGATATGCATTAAAATTTAGAATGAATCCATGTGGACCCTGGGACGTGCCTGTATATCTAATGGGGAGGGGGATTTAGACACTGTTTCTTTTCATGCTAGATTATGATTTGGAATAGTTGGGGGTTTTCCCATTGGCAATTGCGCATACATATCCTGGATTTTTCAGTTTTAAAAATAAGTGCTTGACTCTTAATGTCGTCTGAATCACAACCAGGGATAACTTGGCACTGGGGAACTGGGTTAGGAACATTTGGTGCTATGCCCCTCTTCCCTTGGGAAATAGAGAAGGTACTACGGGTACTATATGGGTCCTGGTCTGGGCCCCATAAAAGTAAAGGTATCCCCCATCAATTCACATATACTGGTAGTCCTTGATATTCTTTAGTTTCAAACTTTCGTTTCATCAGCAAATCGATTTGAAACAAATTAATTTAAGATATTTTTAATAAGATTTACCCATTGAGACAAGGATACACATCGCTCAAATGTTGAACGAAAAATACCACCGATTCAGGGCTTAGGGATGCATGTGAGAGGTGGGAACAAGTTGGGATGGGTGTTTCTAAATTTGATAACATAATAGGAAATACATTAGTACTAGTATTCCATGTGATACATTTACAGAATCAGCATATATTTGTAGGTCATGACAACCCTCTCCAAATATGGACAAGTACTCGTGGGCCCTGTCTCCAGCCTAATATAAGACAACACTTTACATTAATGTCTTTCATCTCAAACATCTATCTCCATTACTGAAGACATTAACCAAAGAGCAATGTATGAAACAAGATGGGATTGACAGGATTTGATTGGTTGTCTTTACCCGCTAAATGTTTCCTAATACACAATTCAGAGGTCTGTCGCCATTAATTTGTCGCTAAGTCTCATCTTAAGAATAACACAATTTTTTTTTCACTTAGTATCATCAAGAAATTTGTGTAACAGTATTTTGTCATTTATCACTCAAGTTTTGTCAGAATGATATCGGGATTATCTAATTATGCAATCGTGTTATCTGATTTGAAATTGTATTTTTTTTTTTTTTTTTTTTGAGCCCATATTTTCTGATGAATGAAAATAACAATGTCATTGTAAAATTTGTTACAATACAACAAAAGATATTGAAGGAATACGAACAAATGAAACTGATGATTGAGATTTTTGTATGAATTCATATTTCCTTGAAATATTGATTAATGACTCATGTCGATGTTGGAGGGCAAGTACACAATAACGGATAAGGTATGGTCAATATGATGTGAATCCTATTATCTATGTTTTGAGAGGGGATAAAATCCATTACATTTTGACAATGTATGTTGATTTTTAAAAAGGATAAATTTCTACTATGAAGGCAATGTTTCCAAGCTTTGATTTTGTCACAAAAGGAGGTTTACATCACAGGATATCAATAGAATAGTTACAGGTTGCCATGTTCTTAATATATGGGGTTATCTCGTGGTTGATGTACTATAGTTCAATTGAATTTTTGGACGAGGGAACCAGTCTGAAATGCAATTAATCATAAATCTTTGATTTGTATTTTTGAGCCTGTTTCCAAAATTCTGAACCCAAAGAAATAAATAATAGTGCTACATAGATAGGAAACTGCAATCCCCCACCCAAGAATGTAGTCCCCCTCTAATCAGCGACATAATACACCACCATAGATTAAAAATATATTAGAGAAAGGCATGATAATGAATTGGAAAAATAAGAATTATGGTATTTCAACTCTCAATCCTTTCGCATGTACAGAAATTGTACTTTACAAGTGACATCTATTATATAAATAAAAGTATAAATCTTCAATTTATGTTGATAAAGCAAACCTTGAGGCATTTCTTGCCCTTTCTTTAACATTCCACTACTTTATACCATCATTCTCATTCATTTGACTTAGCTTCTCAAAAGCTAGCTTCATCAACAGAAGGATGATTTTCTACACATGGTTATTTCTGAAGTAATTGTTTACCCAGTATTAACACACATAAAACATTATTTATCATCAAATCCAAATGTCAGCATGGCTGATTTGATTTATGACCTGTCTGTGAAGACTATCAGCAGTGGGGTTGAACTGTAAAATTGTCTTAACTGTCCACAGATATTGATTGTATCGTATTGTATCTTATTGTATTTTATTGTATTTTATGTTTCCTCACCTATTCCAGTAGCTCCAGAACTGATCTTTCAGGTAGCCCTTGTGACTCTCTTCATCCCCAAATGATGCTTTACTCTCCACCCAGTTGACAACATGGCCATCATAAGCTGGAAAACATGTACCCACATTGTACATTGTGGAGATAAAACTAGAAACTGTTTCATTTGCATATCTACACCCTTATGTCAATCCTGTTTCAATATCAAGATATTTTGGTATAATCAATTCAATGTATTTATGTATGTATTTATATTACACTGTACAAGGTCGCCATCTATTGACAGTAACCTCATTCATTCATGATAAATGAGTCAGTTTATATCAATTACTGCTTCTCAACATTCATTTCAAAAATGATACCACTAACCTATGGGGACTTCCAGTTTGACATCAGGGGTTTTATCGTAGCCTTTCAGGCGCATCTGGTCTTCATCTAGAAATATGTCACAGTACTTACATTACACTTACATTCACAGTTGATAAGCACATATGTGGTCTATTTTACATGCATCACTATCAAATCCTATGTTTTCAAAATTAATGGGATCCAGATGTACTTTTTCCTCAAACCGGAATCTATAGAAATTCCACATTATAAGTTTAAACATGCATAAAATGAAACACATAGATGGGTATAGCGAGGCGGGAGGAAGGCACAATTCTACTGAAGAAGTAATGTCCAACCAAATAGACCACTTTTCACTGAAACTGTGAAAATGATGACCAATAGTAGCACTATAACATATTTATGCTAAATTTGTATATTGAAATTTCCCATGCCTATTTTAAGACCCTGGTTATGCCCCGACCTATGTCATGTAAACAGTGTGTATGTTTAGGTTAAGCTATTATACAAAGAGTCACCAAGATAAGGGATTTCCATTTCCTCCACTCTTTTCTTCAGCATGAATTCATATTCCCAGCCTATAGAGCTACACACTGTTAAGGATTGCAATTTTTGAGTAGTATAGTCCAGATTGTGGATCCCATAATGTTATGTACCATATATATTTCACACTTACTGTAATTCTACATGATTGAAATAATTGGAGACTTGATGGATGGTGAAGTCACCTTTATTAACTTTAACAAACAAAATTCATTTCACTAGGCTGGGTATACAGTTTAGCAATGTACAATTTATAGCTAGATGTTTAAAATTTCTCTAATTGTGGCGAAAAGGAGTAAAGGTGCCACTTTTCCTACTGCTGACTCGTGGTCAGACAGTTAACAGAAATTTTGGCCATACAATCGGACAGTTCATTCAGTTCGAAAGAATAGTCTTTAACGGAACTTTAATTGAGGGAAAATTGTTATTTTCATCCTTAGTTTTACCCATTCTCTCGATTTGCAATTTGTTTTTTAAATATCAACATTCTTCACTAAAATCAACAATTCACCATGCTCCGAAATAAAGTTCATTCCTTTTTATGCTGGCAAGCACACCATAGCAAGTCAAATATTCATATAGTACTGTATTAGTACATTGATTTAATTCTTTAACTAATGACTGTAAGGATACTGCTTTATGCTGTCTGTTATGGGCCCATATTGGTCATCAGACAAGACACACTGCAATACAGAAAACATGTATGTAAAGTAACAGTCATCACATCATTCAAAGATTAACTCTTCTAACTACACCCTTATATATATGCTCTACATATACTTAATACATGCATAGTATATTATAACACTGAAATAAATTGTGCATTAATAAGTTGTTTGCATGTTGTTGGTAAAAATATTTCAAAAAACATGGACTATGTAAGGTTTATGACTTTTCCCCCTTGAAATTTTTTTTCAAAGATCAACAATTGATAAATAAATTAATAAACTGTTTAATGTCCTTTTTGAATTAAAAAATGCACACTTAAAAATGATTTCTGACCATTTTAGTTAATGCTCGAATGGCACTGCAAATCAATCAGTAAACAAAATTCATTATTAAATATGAACAATCTTTGTCAAACAATTTTCAACCCCAGTTCTCCTGTTCTCAGACATTGAAACAATGGTCCAATCAATGGTAGTACAACCAATGAACAATCTTATGCACAGCATTAAACTCAAACTTTCCTTTTGTATAAGCACTTATAAAAGGAAAGGAAAGTAACTTACTGATTGTATTTCCCTGGCCAGTGTGATGTCATCAATCATGTCAGGTTGTTTCATAAATTGAGTGAGAACCAACCTCGGAGCTGAAAAATGATTTATCATGTTTAGAGAAATATACGACTTTCATACATTTTATTTTAAAGGGATTACGGGGCGTTATCTATAAGTATAGCAGTGATCTCTCCTCAGCATTTAAGCAAGTGGGCGCTGCACCCACTTGAGATTTTCAAAATAGGCTTGCACCCACCTGAGAATCCATTTGCACCCACTTGAAAATGAGAAAAATCATGAAAAATAGGCATTTTGACCAAATTTTGTCTCAATTGTAAAATCAAAATTTTGCACCCACTTCAGAAAAAATTCTGGGGAGAACACTGTATTAGGTTCCACTAAATTAGTGTTTTGAATCATATGTTACCACAAAAAAAATATTTAAACAATATACATATAAATAGTGTTTGTCAACAATGAGTGTTGAGTCAACTATTTACTGACAAAAGATGTATCAATGCTATACCATCGGGACAATAATTTGACAAGAGTTCAGCTTTAGGACATACAAAATTCTTGATATCACATTTTTGAAAAAGTTTTCAGTTTATCTAAATACAAAGTTTGGATGGATTTTATGCAGTTTACTCAACTACAGCAATTTTAAATGTATTTTTGTTGCACTTAGTACATGTTTATAATATATACAAAACAATCAAAAACTGAATTTTTCAAAACAGCAGTACTGTACTTCAAAACAAATGGGGGCTATAAAAATATATTACCATTTCCTGGTGGTAACATGAACTGGTGGTAATTATAATTAAACAAATATAAAAAGCATTGAAAAAATACAAGTACAAATTACCAGATTCTCCATCATACTGGTTGATTGATAGATGGCGCTCTAGTATCATCCTTGCTAAAAGCGCAGGGGCCAATCCAATCTGAAAGTAACAGAAGGTTTGTATGAATCAATACACACTTACTATGTTCAATAAAATTTCATTCATAATGGCATTATCATAGTTGGCACATTATCGCACATACTGTACTTATAAACTGGTACAAATTATTCATTACCGTTTCATTTATGGCAAAGTGAGAATCAGTCCAAGGTTTAAGTTAGTTTGCCAGAATATCCAAATTCTTGATGATACTGGTCAGAAATCTTTGATGGTAAGTTACACTGAATGAACTACCGGGGATCTCAAAGAGCATGTACTCACAGTTTTTGAGGATGAAACAAAAAACTAAAAGACACAAACTCAGGAACTCTGTTTAGGTACCTGAATAGAACAATCTCATAATAATACATTGATTACCTCATCTGCAATATGTAAAAGGATGTTCTTATTTCCCTTATCGGACAAACTGTCAAGATATCTGAAACAAGAAGAATTCAGATACTTAAAACATTTAATACACACAGTAGTTTTATATGTAAATATCTGCAATTGTTTAACAAGCATGTATTTAACATGCACAATGGTTTTATATGCAACAAACATGTACCTGTTGTAAAGTTTCCTCACAGTGTGTGCTTGGTGCATCTTATAATGTATTTTCTTCATCTGCCTCTAGAAACAAGAGATGCACTTTAAAATCTTTGGTCATTAAAATGAAAAAATGAAAGGCACTTTAAGCTACATATACATGTAGATAGATAGGTTTTTTGTGCCATTTATGTTCATATGACAAATATTTAAAGTACTTCTTGATAAATAGGTTGCTGGATCGTACCACGTGAGTATAAATTTCAGATGTTCAGGATTCATAACCCCTGCCACTTTTCAGTTTAACCTAATGAACATTGAAATGACATGTTAAATAATTTGCATTCCAATATTTTGAGCTAAAAGTGGACATTTTATTCTTTTCCCAAGAAATGAAAAATAACTTTGAATTAAAATGACATATTCATTATATGAATTACGCACCTGGTAGTCTTGTGAGAATATGCTGCCTAGAGTTTTCTTTGGAACACTAAAAAATAAAAATAATAACGAACATTTTGGATTGTATATAAATCATTTATATCAGAAATCAGATTCCAGATGGCCTATAGAGCTATATACAAATCAAAATTTATTTTTCCATGTTATATACTCTCAATTAATCAACTCAAGCATCTACAAATACATGTATACTATTCATAACATAACATGCAATGCCTAAAACAATTCATTCTTCTAAAGGAAGCTAGTTCTGATTCAATACAAAGCTTATATTGAAAAGTCTCAAAATGTCAGACTAGCCCAATTTTCACTACACGCAGCATTCCAAGACATCTTGGCTAAAACATTTTGTTGAGTTTACATTACCATTTTCAAGACGTCTTACGAAATATAATCAAGTTTACATCTGTTTTCCCAAGAGGTCTTAGATACCTTAGGTATACATATAAAATGAAAATATATAAGTTCAGTACTCTTGAATGACGGTTTATCCAACATGGCAATTCAATTCCCACTTCTATACCTTTTGCTAAAGAATGTATTTGGTTTTCAAAAATATGTCCTGAAGAAATCCCGACTGACATCATGTAAGAGAGCAGCAAGATTTGAAGCATATATTAGGAATCAGTGATCTACCCAATATTAAAGCAAGCGGGCACAGCACCACCTGAGATTTTAAAAACAGGCTTGCACCCACCTGAGATTTCATTTGCACCCACTTGAACATGAGAAAAATCATGGAAAAGAGCATATTTTGACAAATTTTGGACTGAATTTTGTACCCACTTGAGAAAATATCCTTGGGAGAACACTAGGAATATAAAAGAACGCCAGGCGAAGATGAGGATGTTTCTTCAAAAGGACACAGACATCCTTGATTTGCCAGAGGACAGAAATAGAAAACACATTTATATTTTACACACAAAACGTATGTAAAGTGCTCACCATAAATAAATAACACCTGGATTTTCTATTACCATTTCCAGACCATGGTAATTTGAGACTTCATACTTTCCAATAATGTCAAGATACACATCCTTTAAGTTTTGTATATTTTACATTTTGTATACTCTCATCCACTGATGTATAGCCTATTGAAAATTCTCTTTTTAACATGGGAAGTCCTCACTTCAGCAAATCCAGGGGCTTTGTATAAAAAACCTCCTACCTCATACCCACCTACCCAAGTACGTGGGACATGATACAGTCTTTGAAGGGTTCAATTTCAAAGATCTTAGTTTATTAACTCTTAATTTATGATGAATTATAGATCCATTTGTAACGGCCCTTGATAGCAAGGTGCTACTACATCCCAGCTGGGTACGATTCCCATTCGGGGCATCGACTTTAGCACACTTTCTTTCAATTGCTTTATCTGGCTTGTTGGACCTAAGCTCGCGGTCGTTAGTTATTTATTCCCTGGGGCGCCCTCGGGTCATTACACATTAAAATGCATCCATATGCCTGTATTTATGGATCTGTCATCTGTCTAGTCATAAAATAAAGCCGGAATTGTAGAAATGTTAATAATTTTAGCTATTTTGAGATTTAAAATTGAACCCTTCAATGACTGTATCATGTTCCACGTAGGTGGGTAGGTGGATATGAGGTAGGAGGTTTTTTATACAAAGCCAAATCCAGGTGTCATTTATTTATGGCGAGCACTGTATATTTCAGATACATTCATTTTAAGTGCAATAAACGTATGGCCTGGCAATAAAGAGAGTTTCAAAGAATGTTGTTGGCTTTTGTTGCATATGGATCAATAGTGATGGACACCAGGATACTCTTAGAGATTTTTGCGAATAAATCTATCCAGTTTACAGCCGTCAAAATATGAAAACTAGGAAATAAAAACATATCGGTTATTTTAGTTAGTTTCTGTTTTTGACTAAAGTCTATGAGGTTGCCAATATTTAACTGCAATTACAATACTCAATTCCAACAATACTGAGTTGATCGACTGATTTGTCACAAAAAATTACAAGTGAATCAAATCTTTTACTTTTCAGCCCTTCATCTATATACTCACCCTGTAAATACTTTAGAGATGCATTCTATACAGTCTCTGGTTCCATACCAATGAATCAGATCGACTATTTCGCGATAATAGTCCAGCTTCATATCTAAAACAAAGATAAAAGGACTGCAAAAGCAAACTAAAATTTTGAAATATTTGAAACTTCCGCTTTAATTTCAAACGAGGTTCAGCTTTTAGAAATAATTGCCAATTTATGTTGACTTGCGTAAATCTATCCTTTATTTCATGAATTCTAAGCAAAAAATAAGTATAAAAAATGATTACATACTCTAAATGATGCATTTAGGCTTTCGTAATACTTGTAAATGGAAGATGTATTGAATTTTAAATTAGGTCAAATAAAAGCGGAACCGGAAGTAAATAAAATAGTGAAAGTGCTTCGTCCAACTTTTAGAACTTTTTGTCCAATTACTTCCATATAAGATGAGACTGCACCTACTTTACACATTCAGCATATTTTACAATATACATCTAACGTATAGCAACATCAAAAAAGATGTGAATGTAAGTGAGAGGACAGTTATTTTGCACTAAATAGAAATTACAAGAATTGTTGAGAAATATATACAAATATTCTCATGGCCTTTAGGCCTATATAGGCCTAATAAGCCAAGCCTAAGGGAAAAGTATTACTGTAATATTGAGCTTAGTATAGAAATGACAGGTAGTCAAAAGAAATTGTAACATTTACAAAAACTTGCCGTCCGCACAAGTTCTCCTTTAGACTGTATCCTTCGTCTGAATAAATATTCAGACTGTAAGTCACCTATTGTAAAATGTGGTGTTGTATAAATGATACAAATAAGTTTGTTTAATGATAAAATGATTACCTTATAAAGAACTTACATTATTATTTTTTCGTATATTGTCCTCTTACTGAAGATATTCATAAAATGTACAGACGCTTCTTGTAGCGAAGCCATTGGTTAGGTCAAGCCATTTTGGCAATGCCAATTCTCACGATAAACGAGATTTAGCCAGTGACGTCAGTCTATTTGTAAACAATAACACGTGGAGCGGACGGAGCAACATTACGGAAGCGTATTGATAAATTCCATTTGTGCGGGAATTTATTAGATCTAGTCATTTATTATCATTATCCCGATTAATTTTCTTCATTTATAGTAAATAGAGCGGAAATATTCATGAAGAAGGTCGAGGTAATCAAGTGGTCATGTGTTGTCAAAGTTCAAAAATTTGCATATCTCGTTTGGATCTTGTGAACTCAAACGTCCTTGACATTGATTTCGCGATATACTTATGAACACATCCTGAAGATTTGGTGAGTCTGAACATTTCATTATTTTATATCAACTTGTACCCGCCTTATACAAATATTTTTGCTTCTAGTTTAAGATGAACATCTCTTCAACATATTCACCAATTTTCAAGGTGAACATTCTTGTAATAAACGAGAAATTTATGTGCAAAAAATATCACCGCGATTTCCACAGGAAATATATCAATCATAACAGACCGAATATGATATTCGGTCTGTTGGATACATACTAAGTTCTCCTTACTGGTATTGAACTGTATTCTGAAATCCAAAGAGTGTTGTTCAAACTTACATTACACTTATATAGTTGATTATTTCAAATCTTTATCTAACACTCCAATTACACTTACTGTATATATAACAACAACCGTATAGATATCTGCAATTGCTTCACAAGTTGAAATTTCAAGTTTATGATCAGTATCTTCTCAGCTTATTATTATTATTTTTTTATTATTATTATTATTCAAGATGACAACCCCATAGTGTTACCTATCATCTCTCACATCATGAGATCACCAAGTCTTTTAGAAACATGAGCTTTATTGTACATGTAGATGCCACCTGTGTCTGCAGACAGTTTGAAATCTGAGTATTTGCTGACACATTGGAAAAACAGTTATACAGTACATGTACATTGTATGTCTATATATCCTAAATTATTTGTATTTCAGAAAGCCTCTTTAGACTTGTTAGAAAAAGAAGCAGCAAAATTAAAGAAAGATGGCATTAAATGTTCACTAAAGACCATATCAAGAACTGCTGTAGAAAGATTATACTTTGCAGACAAGGTAGACCACATAACAGTTGTTTTATCAGATTCTCATTAGTGTGCCTATTTATGCACTGTACATACATTCACAAAGTCACCATTTTGGTGCAATTGCTTGAACGAGGACAGGTTCTAGAAGTCTTATAGTCTCCCTAAATGGTCTTACAAGGCAAAGGGCATATACATGTGGATTTGCCTCCCTTTGCCCATTCTGATACTCATAGCATCTTTCTGTCTCACCTGAAACAGGGCTGAGAAGAAATGAGATGTCACGGTTTATCATGATGCCCTTTGCCTTGTATCCTGATAGTATATACAATTTAAGTGGTGACACAATTTAAGTGGTATAGTCTATAACTTTTTTTCTGGATGTTGTTAGGTGGTTGGTGTTTGGCATTCATTGGTTGGTGTTTGGCAGTTGGTGTCTGTAACAAATTGCAGGTGGTTACATTTTGCATGTTAATGCCTTGTATAAATGTACAGAATTACTTTAGTAATTGTGTTTTCAGATATCAGAGTCATTGAGGTGTCTTATAAAGAAATTGGAGGAAGAAAGGACAGTTGGATGGGCATGGTCATTTCTAGGCCATCTTCTCCAAAATGCAAAATCAAAGTATAGTTCTAAAAGCTCAGCCACGACTGCTTTCAAACAGGCAACAAAGTTCAATGGAAAACTTGAAAATTTCGTCAAAGAATGGTCCTTTTTGGGACCATTTGTGATTGGTAAATTGGAAATAGATGGGGACCCCATAGCAAGTTTAGGTGGGATACAAGAAGTTGCTAAATCAAGGCAACAGAAAAATGTAAAATTTTATTCTGAGCTAGTCGAGAAGGGTGTGGTCAACTGGAGTGTATATAAACAGAAGAGTCCTGAGGAAAGCATACAAATCCAGCCTCAAATTAACTGGAATGATTTGGTCAACTCTCTTGGATCTATAGCTATAACAGAGTGGCAAGGATGGCTTGTTGGAAATTTTTTCATCAATGAGAATAATCAGAATATTCTTATTCAATGCCTTGGAGTTGCCATTGTTTGGGTAGACAATACACCAATCGCTGGTGACTTATACCAGAGAAAACAATTCCAGTTTGCGATAAAACTTGATCGAGGACTTCATAATCTTTATGTGCCATTACGCGCAAAAGCTGTACAAACATTGCAATGCTCAATTAAATCATCACCTTCTAGCTTTGAAATATTGACTCCAAATTTTCTACCAGATTTAGTAGATGGATATATATTTAGTGATTATATATCATTAACGATCATAAATCAACAATCAAATAAATGGCTCAAGAATATAAAAGTTTCACTTGAAGATCAATCTCAAGGGGAACCATTGAAGATTCAACAGTTGAATGATAAAAGATTTCATATTGCGCCAGGACAAACCAGACCTGTGACCTTCAGGATTGTTTCTGTCTCAACTGATCATGTGATTCCCACATGCAGTGACCTTGAACTAAAGGTGAAGGTCACTACTTCAGATGGACAAAATATATTCCCATTGAAATTACGCTGTCGTAAAAGCAGCGAATCATTTCTTTTTACATTCCAAGACCATGATGGGTCAGTTCAACATGGAGCAGCTATCAAACCTATTAAAGGATGTCCTGGGAGAGAGGATGATACATGCCCCACCCTCCTCACCCTGCATGGAACGACAGTACCCCCACAGAACCAGGCAGATAGTTATAAACGTATGGAAGATGGCAATTATGTTTTTGGAGTGGATAATGCATGGACACTTGCTCCAACTAGGTACAGTTAAAGGCATTATATATACATACATGATGTACATGTGGGCTGGCTCATTTATTCAAAGTAAAAATATATAAGTTTATTCTCAAGCATATTGATATCTCAGACATTACACATGGGCATAATATGAAGCTGGGTTAGTAAATGTACCAAATGATAAGATCAGTCCACATACATGTACATATAAAAAATGATCAAAATCTGAACCATACATGTACATGTCCGGGTACATGTACATACAATGTAACTTGATATTGAATTGAAGAAATCTGACCAGATGATTTGATGCATCTTCCTTACAGCATCTGCCCAGAATCTGTGAGAAAGACCATATTCTGGATTTTGGAGCCCTGCGACAGATATGATGATAAATGTTGTGATTGTATTGTAGACATGGGGCCCACAACTGGGAAGGTCCGGGGGCATTAACTGCTATAAGTGCCCTGGAGACACTTGCTAAGCTGACTCAGGAAAAAGAGTGGATTAAATACAAATCTTCAGCCCAACAAGTGATCTTTGCAGGTCTGTATGTATTCACCTTGTATAAAGCTCTCACTAGACGATTTTAGACAAAAAGGAGCATGTCATTGATGATTTCTCATTGTTCTTGGGTGACATTTGGTGCACTTTTCTCTAGTTTTGCTTTGGATTGATAAGCTGTAACTGTTTTTTGCAATTGCTTTAACATGCTTATTCTTTGAATAAAAAATAAAAATAAAAAAAATAAAAAAAATTGTTTTTGTAAATTATAGTGGATTTTGTTCATTGCAGTGGACGTAAAGGGTTTAAATGATATGACTTACTATTTTCACATTTTGCCACATATTTGTTACAGGTCACTCGATGGGAGGTCATGGAGCGTGGCACCTTGCAACTCACTTCCCAGACAGAGCCCTTGGCTTAGTGACATTGGCAGGGTGGATAAAGAAGGAAGAGTATGGGGATAGCAATTTGTTCTTCAGGTACACTCAGATAATTTACTTGTACATGTACATGTAGTGGTACTTTAGCCTTTTTGTGATCACCACATTTCATGACATTGATGTATGCTTTTAGACACGTCATCATCTACAAGTTGATGTTTTATTTTGCATATTTTACAACAGCATTGAAAGTGGAATTTTTTCTCTTTGCATGTTTTACAGTCATCTGGCCCTAAAAACACAACCTGAGATTTTGTTTGTAGATATGTCACCAGAATTGAAACTAAATATCTTATAAGCAAACATTTACATGACATGACACCATTTTCACATGACACCATTTCTTGATTTGACTTTTGTATTTTGTAGACATGACATCAGCACCAGTCACGTTGACCCCTCAGTGAAAGCTGTCCTTGAGGCGTGTATAGCTGAGAATGATGTGGACAGACATGTCACAAATCTGAAGGTTAATACTTTAAAAGTCTTTAAGATAATATAAAATGGATGGTCATATTTAACAGATTGTTTTACATGTTACTGTAAATGTAATTTACTTCATAAAGCATTTCCGAGTTGAAGTTAGTTCATAAACTGGATACGTAATCTTTTATCAGGAAAAGATGGCAGTCATGCATCGTACACACAATATACAGTGGAACACGTTGCGAATGAAATAGTTTTTCAAAGTCCAATGACCCATTGCCCTAATGGTAATTGAACTTCTGTAAGTGGGATACTTTCAAATCAAAACACCCTTACGTGGAACAATTGCTCATACAGGTTTTTATTTGTAATCCAATACCAGTGGTAATTATAATGAATGATTAACACTCAAAAATATAGTAACATAATAAATAGCATCAAATTGCAAATAAAGAATTGATTATTATTAATTGGCAAACTGGCGAATTAAGTGTTCTGGTATTTGGCTTTCTCCAAATTGTTATTCCTGAATCAATAATTTCAATGGACTATATTACCCTTTGCATTCGTTTGACTTCACTTCTTGAAAGAAAGCTTCGTCTTCACTCTTTCAAACTAAAATAAACCTGTGAACTCACCGCGCCAATCAGTGTTCGTCGGCCAAATTTGAGCGACGTTCTATATATGGTTTATCCTTCTGACGTCATCGTTGAGCCCGGAATTGACCAATGACATGCGCATATTTAATTAGAACGCATTTGGCGTGTGTTTCTTCAAGCTCGCTGAATGATAGAAGAAAGGTCAGCACGTAGGTCAAAAGTGATTTATTACCCAAACGATCAATGGTACCCGTCGTGGGGGCGGGGCTATTAAACTGTAATACGGTCTCTACTAGGCAGAGTGTAGTCTAACTAGACTCTGCACGCAGGGTAGGACTATATTAGACTCACATTGGAAAAAGCATATAGTGTTTTAGCATAAGTCATACAATTAGAGCTCTTCATGTTGATGCTTGTTCAGTTTAGATACTGTAGTTTCAAAATGATCTGGTGATCATTTACATATATGAAATGAAAGGATAATTTCCAAATTCCTCCAAAAGCAAAAAAATAGTTTGACAATAGAAATTTAGGATAATCAGGCTGAACAACTAAACAATTTATAAGGGGCTAGTCATACTTATTTATATAAACTTCCTGCAGGATGGGCTTGAAAATCTTGCAATGTTTGTTAAAGTAGGGGCATAAAATAGAATAGAATTTTCATATATTAACATTTATGTCACATTTATATTTTGAATAGGATGTCCCTGTCCTAGCCAGGATAGGTGGAGCTGATCGCACTGTCCATCCATACTTTGTGCGCCGTATGTATCGTCTGCTGATGGAGACAAACATCAGTGCCACCTATAATGAATTGGCGGGTAAAGAACATTGGTGGTGGGACACAAAGTAAGCATCACTTTCTCGCAAAATTTTTATCATTTCTAAAAAACTGTTCTTCCTACAGTAGAGCCCTTTGATTACATCAGTATACATGTAGTACAGTAAAACCTGTATATCCAAACTCCTCTTTAATCTGAGCATCTTTTAATGTGAATACTTTTCCTTGGTCCCAATTTTTTTCCTTGTTCTCATTGACTCACATTTAAGAAACCTTTTAAAAAATGTGAACACCTTTTAAAAAATGTGAACACCTGCTAATCTAAACACTTTTGGCCAGTTCCAGTGGCAATCGCATATGGCATGTTTTACTATACACTAATATATATCAGTCACATCGGATAAAAAATTAATTACATGTACGCGTAAGTCAGTGTGTATGTTTGGACTTAATGATAGCAAATTAAAATATTTGAATTGATTACAGTACAGGTAGCATTAGATATTCATGGGTTGACTTAAAGAAATATAATTTTATAACAATTAATGTATGGTTGTTGAGATGCAATCGAGACACAAAAAAAGTAATAAAAATTCACATTGTGGTTGTTTGGTGTTATTATTTTGTTCTGTTTATTATACATTCACCATTGTAAGCATATTTCAAACAAAGATTTTTATTTTGTATGTTGCTATTTACTACTGTATAGTTTTGATTGTCATGTTTAGATTTGCTTTATTGTTCTTTGAATTGTTCAAATTAATTATCCCACCGAACGAAGTTCGAGAGGGATATAGGAAAGCCGTCCGTCCGTCCGTCTGTCCGTCCGTCCGTTCGTCCGTCCGTCCGTCTGTTTGTCCGGGCGATAACTCAAATACCGTTTCACGGGTTTGATTCAAATTTTATAGGCTTATGCCTTATGGGTGTAGGACCTCTGCTTGAGAATTTTCAATATGGCCACTGAATTCAAAATGGCCGCCATTTTTCGTAAAAATGTAATCTTTAATAACTCAAATACTAGTTTGCGGATTTGGTTCAAATTTTATATGCTGATGCCTAGGGACAAAGGAGTTTCGCACAAAAAGAGATTTTCAAGATGGCCGCTTAATTTCAAAATGGCGGCCATTTTTCGTAAACATATGTAATCTTTGATAACTCAAATACCAGTGAATGGATTTGGTTCAAATTTTATACGATGATGCTTAGGGAGACAGTAGCTATGTTCAACAAAACATTTTCAAGATGGCCGCTTAATTTCAAAATGGCGGCAATTTTTCGTAAAAAACGTGATCTTTGATAACTCAAATACCAGTGAACAGATTTGGTTGAAATTTTATATGATTATGCCTAGGGACACAGTAGCTCTGTTCAAGAAATAATTTTCAAGATGGCGGCTGAATTTCAAGATGGCGGCCCATATTCGTAAAAAACGTAATCTTTGATAACTCATATACCAGTGAACGGATTTGGTTCAAATTTTACATGCTGATGCCTAGGGACAAAGGAGTTTCGCACAAAAAGAGCTTTCAAGATGGCCGCTTAATTTCAAAATGGCGGCCATTTTTCGTAAAAATATGTAATCTTTGATAACTCAAATACCAGCGAACGGATTTTGTTCAAATTTTATATGATGATGCTTAGGGACACAGTAGCCATATTGGACAAAACATTTTCAAGATGACCGCTTAATTTCAAAATAGCAGCAATTTTTCATAAAAAACGTTATCTTAACTCAAATGCCAGTGAACAGATTTGGTTGAAATTTTATATGATTATGCCTAGGGACACAGTAGCTCTGTTCAAGAAATAATTTTCAAGATGGCAGCCCATATTCTTAAAAAACGTAATCTTTGATAACTCATATACCAGTGAATGGATTTGGTTCAAATTTTATATGATGATGCCTAGTTCACAATGGTATAAACTAACTTTGTGCCAAATTTCATGCTTCTATCACAAAGTACACAAACATTTCAACATTTACACTAGCTATAATAAGCATAATATGTTTTGTTCGGTGGGATTTGCTACTCCGTGGAGTTGGTGTTTTTCTAGTTGAAATGAAGATGAAAATATGATAAACATCATTTAGCAATCCACTTCAAGTGAAGATTACTTCAATTTTGGAATGACAATTTGTATTTAGATATCAAACAATATAGACATGTGACTATACATTACATGCTCAATGGGCAGAATAGTTGATATAGATCAAAGTATTATAAAATAATTTGTCAGAATTGTAAGAGCATACATGTGTCGCCTTTCTTTTGATACCCCACGTATTTATATAGAAATGCTTTAATTTCAAAACTGGGCACCTAAACTATTTAATTTTTCGATAACCCTATGAGGAATTTTTAAATCAAGAATAAGCACTCATTTTTTTATATATAAATTAATCAGTTTACACATGGAAAACTTATTTTTAATTCATGTTTATAGGGAACCTAATGATGGTGGGGCAGTGAACGACCCACAACTGAGAAAGTTTATGACATCACATGCCCAACAACCAATCAAACAGTGCCAGGATAAAGACGCAAACTGTGATGATAGTAAGTCTTTTTAACAGTTTTCCCACTTAATTCAATCAAAAACTGAAGTGTATTTTATTCTTCTTTGTTGCCATACGCGCTAGTTTTCCAAAGTATACATAGATCAATTTTGCCACTTATCCAAGCACTCGGTTTTCATATTTCAATTCTAGTGATATTATTGATTTATTCTAGTAGTTTTCATATCAATGTTTAAATTGTACAAATGTTTCTCTCTTTTGATGTAAACTGTGCATCCCTTTAAAGTGATGTCATATCCTTTAGCCTGGATATTGTAACAATATTAATTATATTACATAAATGAGGTAAATTGAACATCAGTAATTTATTTTTAAGTTATGCATCCACAGGATTTCATTCTATGTTTTCATTTAACAAATACATCGAAAGGTATGAAGTTTTTATTGAAAATCAAACTGGTAAGCTAGGATTCATCTCATGTGACTTGTGTTTGACAATATCATAAGAGGGAAGTACCAGAGTTAAGATTCTAATAATCCTTGATACTTAATACCTGTATATGAAATTTGTCAGAAGTCAAATCCAGTATCAGATCAAAGAACATTTTAAGTTTCTTAAGCATAAACATGTCCTATAGTTATTGAATAAATTGGTAGAATTTTTCCAAAACTTTCATATCCTCTTGCAATGAAACACTCAAGTTGGTAATCTGGAACACACTTGGCAAACAATGGAGGCATACTTCAGAAAGATAAAAGATAATCAGTCTGCACACTTTTACCTGAGGCTGAAATCTGATATTCCGTTACCTAGAATATTTCGATTTACACTTGATTAAGCAAATTTTTCTAAGCTGACAGTGAAAAGCACTTAATGCAACACTTTCATTAAATGTATTCTCAACAAGCAACACTTACATGTACAGTGTATATCTAGTATGAGTATAAACAGTATATTGTCTGTCTTCAAAAACTGCTGCAAACTTCCAAAGTGTTAACCATGCATTGCATTATTTCAATAATTAAATTGGATGCTGTTTTTCATTCAATATTATCACCCCCTTGTGAGGCCTGTTCTCATGGTATAAGTATTACTTTAGAAGATTATGAGCTCTCGTAGTTACATATGTATCTCTCATAGTTAGCTTATCATAGTTAGCTTATCATAGTTAGCTCTCATAGCTAGCTTATCATAGTTAGCTCTCATAGTTAGCTTATCATAGTTAGTTCTCATAGTTAGGTCATCATCGTTAGCTCTCATAGTTAGCTTATCATAGTTAGCTCTCATAGTTAGCTCATCATAGTTAGCTCTCATAGTTAGCGCATCATAGTTAGCTCTCATAGTTAGCTTATCATAGTTAGTTCTGATAGTTAGCTCATCATAGTTAGCTCTCATAGTTAGCTCTCATAGTTAGCTCTCGTAGTTAGCTTATCTGCCATTGTTCATTCCCAGGGATTTTCATCAGTGTGAAACAATGCTTTCTTAAATATAGTTATCATGGGGAGGGGTTAACTTCAAAGGAGTTATAATCCTAAGTTGAACTTTTGAGATGCTCTCGAAGAGTGCTTGATTCTTACAACATTTACCTAATATTCTATTTTACAATTTCTAAAGAGAGCCACCATCTTTTTTTATTTTTCTAATTGTAGATAAATTGAATAAATATTCTCAAAGAGCCAATGTTGATGATGAGTTCACATACACTGTGATGAACCCAGCCTTTGGGGAAGGCATGCGAGGCATCAAGGTCATGCAGCAAATTGTGCCTTATAGGACATCTACAGTCAGGGTGAGGAACAGTTATCTAATTTATCATTAACATAAATCATCTGGATTGGGCAAGGGAACTTACATGTAATTGCCTCATTCGCAAATTCAATGTATTTGGCATGCTTTACATTATACTGTTCTATCAATTAATATAATAGAACCACCATTTATCCACACGTAAATAAGGGCCAAACTTAGCCTTGATGTCGTTTCGTTTTGTATGTTACACCTGTACTAATCCCCAGGTTTTAAATAAACCCATGGATAGGGCATTATGCTGACTCATTTAGGACCATGATATCGTCTCAAAACACGATTATTATCATTCCTGTATTTCATTTCAACTTGACCCCACCTTCTCCAAAAATGTATTTGAAAATAATATAATTGATTAATGATGAAATTATAATTGATTTATTTCAAAACTAAAGTTGCTCCCTTTTTATTATTAAAATATATACATGTACTAAGAAAATGTAATAGATTTTTTTTACTTACAAAGTGTAATGGATTTAACCTCTCCCAACAATAAATAATTATAAGTTAAATTATAAAACAATAATAAGTTTGCAGGCATACATAAACTTATATTATCCCTGATCTGCAGTAAGAATCCCCATTGCAACTTATATTATCCCTGATCTGCAATAAGAATCCCCATTGCAACTTATATTATCCCTGATCTGCAATAAGAATCCCCATTGCAACTTAGATTATCCCTGATCTGCAATAAGTATCCCCATCGCAGTAGGTCTGAATGGTGTTTACTGGTTAGTCCAATCTTTGAGGCATCACATAATAAATCAACATACAATCACTAAAGATAACATTGAGAGGTGCTTTGAAAATGTGTTAGTCTCTTAGAAAAATACAAGATTCAAAGCATTTAGGATGTGTATATCAAACAGATGCTAATGTCTGTCTACTCTATACCTCTTAAAAAGGTCGTCATTCCATTTTAATTGTCATAAGGTATTCAAATAGGTCAAACACCAAAAAATTAAGAATTATTGTTTTAAGCATTATGGAGATCTGCGTAACTTCATTGTTGTTGCCATTAGTGATGGGCCACCAGATGAGGTCAGGTGATACCAGGTGATACCATCTTGTTCAAAATGATATATACCATCATGACTGTATTTCCCATTAAGACGAGCATAGGCACAACTTTCATACCACCATCCACCACCTTTGAACTGATTAACACAATCTGTTGCATATAAATCATTGTCCACATCAGTTGTTGAGAATTTCATTCCATGTATCTTTCCATTCGTTGCCATTCCTCCATTAGGCCAAACACTGTCACCAGCAGTGCCACCTGTGTATGACCCTATAGAGAGTTCATAATCGCTAGATTCATCCAGTATCGAAAAATGTGAATAAGTTGCGTCATACCATGTGTTGTCTGGTGTCATCAGATCAAACTTTATTTCATATGATGCTGATGTTGTCAGGACATGAATGTTATTGTTTCCTAACCAATGTTCATTGTTAGGATCTCCAAATCCAGTTTTGTATTCATTCCATGTTTTGCTGTAAAATGGGACACTTCCGTCATAACGACGTTGAATCACTGTCCAGCCACCATCTTGCATGTCACAGTAGACATTGAATGCAGGTTGCTGAGGGTCTGGTTGTATAAGGTAAACACCATTTTGACCATAACCATTTTCCTGCAATGTTTGACAGTCTCGATTGTAGTGATTATTATATCTTATATATCCATGATTCCAGTCTGAGTCCTCCAACATGGAGCATTGGATCTCATTCAAATGAATAAGTTCACAGATTTTATCGCTCTTGTCATAGTTCACCCCTGCACATTCTGCCACGTTTGCACATTTTGCAAAACACTTTGTCATGGAGCGTACTCCATATAAAGTCATTAATAAAGTACTTGCGTCACATTTTTGTAACTTTTCTATCTGAAATTCTTTTGTGAAGACATTATTGCAGCTGTATAAATTAAATTGAAACGTTCCAAAGATTATAATAAATAGTTGCGCTACTTTCATATTTTTATTCCAAATCTGTTATCATTCACAGTTTTGAACTTGAATATCCTCAGTAACAGAAAATAGAAATGTAATATTTTCAATCAAGTTAACTTGGTGTAAGCCGACATAGGTAATCTTCGTGTCTGTTTTCAATGTCCGATATATGTCATCTCTTTGTATAATGATCCAATTTATGATTGTATTTTTTCAGTATCGACAACTTACTCTTTCTCTCGTTACTCCTAACAGCAAAATAAGTTTTATCCACAATGTATATTATGACAGCCAATTAAATCTCTACTTTTCTTTTTTTTCAGAGAATCTAATTGTATCCCTCGCAAGTTTGATATATTGATCCTAAGGTTTTCACTCAGCAATGTGATCTGATGTCAGTGAAATATGATCTGATGTCAATGAAATAATGAGGAAATTAATAATTTTAGCTTCCATAAAGGTTTTGTTTCATAAAATTTAAAGGGACAACAAGGTCTGTAGAGAGGAAATAGGAAAACTATAACTTTTCTGATCGAGCTATCAAGGAAATCCACTTTTATATTTTTAAGATCCACCATGTTTCAAGAGGAATATCAGCTGAAATAATGTTTATCTATGGGGTTTCTTTGTAGATAATAAAAATAGATGTAAATCTTGATGAAATATCCGAACTTAAATATATTTTGAAACTGGTCCATGATCGTTGAATGGCCGCTCTGCACTAATTGTTACACCTTTAAATGACATGTATTACTCAGAACAGCGTAGATTTACCATTGTTCCTGTGTGATGTCTCAAGTTGAAGGCTTCAAACACTTATGTTATATCACATATTTGGATAGTGGCAATCTATGAAGAATTATTTGAATACAATGTAATCATCCAATCCTAATTTAATTGAACGTGTTGACGGATATTGGAATAAGAATTACTGAAAGGCTCTTCATTCGAAATATGCAGTAAGATTTTCAGAATCGACACTTAAAAAATTGTATTTCTCAGTGACATGTATAATTAAAAACCAATATCTGGATATAAGAATCAATGAAACTACTGATTCGAAAAAACATTTAAAACCCATTAGCTCATCAAAAAATAATTGCCATGTTACATGATTACAATAGTAGACCAATATAAAAATGAAACATAACATTCCTATAATAAGACAATTTTGCAATTGTTGTTTTCTGTCCTTATCCATCCATCCATCAGTCCATCTCTCTGTCAACAATTTTTGGACAATTGAAAATTGCCATTTGACTGAACCAGTTTTCATATTCATTTAACTATTGGTCACATGCTGGTAATTTACAAAATTTTCCTATTTTGTTGTCATGTTTTTGTGAAATAAACTTTTGACCATGTGAAAACCACTGACTTTTTTACATGGACTTATGGATTTTATTATGTCACCACTAAAAGTGGTAACATATTGTTATGGTCTCCAACTTTTTTGTGGATGCTGTCTGTCATTTGGTGGTTGGTGTTTGGCAGTTGGTGTTTGGTGGTTGGCATCTGTAACAAATGACAGGTAGTGTAGAATATTAATGACACATTATATTGAAACAGTGTCATTGTATCAAACATAGTGACAAAGTCCGTCATCTAACCCCCCTATCACACCAAACTAGTTTTTACCCATTCTTGCCAGTCCTACGAAAACGTCGTAAATGGGCTCAATCTGGCTGTGGTCGGGAAATATGTCTAAAATAATTAGCTACTTCGTTCATAAACAGTCTTCAATACATCCTTCTCATTTGCAGTTTATTCAGGTCGCACCACGTCGGTGTGCAACGTCGTATAACGGGTCCCTTAGTCTAGAAGGTCATCATGACCTGATTACAGAACGGTACGGTCGCCATCGAATTTTGAATCGATTCAAAATTCTAAAATCACCTTCCCGTCTGAGAACGTTCATGAAGTTCGTAAAAAGACCTTAGAAAGTTGCAGCTACGTTCATTCCGTTCGCACACAGTTTAAAACCAGTTTTGAAGAACGCAGTGGCAACTTGTTTGGTGTGATGGCTATTTTTTTGCGAACTCGTTCATAAGCAGTCTTAAATACGTTCTTAGTCAGTTTAAACCGGTTTGCAATTAGTTCTACCTCGTTCTCAATACGTCCTCAGACAGTTCAACTCGTTGTAAAAACACCCCTAGTAGGATTGAAGTACGACGGTTCCGTTCGTAGTACAGCTCATCGTTAGTACGTTGTCACTCGTTCTAATTGTAGAACGTGACAACCACTAGAACATTTTGAGCATGTTCTAAGTTCTAGAGGACCTACCCATTCAAGTACGTTCGATGAAGTTTGCAAATAGACCCCAAACGGTTCTTAGTACATCCAGTCCGTTTGTACACAGTTGAAGCCCGTTTTCGAGAACGTAGTGAGAACTAGTTTGGTGTGATAGTAGGGTTAATCATATCAAGGTGAAAAAATATTGTCTGAAATTGACGTAGGTGTAGGTGGCTAAATAAGTTACCTACTTTGGTTTATTTTAGTTTAGGCCCTCTTTGAGTTATACAGAGTGTCCATAAAGTCTCTTTTCACTTTCCACAGACTCTGTATTGTCATTGTAAAGATACTTTAATGACAACCTGTATAACAATATCTCAGTGGTATGATCTTCAATCATTGCTATATGTGTTTTCTACATGATTGGGGATCTCGGAATGACTGTTTAGAAATTTGTAAATTTTGGACTGAAATCTGATGTGATAATAGGTAAAATGAAAAACTATGACACGTGTTGCTCAGCAAAAACCATTTATTTCTATACACTTCTAATTTCATCATATTGAGTAAGAGAAGATGTTTTATCCTTTCATTTTATGATGCCTTTCAGATCAAGTCATTATCAACCTATGGAACCAAAGTAAGGATAGTTTTATGCAGTAGTGTTCTATATAATATACAAGAATGTTTCAGGTCACATGGGTTTAATATGCCTGGTATATACCTTCTGTTTAATTGATCTAAGGAGATCTGCGTAATTTCATGGTTGTTGCCATTAGAGATGGTCCATTATCAGCTAAGGTCAGTGGATACCATGTGACACCATCGTTTCCTCTATGGTACACTCCATCTGGGCTGTATTTACCATTGAGTCGTGCATATGCACAATCTTCATACCACCATCCTCCACCATTAAAATTATCGGCACAGTCTGATCCTGGCCATTTATCATTATCAACATCTGTTGTTGAGAATTCCATTCCATCAAGTCCTGTTTTTGGTAGCATTGCTCCATTGGGCCACACACTGTCACCAGCAGTGCCACCTATGTATGACCCTATAGAGAGTTCATAATCCCTAGATTCATCCTCTATCTCGAAATGTGAATATGTTGCGTCATACCAGGTGTTGTCTGGTGTCATCAGATCAAACTTTATTTCATATGATGCTGATGTTGTTAGGACATGAATGTTATTGTTTCCTAACCAATGTTCACTGTTACGATCTCCAAATCCATTTTTGTATTCATTCCATGTTTTGCTGTAAAATGGGACACTGCCATCATAACGACGTTGAATCACTGTCCAGCCACCATCTTGCATGTCACAGTAGACATTAAATGCAGGTTGGTTAGGGTCAGGTTGTATAAGGTAAACACCATTTTTCCAGCAATCATTTTCCCGCAATGTTTGACAGTCTTGGTTGTTGTGATTCTTACATCTTAAGTATCCATGATTCCATTCTGTGTCGACAGAGCAAGTGCCGGTCTCACCACTCAAATCAATCAGTTCACAAATTTTTGCGCTTTTCTGATAATTCACTCTTACACAGTGTGCTTCGTTCGCACATTTTGCAAAGCAAGTTTTCATTGAGCGTATTCCATATAATGTCATCAGTAATTTGCTTGTGTCACATTTTTCTGACTTTTGTATCTCAAACTGATGCGTATTAATATCACCTGCTTCACATGAATTAAACTGTAGAGCTCCAATTATTATACAAAATAATATTGTAATCATTCCCATTTTTAAATTTCTGTGAATTGAAATATACTTTTTTCTTGTTTGTCCAAAAATAGTTTTTCCCTTTCACAACAGACTCTGTTCTCTTTTTGGTACACTACCAATGAACATCATAAGAAGATGATTGGATAAGTGAAACTGACAATTGCGATGACGAGGGAAAAATCAATCAACACTTAACTTCATGTTATTTTCCTCAACAAATACATGTATAACTTTCTTCTTTTGATGTGAGCTTTTTTACTGTTTGTCTGTTCAATGATTTTTCTTGAACAAGTTTAAACTTAAGTGCCTGGGAATCCATAGTTAGACATCTTCAAAGAGCAACGAACAACTGACTCAATAAAAACAACAAGCTAGAACACATGATCACAACAGATTTAACACAGCAAAGATATTCTGTTTCACTCAGCCAGTGATTTGACTACTTTAGAGCAAATCTATTGTGATTTGTAAAATTCAATCCAGATATGAGATACCTGTGATTTGATGTCACCACATAGAAGTGGATTTGCCCATAATTTGGTCCTTACTTGATATAAGCATGGGCTTTCAAGAGGAAGTTTGAGACAGGAGAAGAGATTCTCATTGGGGGACCATTACACCCCCAAAATGCAATCTGATTTTCGACGCCGTTTCGGTGCCAAATTTCGGTGCCGTATCGGCACCAAATGGACTGACTAGTCCGGTAACAAATTTTGGTGTCGAAAGGTTTCGGTGCCGGAACGGTGTCGAAACGGTGCCGGAACGGTGCCGAATTTGTTCGATGCCGAAACGGTGTCGAATTATATTGGCTGTGTATAACCTTATACCCTGTACTATTAATGACTTGTATCCAAGCTTGGTGCCAGTCATACCACTGTGCTTGGGAGAGACTTATCTCGCTTGCTGTTACAATATTACCATGGGTTGTCTTTCAAATTATTGAGATAAATGAACTTGAAGACAACAACCCCTTTCAATGTGCATGATTTGGAAAACGAAAGAAAATAAGTCAGCTCTAAAAAGTCTCCTCAAATCACTACGCTGTCATTTGAAAATATGTCATATACTCATCTTGGGAACCTTGGATCAGTACCTGTGCTTTAAAATTGATCCTCAATCCATCCATCAAACACAAAGTTTAAAGTTATTTAAAGTTATTTATTTATTTGACATACACATTTTACAGTGGCACTCTTTCCAAGAAGGTACATATTGTCCTTATATGTTAACAATTAACTACACTGTGTGATAAGAGAAAAGTAAAGTATGGTAAACTCAGTTTTACAAATACCGTATTCTCTGTAATTACCGCCCACTCTCTAATAAGCGCCCACCCCGCTTCACAAAGTTCAAGAAACATCGAGGAATCAACAAGAATTGAAGAATATATCAGGAAAAAAATATTTCTCAAAATCCAGGAGCGGGCGATAATACCCTAAAACTGCTGTAAACACGACACGTTTTGTAATTCTATGCATCCTCTCGATACATATCTACCGATGGGTGCTTCCCACACCATACCACGCTAATATTGTCTCCAAATAGTCCATAATGAATGAAGGAATTGTTCTTTATCGGCATTCAGAAATTTCAAAAGCTACTGCGCAGATGTTCTGCGCATGTCAAGGTCGTGAACTTTCTGGTTTCTTTTTAATGTTTCTCGACTTTTACACGACTTTTGCACGAATAATGATGATCTCTCATCAAATTAGAAATAATGTATAACTTTAGATCGATATCCAGCAGTCTCTAGTGGAAATATTGAAGGTAATCGGCGATAATGACAAAGTGGGCGTGCCGGAAATAAATTAGACATAGACGGGTCTTCAACCACTGTCAATATTGTCTAAGCGATCTTTACCGTATTCTCTCCAATAACAGCACTTGTCATATTATTATAAAAATATGTTGAAGAAAATGCATTCTTGTCAAGAAAAATTGCCATACATGAAATTCCTCGGGATTTCTGATTTCTTTCATACATGGGCGCTTATTAGAATGGTCAAATAATGTATTTTCAATTTTCTAAACGCCCTGGGCGCTAATTACAGAGAATACGGTATATATCATTTCATACTGCACAATGTTTCAAGTCCACACTGGAGAAATAGAAACATACTTTCTTTTTTTTATTGTATTTCTAGCTATTTTAGTACAACAATTAAAGCATTGAAGTTATTTTACAAAGTAAATGTGACACTAGAAATTACAATGGGTGAACTGTATACTGGCAGATATATTCTATATTCAACACCAAAAGATATACAGAGTATCCATCGTGATCCTGTGCTGTATCTACAGTCGCCCTTTGTATCCGGAAATCCAGAAACATGTTTTCTGTTGACACATTTATCCAATGGTGATTTCTGTTCCAGCAGGTTTGATCTATGGAGATCTTCGTAATTTCATAGTTGTGGCCATTAGAGATGGTTTATCACCTACTTGTATGTGAGTCAATTGATACCATGTGACACCATCTTGATTCTGATGATATATGCCATCTGGGCTGTATTTGCCATTCAGCCGAGCATAGGCACAACTTTCATACCACCATCCCCCACCATTAAAATGATTAACACAGCTGATACTCGTTAAATCGTTATCCACATCAGTTGTTGAGAATTTCATTCCATTTAGTCTTGTATTTGTTGTCATTGCTCCATTGGGCCAGATACTATCACCAGCAGTGCCACCTATATATGACCCAATAGAGAGTTCATAGTCACCAGATTCATCCTGTATCGAGAAATGCGAATATGTTGCGTCATACCAGGTGTTGTTTGGTGTCATCAAATCAAACTTTATTTCATAAGATGCTGATGTTGTTAGGACGTGAATGTTATTGTTTCCTAACCAATGTTCATTGTTAGGATCTCCAAATCCATTTTTATATTCATTCCATGTTTTGTTGTAAAATGGGGCACTGCCGTCATAGCGACGTTGAATCACTGTCCAGCCACCATCTTGCATGTCACAGTAGACATTGAATGCAGGTTGGTTAGGGTCAGGTTGTATAAGGTAAACACCATTTTTCCAGCAATCATTTTCCCGCAATGTTTGACAGTCTTTGTTGTTGTGATTCTTACATCTTAAATATCCATGATTCCATTCTGTGTCGACAGAGCAGGTGCTCGTCCCTTCGCTCAAATCAATAAGTTCACAAATTTTTGCGCTTTTCTGATAATTCACTCTTACACAGTTTGCTTCCTTCGCACATTTTGCAAAGCAAATTTTCATGGAGCGTATTCCATATAATGTCATCAGTTCAGCACTTGCTTCATATCTTTTAAACTTCTGTATCTCAAATTCATGTGTAATTATATCATTTGCTTCATACACATTGAATTGCAGAGTACCAAAAATGATACAAAAAAACTTTGTGATAATCATGTTCGTATATTTTAAGGAGTTTAAAGAGTTTGTCTTGCTTTACATTATGTTGCCATTCATCTGCCTTACCATATGTAGATGTGCATAAAGCCTTTGTCTTCTTTGGTTCCCAATTGGCCAATTAAATGTTGTATTTCCAAATAGCACATTACATGTATCTGGTCATGTGGGTTTGCCCCTGAGAAAATCAATAATCAATAATCAAAGAAGAATTGAAATTTAAGCAATTCATCACTAAATTTGTTAGCTTCATACCATCCAAATATTTGTATGCGCTACTGATAAAAGTTTTTTTCATTTTTCCCAATGATTTTGTGGTGATATTACTGGTGCCTTAAAATATTAAGACAAGATATTTAGTGAAATCACTTATGTTAAAACAGTGAATTCCCATTAGTCTATTTAGAAACGATGTTATTCTAAGTTTGAGGATGTTTATTCAACACCCGGGGGGTTCACTGTATATAAAACTCAACGGGGGTCCTAGGCTGAAGCCTCAAATATCAATATGTTCCCATACCAATCTGTCAAATTTCAATATGTTCCCATACCAACCAAAATAACGCCCAAAGGCCATACCAAATGTCCAAATATAGGACCAATGCCATACCAAATGTCCAAATATAGGACCAATGCCATACCAAATGCCCAATTATGGGACCAATGCCATACCAAATGTCAAAATGTAGGACCAATGCCATACCAAATGTCAAAATTATGAGACCAATGCCATACCTTAATTCAAAGTAAATGAAATATAGGATCAATGTCATACAAATTTGCAACTACTGGACCAATGCCATACCACGAATGTTAGGTAACGTTTCTACAACGACCATTCTCATACCAGAAGAGCAAAAGTCCGACCATTGTCATACCTCAGAAGTCAGAAATTTCCGGGCATTCCCATACCAAATCCTAAAATATGGGTCCATTGCCATACCAAACGTTGAAAAAGGTACCCCACATGCGCGGAGGATCCCCGTCAAGGTTTATATATAGTGAACCCCCCGGGATTCAACACTCCTGTCCTCGCATAGATGGTTTCTGCATGACGTAATAGAATAGACATGAAGTACATGGCCAACCTATTAAGGGTTATATTATTTTGAATTATCTAATAAAATGGGGGATACAATGGTGATAAGTACAGAATCCATACCCACATGATCAATTGTTTCACAGCAGGGGGTTTAAACCTTTGAACTCCCAGGTATCAAATTCATAATCATTTTACTAGGCAGGTGAAAGAATTCCGTGCATTGAAATGCAACTTTTGGAACCTGTCTGTTATGCAAGAAAACCAATGTAGGATAAAGTTTTCAATTAAAACTCAAGAGCAAATAAATTATTTCGAATTTGCTAAATGGTGAAATTTTGTAAATGTCAAGCCCGGGATGTCAAGTCCTTAACATTAAAAATAAAAACAAATTCATGGCATATTTGACCCAAAGGATCTATCTCTGAGATCAATTTAAACATGTGGCACATGTATATTTGAAAGTAGATCTCTCTTAGATAATATTTGTTCAATAAATAAATTATATGTCATCCATTTGTCATGGTGCCTTTGTTAGCTAATCATTTATTTCGAGCATCAAACGTGACTATACATGTAGTGTGGCATTAATTGATTGTCTTGCCTAGACAGTTTCGGAATATTCAAGAACATATCGCCCAATCATTACCCCTCTGGCAACTTCTATTTTTTCTCAATCTGAGAAGTCATGCCAGGCATGAGGTAGAGTAGTTTCAGTTAGAGTCTTCAAAAACTTCAAAAGATCGCAATTATCAAGCTTTATGCAACGCTGTGCTTTAACTCATTTACCTCAGCATTATCTCTATTACAGGGATTTTTTGGGATGGTTTAGTATGTCACCCCTAAAGGTGGTGATATATTATAGTTTGAAACTTTTTTGTTGAGTGCATTCAGCTGTTGGTGTTTGGTGCTCAGGATATCTTCAAATGGCAAAAAGGTGGTGACATCTACAAAAGGTGGCGACATCTTACATGTTAATTTCTTGTTTAATGTTGTTCTTTCAGAGCTTTATGATTTTAAGATGTGGTATTAAAACCAAGCATTGGGTGGGCCATTGATGGAGACTTAAAGATATTATAAGATATTTTAAATCATCCATAAAATAAATTTAGTGTGGTCAGCATATGCCCATGAAGGAATTAGCAACATTGAATTTGTTCATCAGTTTTATTTTTGAGAGGGGTTGGTCAGTTTTAAGTGTAAATCATTACACTTTTAGACAACATTAAAAACATTGACATTGTCCCTTGTCCTTTGAAAATCATGCAGTTTTTCACCATTCTGGGCAATTTGCAAGTAATTTGGGCCAAGGTTGTCAAACCCCCTGAAACCCCCTGGAACTCAATGGTGAATCCAACCTTGGCAAAAGCTGGCACCAGGTTATCCCGTACCAGGACTATAGTCTATAGTCCTGGCACAGTATAAGCACCAGGCCTCCTTTGACTCTGTATAATTCACACAGGTTTTTCAGGGTACCAAACCAGCTTATCTTGAATTACCCTATACTAGAAGAACTTTTGAATGTTTATGTATTATACACAAGGTGAACAAAATCATATAACTTTTACCAAATCTTGAGGTTTTCTTGAGAGCTAATTTTTATTTACACTACACGCGACATTTCAATACATCTTTGCTAAAATGTTTTAGTAAAATCATGTTGAGTTCACACCACCATTTTCAAGACGTCTTACGAAATATGATTGAGTTTACACCTATTTTTTAAAACGTCTAAGAGATATATAGGCATACATGTAAAAAAGCAGTTCAACACTGGTTGTAGTCCAACAACATTAGACCTAACCTGGGCATTTCTTATCTGACATGGCTCTGGCTAGGTCTAACCTCCATGATCATTTTGCCTTTGATGCGTTAATTTAATCGTTCCGCAGGTTTCGACAAGCGGAACTAATTAAACCCTGAAAACATGGTAATATTGCGTAAAGAATGTTATTCAAGCATGCATACATACCTAATGAATACATACACACCATCCCGTATCCCCCTTAGACCTTAATGATGCATAATTACAAATATTGGAGACAGGTTTGGAATAATATTGTGTTAAATCGCTTGATGTTATGTGTTTTTATATTAATGTCAAGTATCAGTTGCATGTTATCACAAAAAAATGGTTTTGATGGATCCAGAACTTGCAATAAAGGAAAGAATAGTAAGGAGGTTAAACTCAATAATGGCCAAGAAAATTCCTAACAGTAAAGAACGCTGTTATTGAGTTTAACGACATTGAACTACACTGGTTGAAGGATGGTTCAGTCAACATAGCTATTCCTTTCCCGCTTCTAACTTTCTGCTAAAGAATGCATCGATTTCAAAAAAAATATGTCCTAAAGAGAGCATTGTTAAAAGCATGAAAGAGGGCAAGAAGATTTTGTCCATATATTAGGATTATGATAGAACGCTAGGCGAATTAGTTCTTCTCGATTTTTTTGGGATGATATTGGTAACAAAGGGAGACAAGAGAAAGAACCATGCTACACATGTAATCAGAGAGTTTCAATTTTTTTTGTTCAGCGCAACGCATAAAACTGGGCTAAGAGCTCTTAGTTAAAACTGATGGATTTACACTCGCTTGTAAAACGTTTTAACGCTAAGATGTCTTGGCTATGACTAGGGTCCAAAAACGTTTTATCTAAGCGCTCTTAGCCGAGAGCTCGTGAGAAAATCTCGATTTACATTACATTTGTAAAATGTTTTAAAGCTAAAACATTTTGGCCAAGATGTCTTAGGGCTCTAGTGTAAATCCAACAATTGAGAAATAGATATACCTTCGAGTTTTAGTTTGAATACTAAGTTTAGTTTTAAGCAGTGTTTCATATTTTGAGTTCACTTAAACCAATATTATGTTTTTGTTTTTAAAAGGGTTTTGTAGATGCTAAAGGGGATATGGCATTAAAGACAGTAAATGTGATGGCTATGCAGTTTTACCTGCCCCCTAATAGAGCTTCAGATTGGACAGGGAAACGGTTGGAGGTAAGATTATATAATATACAAAAAAGATAAATATGAACTCTTGACCCACTATAAACTTACAACTAGTAGGCCACATAATCACAAAAAATATTTTTAAAGGGCGGTATAATTTTGATCGTAAATGAACACAAAGTGTTGTAATGTATATGATGATCTGCAGCTTGTAGAAATATATATAAATCTTATTTGCTGTAAATGTCAGGTGAGCAGTTTTTCAGCAAAGTAATAAGCGAAGGTTTATATCAAGTTACAGATCACCAAATTATGTTTGTGAAATTTAAGATCAGAATTAAAGACATCGCCCTTTTTTTATTTTAATAATCAATATTGATATAAAATTTAGATAATTCAATAACATTAACCCTAAATGTAGTTGATGGAAGTAGATGAAAACACCATTAAAATAACCATTACAAGCTGGCATAAATATACTTCATGATGCCTATCCCAGATTACAACATATCAATATGTTGTAAACATTTTATTATTTACATTGTAATTTCAGCTTTGCTAATGATGAAAGAAAATGCAAATTAACTCATATAGTAAAATATTAACTTGATATCCTGAATGATTACATTGTATAATTTTACCTAAATTACTGATTATTCACTGATTTTTTGATTAAAATAAATAATGTTTTCTAATTAATCTCTGCTATACATCTTAATTTTCAAATTAATTCTGATCAGTCTCATTCTGCCTGGACTAGTGATATTAATTATTCCATTGGATGAAGTTTGTAGGGATATAGAGAAGCAATCTGTCTGTCCATTCGTTCATCCACTGGTGTGTCTGGGCAATAACTCAAATACTGGTGGTTAATTGATGGATTTGGTTCAAGTTTTATAGGTCAATTATGCCTTATGCGTATGGGGCCTCTGCTCAAGATTGAATTTTTGATAGGTCGCTCAATGCAAAATGGCGACCATTTTTCATTAAAATATGTAATCTTTGGTAACTCAAATAGCAATTGACGGATTTGGTTCAATTATATGCTGATGCTTCAGGTACAAGATGGCTGGTCAATTCAAAATGGCTTCCATTTTTCATAAAAAAATGCAATTACCAGTTACAGGAATTTTATATTTTACGTCTATGCATTATGGTCATGAGACTAGCTTTACTCAAGAAAGAATTTGATATATGGCATGTTCAGTCATGAGTGTAGATTTTGTCTAAAGTCATTTCTATGACAATGTCCAAAATGACAAACTATTTGTTAAAATACATGTATGTTTTCTTCGATGGGATTTGCTTCTCCTTGGAGTTCTGTTTTCTAGTTATGAAATGCAATGGGCTAGTGATTTTGACTGAAATAAGGAAAACAGATTACATTCATTCTTATAATTTGATTATTTTATGTATCATTGAGGGCTGAATATCAGTTTACAATATATACAATTCTGTAAATTGACGGGTAGCTATAGTATCTGAATGTAAATTGAGGTAAATGGCCTGAATATATTTATTGCATTATTTTATGAATATTATACCATCTAAATTGTCTTAGATCTTTTTAAAGTGTTTTCTTTGTCAGAATTGTAAACTATACTTCATATAAACATTTAATGTGAAAAGCTTGTTCTGTGATATTGATCCAATTTTCCTACTAAAATAAACATTTAAGAGGAAATAAAATGACATGTTTGTTTGGTACAGTATGTTCGAAACATTAACTTAAGTGTGTTAAGAATACTTTTGAATTTATCAGCTCAGCTTATGAGCTGTGATCAGAATAAGACCCACATGGCAAATTTAAGATTAATGATATATTCCATGTTCCCTCAGTTAGAAGCTGTCACTGGACTTACATTGATTTTGTCAAAGATACATGTAAGCCATTGTCAACACATGGAAATATAAATATTCTGGGCAAATTTAGTAATGCTCCTGAAATATTCATTTTTTGAAATGGTAACCTTCCATGACGTATGTTGTTACTTCTTCTTAGGTTAAGTTACTAGATACATGTATCTTATTATTTAGATTTTAATTGTACATCAGAAATAATCCAAAATGGCTGTTAAAATAGTGTAAGGAATTTTCATCCATTTTTAAATATCTCCAATGTGTATTTATTAAAATGTAATAGCTGTCCCATAATTTGAGATTTGATCCAAAAGATGAAATATTGAAATTGAATTGGAAACAGTTTGGGCAATCTAGTATAGGGTAAATAGGAAGAGCAACCCCCTCCCCGTCTATCTTACTGAAATGTGTACTTAGGTTAATTAAAATGAATGTACATTACATATAAGCTACCTACAGTTACCTACATAGACAATACCTCAAAATAATAACATTAAAATATTTTATATTTAGGTGGATGGATCTCATATTGCTCATGTGAAGTTAGGAGTGAACTACTGTCTAAGCCAAGGTAGGGGAGACATACAAATCATATAATATGATGCATACCTCAACACATTCTTTGATGCTGATACCACTGCCAATGGATTAATTAAGCCATGGTCAAATGCAAGAATCTATATAAATCATTTTGTCAATCATGATTATTCACTAAAACTATTTAAATCTATGACCCAAACACATACAGAGGACAGGACAATGGTATCATCATTTAATTAGTGAGAACATTGTATCTAATCAACATATACGTGTACATGTAAGTACTATTAATCATGTTCATGAATTGAAATTTTTCATGTCAACAGATAGATGGCATGAGTGCATAGAGTCAGACCTTCAGAGAGGTCCCTCTACCTTGGGTCCTTCACGTCGTGTGGCAGAATCACCATTCCTCATAGTAGTAGGTGAGTATAGTAGAACCAAAAACCAAATAAGTAATATATTATGTGGTCACCTTTGAGCCTCAGTCAGTTGTCATATGTTAGGAACAGTGGCAGATCCAGAAATTATAAGGGGGGGGCCCAAAGTTTGAGTCTGGAAAAAATATCCTTGCTTGCACTGAAAAAAATTTGTGCCCCTAAAACCAAAAGTTTGGTACCCTGCGTGCAGAGTCTAGTTAAACTACACTCTGCCTAGTAGAGACCATATTACAGTTTAGTAGCCCGGCCCCCACGACGGGTACCGGTGACAGTTTGGGTAATAATATAAATCACTTCTGACCTATGCGCTGACCTTTCTTCCACCATTCAGCGAGCCTGAACAAACATACGCCAAATGCGTTCTAATGAAATTCCGGGCTCAACGATGACGTCAGAAGGAATGACCATATATAGAACGTCGGTCAAATTTGGCCGACGAACACTGATTGGCGCGGTGAGTTCACAGGTTTATTTTAGTTTGAAAGAGTGAAGACGAAGCTCTCTTTTAAGAAGTGAAGTCAAACGAATGCAAAGGGTAAAAGTTTGGCCAATTTTTTGATAGATTGGCCAAATTATGTCCAAAAGGGCCCACTTTTAAGGCCCTACGAAATTTTGGTGCCCAAAAATAAAAAAATCTTTACCTACTGAAGCGGGGGGGGGGCCATGGGCCTACAGTGTATAGTGTACTACAGTGTATAGAGTGCCAGGCCTGTAACCATTTACCATAATTTAGATTTGAATTTAGAATTTGGATTTACCAAAATTCCAGGGGGTTCACTTTAACAACTTTGGCCCAAAAATGGGCAAAATCACTTGAAAAGTGCTCAGAACTGTGAAAAACTGCCTGATTTTGAAAGAACTCAGGCATCTTTCACAAAGGTTTAGAACAAATCCCCTGGAAATGACTTCATTATTTTACTGGATACACATCAATTTATGACAAGTTTGTAAAAGAAATGTTGATTGCAGGGAACAGAACCGGTTTGTTACCAGTATTTTTAAAGTTGTGGTGTCAGAGCAATGTCCCAGCCATAGTGTCCGCCAAATTGCCAATATGTCAACAATATTGCCAAATTAAGTCGCGCCAAATTAAACTACATGTATTTACAGTATCAACCAGAATCTGTACACGCATGTCATACATGTATTTAGGTAGCCAAGGATCTGTTGAGACAAGGCAAGCCATTCTAGAGTTTGCTGTCTATATAGCCAACCAGTTCTACCTAACCTCAGATACCCTTGCCCCTATTGTACAAGATGTAGATCTCTCAACATCAGTCGCAGGTATATGATATCACTGGGAATGTAATGTATGTAATTATAATTTCAAATGTCCATTTCAAAATGTCCAATCTCAAATCCCCTTTTTGATTTTTATTGCCTTTTTCATTGAAGCATATTTTATAATCCAATTTTCATTCTTTTGACATTTTATAGTAATAAAAAGCCTGATCAACTGGTTATGTTGGACATTTTTTAAATTTTTTTTTATTAATGATTTATTTCAAAAATATAGATTAAGTTGACTCATGTGTTGTAGCTTTGCAGCACAGCATTATAAACCACAAATAAATCCTGTAAAACAGGCAATAAACCTTTAGAGGCCGGCCTATTGTTGTAGATCCACTGATCTATGTATTTCCTAGTGAAGAAATGTTAACATCAAGTTTTAAAGAATTTTGTATGAACTAGCACATCCATATTTTCTCCATTTCAGATGGCTATAATTTGATAGTATTAGGAGGCCCGACTGAGAACACATATGCCTTACAGTTCATTGATCGACTTCCAATACAGGTGGATGACTCAGGTGAGTTACTTAATTTTTGCCATTCAAACTTGAAGCATCTGGAAAATTGAGCCTGAATATTGAGTGGTGAAATAGCTAGGTGCATTTTTTATTGAAAGAACAATTTATGTCACCACCTACAAGTAGTGACACATTGTAATAGTCCACAACTTTTTCTGGATGCAGTTGGGTGTTCAGAGTCCACAACAAATGGCACTGTATTTGTAACAAATGACAGGTCACCTGTAACAAATGGGAGGTAGTGACATTTTGCATGTTAATGTCTTGTTTACGCTAGAGCTGTTTTGAATATATTATACAAATATACTATCAGTATCATCTTTCGCATTTGTTTATTTGTGGCATAAAATATTCCCAATACATGTATCTAGTTCATCATAATCATGAATCATGATATTGATAAAAGAAAAATGTTTGTTACTGTTCATTCAGAATTTATTAAGGTCTAGTCTTCTATATGCAGCAGTTTCTTAGTTATTACTTACTATTATATTGTTAGGTACACATTGTTTTTCTTGTTTATTTCTTTACTTAGACCATGCTTACTGAAAATCAACAGATCAATAATGTTGTTATCATAAGTTCTAAGTGCCGTCAATATCTGTATTAACTTTTTTATGGTAATCATGAAGTTGAGTATTATAAAGGATTATTATTATTATAGAGGATTCACACATAGCTAAGGCAAGGTGTGTCCGATTCCAACCAATCCAGACACAGTATTTCAAATAACTGCAGTGCATTATATAACCAATCACTGCATCAAGGTTATTCCTTATGTGGTTGTCAAGGTGACAACTTGAGTCTACAGAGTGAAATTGATGCTTTGACAGCTTGACCCTTGCAAAGAGTGTCATTGAAAACAAATTCTTTAAGGGATTTCGTATCTTTTAAGTGACATGGTAGAAAATATTTTGCAATGTGTGAAAAGAATTTAAGCCCAAGACTCAATGCATTGTTGAATGACCATTCCCTTCAGGCATTGTTTCCTAAAATTAACACTCGATGCTGTGCATCTTGTTCAAATCTTGGAAAGCAACACCTTCAAGGAATGGTCATTCCACATTGCATGGAGTCCAGGCCTTAGATCCTCAAGTTAATAGATCTGTTTGCATATGATATTTGAACCAAAATAGGTAAAGTTAGCACCCATTTGAGAAAAAATCTTTTTCTAAACTCTCTAAATGAAAGATAATTTCGTGGATATTGATTAAAGGGTAACATGATATTTATCAAGGGAGCATAGTGACTGAGTGTCAATATATTTACCCAATGTTAGTGTCTTATTACATATCTAGAATTGTGGATTAACATCTATCAATAAATGGATGTTTGTAAGATCATCATTACGTGATACTTTTATTCGCCTTATATGATACCTCAGAAGGATTTTAATTGTCAAACTGACATACTATACCTTAAAGCTATCCAATTTGACTTGCAAATGAAGGCACATTAAACTTAAGTGGTTCTTTATTTATGGAAATGCTTGAACAAATATTTATAAGTCATTATTTTTTTTTTCAGGTTTAAAGATTGCTAGTTGCAGATATGAAACTTCAAGAACTGGTGCCTTGATCCTAGCTCCTCATAGCAACCATCACCTTGCATTGTTATTGCTAGGTAACACAATAGAGGGTCTTAGTGATGTTGTAACCTTGGCAACACCAACAATTCCACCCATGGCAAGATCACCAGTAAGTGTTTTCAAATATTTATAAGTACTAAAAAGAATATTTCTATTGAGAAAACTGTTATATTTGAATTAACACCTGCTTGACCCATATTATCACTGTTACACAGCTGGATGACTCTAACTGCAGTTAGCTTCATTCAAGATGGTTGCCGAAATTCTTTTGTTTTCGATAAACCTCCGATTTCAGCTAAACTAAGTTGAATCTGGATTCTTAATGTTTCACCATGCAAATTAATAAAGCTACGATGGTAAATAATCACAAGAAATTGCTCAAATAACTGCGATATTGGAGAATTTTAAAGAAAATGGCTTCACTTAGAATGACTCTAACTGAAATTGATGATGACGTAGATCATCAACTTCAGTTAGAGTCATTCTAAGTGAAGCCGTTTTCTTTAAAATTCTCTATTATTTCGGGTGTTTGGGCATTCATTCGTGGTTGAATACAACCGTAGTTTGATTAATTTGCATGGCTGAAACTTTTGGAATCAAGATTCAGCTTAGTTTAGCTGAAATCGGAGGTTTATCGAAAACAAAAGAATTTCGGCAACCATTTTGAATGAAGCTAACTGCAGTTAGAGTCATCCAGCTGTGGAACAGTGATTATGGACTATACTGCTGTTTTTGTGCAATATCCATGGCAAAAACAATGAATTTTTTTTATCATATTCATGTTATACAAATCTTGTAAATTGATATTTTCTGCTTTACAACCCCAAATTATTAACGCCTGATCATTATTTCTTTCAGTTTTCCAATCTGGTTCCCGACTTTGTGATCACCGGCCCAGAGTTCAGAGCTAAAGGTCCTGGAGGATATCTATGTGTGGGACACTGGGGGAATAGATGGGATTTCAGGCCTGAGCTCTCCTCATGTGCACATTGTTGATTTCTAGTTCAGTTTTGCCCTCTTATGTACATATACATGTAATGAGTCCTCTTATGGTGACAAATCAAGAACTATTTATTTAATAACTTTAATGTGATATGATTTTCTATGTTTTTTTTGTTTTGTTTTTTTAATTAATTTTTTTTCTATGTTAAGTTTACAAAAACATTGTATCGGTCTCCAGGGTATCCACTGACCATACATGAGTAGTAAGAGATATTTCCTGCTACATTTTTATAATCTAGACAATTATAGACATTCTTTGTGAAAACTGTTCTTGTTAATGGAGCAAACTTAGAATTTCCTTATAACCATGCTTTGCCTTATAACATGTAAGAGAAAATTACAAAATCAAATACCGATTCTCAAAGGAAAGTTATTTGTTGCAGTTGGTGTACTTTAGCTGAAGATGTTCAAAGATGTTGAAGTATATTGATCTATTAATGCTTCAAACACAAGTGTTTGTTGGACCACATCCCTTACTTTCTCAGGTATAGCCAATGGATGACAATGCTTGTGTAAACTATGCATTTCACAAAATTGGAATAAAACATTCACTTGACTAATTAATGTTATGTAACATTTGATAATCATGTCAACTCATAAATCGTTTCCTATTTTAATTATTCCTTTAATCTCACTGCGAGAGTTGTTTATGTAATTTATAATGTTGTTCATTGGAGATTGTGACAATAAAGGTTTTTATGTAAAATATTTACATGTACATTAATTTTGATATTTGAAAGTTCGATTGTATATCTTTGCATAAAAGATACCAATCACTATCAAAGAGTGAATACTGAAATTTTTAGTGGGTACCGTTGGTACGGTACTGTCATAATTTTGGAAATAAATCTTTGTTCACTATAAATACTCTGTGTAACCTGTGTGTCCAGTCTTCTACTGAAGTGTGCCAGACCATGAACCAGAAACACGTCAAAGGCAACTTAGAAACTAATAGATAAATTAGGGAGATTGTACCATGGAATGGGAACGTCTAATTGAAAGTCAGAACGCGAGATTTTACCAATATAAAGGATCTTGGACTATTTATTTTTTATAAAAACTTTAATCTCGGACAAAAACACCTCGTGTAATGGCAAAACCAAGCATTAATCTGCAGGAACTCTGTGTTGGAGGCCACTTCTGGTCAAATAAGAAGTGATTGAAAACGGCTCAGACGTCATATTCTCAGAAAGATTGTTCTTCTTTTTATGTTGTAACAGGTGAAAGACTTTACGTGCATTCATAATCATAATTTGTGAATCTGTATTTGCTGTGGTGCAATTAAAGGAGCACAAATGTTGACATAAAATAATTCATAGGATCTATACTTTTGTTTGCACTGTGTATATGTTAATACCATATATTACCCTTTAGTAGAAAATTATCTATATCGGCTTATAAGAAATGGACTTCTTGAAAACTGAAAGCAACATGTTCTTATATCACTTAAATCCATAAAATTACATCAAGAACACACAAACGAAACGTGGTAAGTAATTTAACTGTCTTTCTATTTAATTGAATATTTTTCTTGATAATGTCCTCAATGTTTTGTCCAACAAGATCATTTTGTTAGATATTGCATGCGAAACTCAGAGTCAGAGGCAAAAGTTCGATCACTAATTTGGAATGAACTCTGAACTACCCTTTCCAATGCTTTGATTTTTGCTTCTTTTAGAGAGACCTTCTCCCGGGCTTCATCTACACTGAACTAAGTTCTGACATCCGGGATATTCTGAAGTATTGACTCAGCAAGTTTTGTTTTTGTCGAATGGCGTCCTTATACATTACAACTTTACTTCTGGGGGTTATCGGAAGCCGGGCCGTCGATCGTTGTGTTGATATCTACGACTACTACCGCATGTTTGGACTAGATGTGAATTTTAAAAAGGGTATTTTTATGATCGCATACATCAGAGACATATATTTTATATGTCTCTGAAAATATATGTCCCTGCATACATCAAACCTTAAAACTTAATTAAGTCTTTATCAATCTTTATAGAAATTAACAGTATTTTAATCATCAACCATGTTTGCTCCAAAATGTGTACCGTATATAAACTAAAAATAAACACAGCATTCATTGACATCTTAAAGGCAAACTATGTCATGAAACATTAAATGCTGGAACTCTGCAAAGTTTTAGTTAACTAATGTTATCTATTATTCCAGATCTGTGTATTGACATTGTGTTTGCGTTAGACAGGTCTTGTAGCATTCCCGAAGAAGACCTCCACAATGAATATCGCATCATTGAGGAGACCATAAATGGTATAGCAGGCTTTGGACGAAATAAGACGAGGGTAAGAACCTTGGCAGGTCTCACACGTTCGTCGACAAAGTTATGCGATTGGTGATGAGTGGTTTCCATGACAACAATACATGTACATCCTCTTAATATACACAGTAATTTTAGTCATACTTTGTGCAGAAGATGCGCCCAGTATTAGTTCTATTCTTCAAAGTTTGGATTAAAACAGATTAAATTGACAATTCTGGATAATAGAGGTGTTCTTTATTTAACAGTCCTCGTACATTGTATGTACGAATTTTCGTAGAGACATTGCTAAATTGATTTACATCTGCTGAATATATGATTGATAATTTATACTTTCATTTGTGAAACAAACCCAAGACGAATTATTGCTCTCGAAAGCGTCTTCGATGCCGCAAAAAACGTGATTATGTTCTGACAGGTCATTTCTTGATTTTAGATCGGTCTCGTAACATTTGATATAAATGCCAGAGTTGTATTTGGTTTCAACGATGAAGCAACATCAACCAGGGAAGGTTTACTTGCCAAACTTCGAGAACTGAAAAGAGAAGGAACTGCACCTGATAGGTGTAAGACATTCACTTGGGAAGCTCTGAAATTGGCCAGGGAGGATCCAAGGCTCTTCGGTATATATTTAAGTATTTCAAATTATAAAATGATGTCAAATAATTATAGTATAAAGTATATGAAGTAGGTAGTATTCTTACATGCAATATGTTTAAGATTGATTGTTGATTGAATTCATATTGTTAATAGGATTGTTCTGTGGTTATTTATTGTCCCGAGTAAAAAGAAATTACACGCATTTTAATGATCAAATAATGATCAGTCATCTTGACTGCAACTTGTTATGGTCTTAAAGTAAATACAGTTGAATCAGTTTGTCAATTGATTTGGTCTGATTGTTGTTTTTTAGATTGATAAATCTAGTAACTTCACGCACTTGTTTATTTAAGGAAGGAAGAATCGCGTATCATTCTATTTTTGATATGTAAAAGCATTTGTGAATGTACTAACCCATTCTAATAATGCCCGGCTTCGCCCTCGTGCATTATGTGTACGGATTCGAACATGCACTCATGGTTTTAAAGGGTCTAGTGCACTCTCCATTATGATTTCCCCATGAACAAAATGAATCATTTTTAGGTGTAACATAAAGAATACAATGTCACATAATACTTTGGAAATATTGAAGCATTTTGACCCACATGGGCTGAGGTTGAGGTCATTAAGTTCAGCAAGGGTTACTGACTTGACAATGGATGTGCTCCATTGGCTTAACATGTGGATACCATCAGATTCCAATGGAGGCCATTGGTTTCTATTGATTTTCACAAAAATACCTAAAATACACTATGACCTGAATCGATTGCAAATTAAATAATTTCACAATATGACACAAATGGTATATCACATCAGATGTGCAAATATGAAGTTTGCAATCGATTCAGGTCATACTTCAAATTAAAAGATTTTCATTTTCTCCAACAAAACGGCGATAAAAAATGCTTCAAAAGCAACTTTTACACTTATGAAATGCCACACAACTTTGTAAATCCATTATACTGTTATGTTTCATTAATTAATAACATATTTGGATAATAGGCCCGTAGCCAGGATTTGCCAAGGGGGGTTCACTTTTTGGAAAATTCCAGGGGGTTCACATTAGACAATTTTGGTCCAAAAATGGCCAAAATCAGTTAAAAAGTGCTCAGAATGGTGAAAAACTGCATGATTTTGAAAGAATCTTTGGCCGGGGGGGGGGGTTCGCTCGAACCCCTCCCCCCTGGCTACGGGCCTGGATAAGATGTAGGGATATGTAGGATGCAAATGGATTTTGACATACACAAAAAATACTTCCTGGTTTGAAATCTATGGCTTTCCGCTTTATGATTGAATTAGGCCCTAATAAGTGGCCCATACAGCAATACAGTGCTCAATATAGGTCAACAAGATACTAGTGTGCATATAAATGTAATAATAAAAGCAGTTTACTCATTTTGAAAAATCAGATGAACAATTTTTTTCATTTTCATGGGGAGATTTCAATGGAGAACGCACTGCTTCCTTTCCAAAAGATTAATTACAGGATTCTTTATTGCAATTCAATCATGACCCTGAATCAAAAGTACATAAGTACATAAAACATTTATTGAGATGACAATGTATGTGAAACTTAATATTTATTAATTTATATATATAAATAAATGAAATAGACACTGAATTATGAATATATAGGAATCAAACATACCAATTAACTGTTTCAAAAGTTCATCATTGGTTTTATGTTTGAACCTACTTTGTGCTTCAACAACTTGCAATGTTTACAATTTTTTCCCCAGTTAATCATTTCAAAAACAAAGTCCTGTGGATCAAGGTCAAACATTCCATTCATCAGTTGAATCTTATAATTCCAGTTCACCATTTACATTCTGCAAAGTTAAAGTTGAAGGTTAGCCTTCATTTTCACGCAGACTCTTACTCAATCGAATGTTTTTAAAATTCAAAATAATTCTGACTATCTGGCCCGTAGACTTGTCAATTTGATTTTTTTATGGATGTTTCCTATATATGATATGGAAGTTATAGACAAGTTCGGACAAAAAGGACAAAGCCAGACAACGTCCGGCAAGTATATTGCCAAACTTCGACAATTTTTACAGTTTACTCAAGGGTGTGATGTTGCTCATAGTGTGTATTGTTACATTTTAGGAGGTGTAGATAAAAACAGCGATCGGGAGAAGATCATAATGCTTGTGACAGACGGTGTTCCATTTGAAACTGAGAAGGTATGTGTGTCACTTATCCATATGAAATAACATATTGTATTTATATTTGTTTAATTCTTTGTAGTAGCATTATTAGCAGTCTGAATATATTAATCATATTTTCCTTATGTCTTAACCATACCTTGTTTTTTAATTTGTGACGTTTCGTCCAGCATGGTCGCTTGATTTTTTCGAACTGCTTGAAGTTGATACTTGATCTTGAGAGTTAATTAGCACTTTATTCCACAAACTTGATAATTCGTGATTGCCTGAGTCTCTATTCATACACTGTTTTTCTTTCTTTATGTAAATTGCCTCTTTTATCCACCGTTTATTTCTCTGACCTTCATTGTCTATAACCTTGACGTTATCCCAAGTATCAACTTCAAGCAGTTCGAAAAAGTCAAGCGACCATGCTGGACGAAACGTCACAAATTAAAAAACAAGGTATGGTTAAGACATAAGGAAAATATGATTAATTTAGAAAGACTAACCAGATGAATTTATTTAGAACTATCAGTCTGAATATATATTGTCCCCCTAAAATAAAGTCATATCAGGTTTAGTATTGAGAATGAAGCTGGTTTTCATTACATACCCCCCCCCCCCCCCTTGGATCCGCCAGTGCGTACACACTAAGTGATTTTTAAGTGAACAATGTAAAACAATTAGCTATATGAAGAAATATTTAGTCATATATGACAGCTGATTCAGGTCACCAATCAGGTAGTGTTTTACCAAGTGTTCAAATGATTACTATCAAACATCTATTATTGAATAATTACTTTACATTACATTTATATAACGCAATAATTATAATACAGCACTCTTCTTAATGTCCTTAGAATAGAGAAGAAATGGCGGATGAGACAATTGCAGAGGGAGCTTTAAATGACGCAGCTGGTATCAAAACCATGATATTCACTTTAAAAAACAAGCAAGGAAATTTACCCCCAAAAAATATTTTTGAAACCCTTGTATACTCCATGCGGTGGATGTTCCAAGTGGAAGACGCATTAGTCCAGGAATTTGAAGTCCGTGTTTTTCCTCTACTTGCCAGATTTACTTGTGATTGTGAGTATATTTGCACTTATCAATATTGATCTGATGTCCTTTTTTCATTGTTATTTTCTGATATAATAATGGTCAATATATAATATGTTAATAGCAACCGCTTTAATGATACAACGATTTACTTGTATTAAGGCTATAGGGTATGAATTAAAACACATTTCGATAACAGTGTCAAAAATAAGCGAGACAAAGAATTAACGATAATAATTATTCATCGTTCTTTATTATCGACAGATATATGTAACGAACCCGTTGACTTGATTTACGTCATGGATCGCAGTGTTAGCATCGAGATTAAGAATATTCAGAAAGTGAAAGACTTCTACAAAAAGTTGACTGTAGCATTTGATTGTGGTAACATAAGAAATAGAACGCACCCGAAAACGTCAGTCTCAATGATAAGCTACAATCGAAACGTCTACCACCATTTGGACGCAACAGACTGCCCTGATGGAGATTGTATATTAGATAAGATAGACGCAATTCCAAGCACACATGAGTACTTCACGGTCACTAACCTTGCGCTAGAGGAAGTCAAAACAATCGTGAACCAATTCACAAGGCATGGTGGATCCCGGGGAATCAGACCAGTAGTAATTCTTGCAACTGACGGCAATACTTGGAAAGTCGATGCTACCAGTAGAGCTCCTCCCAGTCTTTCGATTGGTGTTGCCGATGAACTACGAGCGAGAGGTATAGACACAGTTGTTGTGAGTGTGCCCAACCACAGAGACAAACCTGGTTTGAAAGAACTGGAGGGTATTGCCAGTCATTTCTTGTTTGACCTGCAGTCCGAGCTGAACCTAACGAGTTTTGATGATCTTAACCCAATTGCTCCAATACTTGTTAAGCTCCTCTGTGAAAAGTACAAACCACCGTTACTTGTAAACTGAGTATCAATAAATAAAACGAAGTTAAATGGTTTGAATATGTTCGTTTTATTTTGATCGAGTGGTACCATGGCAAATATCCATTATCATTACCACTATCGTATATATTTCCAAAGGGTAGTGAGCGCGGGTAGTGAGCCTTATTCCTGATTTATGATTTATTCTGTGTTTTAGTTGGATTTAAAACTTCATAGGTGTATAAGTTGATTACTTGATGATTTGGCTATTATTGTATTTTTCGACAAGAATGCATTTCAAATATGGCCGCTCAATATGTATTCCTTAATTAAATGCCAGATGGATTTATTTCAAACTTCATATGGCGATGCTCTATGGACATAGGATTTCCGCTGAAGATTAATTATACCATACCAGTTATCGAATTTGGTCCTACTTTCATGGGCGGATGTCTTATAAAAATAGGACCACTGTTCAAGAAGGAATTTCCAATACGGCTACTTAAAAGACATACTTATTCAAACTAATATATCTACTAATTTCTGATAAATTGGTCAAATGAAAGTGTATGGAGCTTTTTCATGAATTGCTAAAGGCTCCGTGGTGTGGGGTATTCCATGAGAACGCATGGAATTTCCTAAAAGTCATAATCTCATTGACTCATGGAACTAGGAATGCACATGTTGTTCCTGTGTTGAACTTTTTTGACCTAAGTTTTTTTTTAAGTCAAGGTTTTTGTTTGGGTTAATTTACCTTATCTATTTCCTATTACATGCCATTACTAGATGCTTGTAAAAAAAGTTTTTATTTTATTCTTATAAGAGTCTACTTAAAAGAGTTATTTCTGTAATTTACAATTGTTTACATAAATTTTAAAAGAATATCGCTTAATATCAATTTATTTGCATATTTTCTAAGATACTGAAGTAAATGTTGCATGGATGGTTGCATGTTACGATGAGACGAGATATATTCACCAAGGGATAAGATACCATTATGAATGAATTACCATGAATTAAAACTTTTTTGCAACACCATGTCACCTTGCTCTACAACAGAAAAAAGCAATGAACACTCATTAATAGCGATAAGTCATATCGAAGAACTGAATATTAAGCGCCAGCCCACTGTAAAGAAAGTATAGAGATTTTGCAAAATAAGAATTGCGGCTTTTCTCCTGACTTCTCTATTTGTCTCATTTTCCCTTGAAATGGATCTCACAATATTTGCTATTGTTTTATGAGTGTTCTCTACAAGTTTCAGGGTTCTCACTAGGCTTTTAGACTCCGGAGAATCTCCGGAATCTTATGTCTTAAAACCCTCTTGCTCCAGAGTCTAATAGCTTTTCCGGAGTCTAAATGTTTTTTTCCAGAGTCTAATTTTACATTTTTGTCACATTATTTGCGGTAAAACTCTTGAGAAAATACATAAACTGGATACAAACAAGGAATAGGAAGTCAGAAATCTTTTAGAAATGAATATTGGGATTGAAAGATCGTCTTAAGAAGTATGTTGAAAAGTATACTAATAGGATATCTCTGATCTCACATGGGGGAGTAGTCGCGATACCGCGAAAAAAGTAGTCACAATACCGCTAAAAATCTGGGGTCTAAAAATTTCCTGGTGAGAACCCTGGGTTTGGATCGAGTATTCTTCAACATTATTTCCGTAGGTTTTGAAATGATGATGTTGAACTGATATTAAACTGAAATAAATGCCATTTCCACGATTTCTCAAATTTTAATTTGCGCATACCCGACATGAGAGCACGTGCCGCTCAAGATTGTTCCAGTGATCACATCCTGCAATTTGATTGGACATCATTTACTGATGGTCGAGATTTAAATAAATACGCTGTATGTTCATGAATACGAAAGAACACAACATAATTATGGCATCCTCCGATCACAGGGCTTCAAAATCCAGAATATATGCTTTCTTTTTACTCCCTGCGATAAGCAGTTACCATTTCCCCGATCAAGAACTCGCAATCTGATTGGCTGTCGCAACAGAAATCATGTATAAGTCATTGCGCATAATTAGATCACGTGATTCAGTTTAATCGGGCGCTTCCAAATTGGTTATAGCAGGGGAAAGAAGGAGGTACGGATTCTGGATACCTGCTTAGGAGGATGAATTATGGGAGCTATATTCTCTCCTTCTGCGTGAGAGGCAAATTGTATGAATTACAACAAACCTTATTTTTTATATATGAATTCTCATTCTTAGCAATAATAAAGTTATGAAATGTTGAATAAACCCCATGATTTAGAGTAGAGACTGACGGTTTTACGGGGGTTTTACCTGTGTACCATGTGTTTGCAGATACCATCGTAATGGCCGGTTGAAGTAAATGAACATTCCCATTAAATGATTTCATAAAATTTTGCTATATAAAGGTTAGCCTTTAAAAAGAACAGTTTAGTAACATCTCGAACAACATAGTGCAACATCTGGTAAGTTATTTCTAAACTATTTTGTTTTAAATTATTTGAACACTAGTTCCACGATTTGCAAAATCGTACATCCTAAAGGCTTCCTCACATATGAACGAATCCACTAAACGCAGCTTTGCGAATTGTATAAATTGTCAATTCTGGTAAATTGGGAGGTGCACATGCGAACTGAAGCGCAACAAAGCACATGCTTCCGAAGTTCAAGTCCTATTCGCAAGTACACGCAAGTTGACGTCGGGCCTTTTCGTTCATGTGTGATGCGGCCTTAAACGGGCGACAAGGACTGTAGAGAGAAAATTCGAAATTTTTTATTTTTTCTTAGCTACCAGGTCAATTTTCGGCTTAACACCTTCTTTGACATACCTATTTTCTTAAAATGTATGTATAAACTATCAATTTCAGCATTAAGAAGTGTAAATTCAGTTCAAAGCTTCTATAAAGGGAATCCCACTTATAGATTTTTAAGATCCACCACGTTTTAAGAGGAAGATCAGCTGAAATAATGTTCATCCAGGGGGTTTCTTTGTAGATAATGAAAATATATTGATTTCACCTTTAAACCATTGAGCACCAATTTGTAATTCCAATCCTTCTGACAATGACGCTAAATTCGAAATGAGGTTATGCTCGGACTAAGAACGAGTTTTCACTGATCATAGATCACAATGATGTCGCTGTACATTGCAACTACATGTATATTCCTGGGCGTTGTGTCATTGGACCATGCCGGGCGTCAGGTTGAGGTCTATGGCTATCAGAAGTTGTTCGGGCTCGATAAGGTGTACAAAAAGGGTATGTATTAAAATTTTAAAGTGCACATATAATTTCTGCCTTCACGTGTTCATAAATTATTCATCAGAAAAAATGGTGTACGTGCTGGTCGAGTAATTGACACCATTTCCTCACTAAAATAGGATTTTTTGAAGGACATCTTTTAAAATCAGGAATCTAGCACAATTTGTTTGTGTACAAATGTGTATAATGGAAAGGTCTATTGCAATTACTTAAATACTTATTTTTAAATCATGACGACTTCTTATTCCTATTCTAGATCTGTGTATGGACATTGTGTTTGTGATAGACAGGTCATGTAGCATTCCAGAGGCTGACCTCGTCAATGAATACCGTGTCATTGAGAGCGCCATCACTGGCATAGCAGGCTTTGGACCAGATAAGACAAGGGTAAGGAATATCTACCAGTGGTTTTATTTGGTTGTGTCCAGTTTGAATGTATGTGGGCTTTCAAGAGAGAACTGGGCAATGTATAAAAAGTACAAACAATTTAGCATTATCCATCGTGTCATTATTGTATGATTTACACAATGAGGATGGACATCTTCTCTTTTTCCTCCCTTCTTTATGCCTTTAGCTAGGCCCACTTGAAAAATAGCTATTAAAATAAAGATACATATTGTGGAACACGTGGCCCGGTTATTGTTCTCTATACCATCTATATGTATGTCAATCATAAGTCGGTGTGTGCCTCACATCATGTCATTGGCCAGATCATTACCCAATCATCATCTTTGTACATCATTATTTCACATGTAGTATAAAATACCCTGATCATCCCATTTTCATTAGAGTTACTCAGAGCTAGAGGCACACAGATACACCTTGAAGATCTTATAATAAAGTTGTTGTATATTGTACGTATTTGTTACTAGTTCTGTGTTTCCCGCCCTCCCCCTCCCGGGGAGGTCGGGGCTCTCATACCCACATCCCTTGACTTGTAGCAGCTGACCTGATTCCCCCCTCCCCACATCAGGTCTACCTTATGACGGAGCGGCGCGGTGATGCAGAGACCAACAGACCCCCCCCCTCAGGTTAAGTTGACCGGACTTGGAGCAGGGACCGGCCCCGGTATAAAGTACAGCACCCCCTCACTCGGTTCTACATTGGTGGCAGCGGTCTTGGGTGAATCCAGTGCCAGTGTGCTGTACCCGGGGGTCAGGCAGATCAGTGTTCACGTGATAGGCGATGCACGACGTGAAAACTGCAGCGTTTGCCGAACCATGATGCTGCAAGTCAAGATATCACACGTAGCTGAACGTGTAATTTGTCAGGGCACAGACCAGGTAGCAGTACAGAAACCCCTGGGACGTGTAAGACAGGCGTAGATGCAGGCAGGTTAATAAGGTCAACTCACGAGAACGGCCCTGGGGCAATAGAGCAGCCAGTTTGCGGTCCAGGAAGTGAGCTGACAACCCCTGAAGCAGTCACACGCAACACATTCGTTTGCCTGTGTAACAAAGGCGAAATGTGACTCCCCCTATGACACGACGTGTAGTGGCCCAAGGGTCAGGCCCGATCGTAAGGAAATGTTTCCAGAATCCCCCCCCCCCTCGTCGGTGTTTGAATGTCAGGGAAAGTTCAGCGTCTTGAGTCTCTTGCTTATCATAATGATCCAGAAAGAAAACGAAGTTTCGCAACTATTGTTTGACAGTATTTGATTCAAACAGATATAGCGCTAATGATCTTCTAACGACTGTCTGAGTGGGTACTATTGTGAAAGTAAAGCGACGCATCCCATTGTTTACACAAACCTCATTAACGACAAATGAGACAATAGCTAATTCGGCTGTCATGGGAGCAAATCAGAGGTATCAAAAAGGGGCTGGACTTCATGAAAGCTCGCAGCATTGACGTTCGAGGGAGGAGCATGGGCTGACGAGGTGCCTGCAATTAAAGAAGTTACTATATAAGTGCCGTCGCTGGTTCGACTAATCACTTCTTGATTTCTACTGCCGAGTCAACACCTCGACTTGATCTCCAAGCTACAGCTACCTAAAACAACACACTTGAACATCACCATGCAGAACCTCAATGATCAGCAAGCTAGTTCACTTAGCCCTTCAGCCAAACATGATCACGGTCAGTTAGACGATACAGTGGTTTTCCCAGGCCTCGGGGGACGCCCCGGTCAGCCTCAGGAGACCCCAGTATCTGAAACAAAATGGCCAACTCATGACACAGAAGGTGCTACGTCCGGATACGTTTCCCATGTACCTATGGTGTCAACAATGAATCCTGACCCCAGTAAACAGTTCCCACTACCAAAAGATATATCATCAGATCAATACGCTTTACCCCCGAGCGGATTTGGTGGTGCAAGGCCCAAAGCTGTACCCTTCCCCGCGCTCAATCAGTCAAAAGTGAAAGATCATGGCGGTGTCCCGTATACTTCCCCATTTAACCAAGACATGTTCCGACCTGGTTTAGGCCATAACTCTGGACTACAGAACGTCCAGACACCTCGTCGGCGGTTAGAAGACGAGTTGAATCTCTTAGATTCCATTAGAGAATCAACAAAGCCAGAAGAAAGAAAAGAATTAGACAGACTTCTTTTGAATCACGCCATCGCTTTTGCGGCTGACAGATTATCGACTGGCACAAGGAGAAATTCGGGAAGCATACACGATGCAGGCTTAATTCAAGCAAACGAGGCACGGGGAGCAAACGGTTCTACGCATAGATGTGCGCCAGGTTATCCACTACATGTACCTGATCCAAATGTACCACAGGCAGGAATAGGCCTACAGGGTGGCCACGAAAAGAAGTCAAGATTTAATCCAGACAAGTTTACCGGGGGTGAGACTACATCATGGATGAATTACAAAGCACATTTCGAACAATGTGCAGACATAAATCGTTGGTCTTCAGATGAGAAGTACAAGTACTTAGCGGCCTGCCTGAGAGGAAATGCCCTCGAAGTAATAGCAAATATTCCCCATGACCAGCCTAGATCGTATACTGATCTAGTAGATAGGTTAGAGAGACGATTTGGAACCAGTGGTCAGGCTGCACGTTTCCTTTCAGAATTACGTACTCGCGTACGCAAAAACGACGAAAAACTTGCGGCATTGGGCCAAGATATTCGTCGATTGACAAATCTTGCTTACCCGGAAATACCTCTTGATGCAAGGGAAAGATTTGCACGTCAGCATTTCATAGAAGCAATCGACGACCAGGATTTGAGATACCGTGTGTATCAGGCCCCATGCTCTACATTAGATGAGGCCATCAGAATCTCAATAGAGACAGAAGCATTTCTCGAATCTGACAGGTCCCGTTTCGGAAACCGTAGGCGTACAGATAAACAACGTGACGTCAGAAGAGTTCACATGAGTGAATTTTACAGCTCTGAAAGTGAAACTGATGACGAAGACGATCGTAGCCAAAGAATTCGTTCTGTTTCTGCAACAAACACTTCCGATTTGACAGATATGAGGAAGCAAGTAGAGGAAATGCAGAAAGCCATTGATAGACTGACTACAAAGGGGACTCAAAGCTCAAAGTCTTCTGCATTTAAAATAACTGGCAAGTGCCACAAATGCGGCGAGAGGGGGCACTGGAAACGTAATTGTACGTCCACCGACGGTGAACAGAACCAGGGAAACGACAGACGATCGAGCAGCAAGGGCAGCCCTCGATCGAAACAGTAAAAAAGCCCAGCCAGACAGAAATTACACTCGAGTTGACGGAAGCAGACATACTTGAAGAGCCGTTGTTTATCAGCAATTTTGAGAACGTGGAATTGACTAATGGTATCTACGTGTGTTGCGGGCTTGATGGCGTAATTGAAGCAAATATGCTTGTTGACACTGGGGCAACAGGTACGCTGTTATCTGAGTCTACATATAACAGAATTCCAGTGGACAAGAGGAACCGTTTGATGCCCGTGAATAGACGGGTAACTGGTGTTGACGGCGGAGCTGTTGGAATCCTAGGGAAGTGCACCATGCAGCTTCAAGTGGGTGAACAGGCAAGGAACTGTACTGTATATGTCGCGAAAATTCCTGGCGAGGGCATACTTGGCATGGATTTCCTACAAGGATGTGAGTGCACAATAAATCTGAAACATGGCCGCATTGAATTCCCCGGTGAAAATGTAAGATGCACATCAAGTGAAAAGACTGAATTTTGTTGCAAAGTAATAGTGGATTCGACGTGTTATGTCCCTGCGGGACATGAAGCAATTTTGCAGGGCAAGGCAACAGAAGACCTTTCTAGTGTGAAAGGCCCCGGCCTAGTCGAGCAATTTTTCCAGGAAAATGGCAAGGACCGAGGTGTTGCTGTAGCCAGAACATTGGTAAACCCGGGTAATGAAATAATACCAATTCGTGTAATTAATCCAGGCCCGTATGGCTGCACAGTATATCGTGGCACAGCTATTGCCGAAATGTCTTCTATTGACGAAGTAATCAGCGATCGGGACGATTATGCAAACCCAGATACTGGTTTAAAAGTAATGCATACGGGTATCGCCAGTAGTCGTGTCCCAGAGCATCTTCAAGAACTGTTTGAAGAATCCACAAAGTCATTGGATCATGAAGAGAAAGAATTGGTGGCTGATATGCTCTGTAAATACTCAGACGTTTTTTCAAAGGATGACAGTGACCTCGGTAGAACTAATTTAGTTAAACATTCGATTGACACAGGCAACGCAATTCCGATCAAGCAGAGACCAAGAAGAATGCCTTTCTGGAACTAGCCAGACAAGCAAACCAGCAAGTAATTTACAGACGGCTGTATCGCCAAACGTAGATGTGAAGGCATTGAAAATACCTCCAGAATTTGAGCTAACTGAAATAGCTGATCAGCAACAAAAAGACGAGGCGATCCGCGAGGTGATTCGATATTTGAAAAACGAACTTGCTAAACCATCGTGGGAAGAAATATCAGATCAGACACCAGAGTTTAAGGCGTATTGGGGTCAATGGGCATCCTTGCAACTTAAGGAAGATGTGCTTTACCGGAAGTGGGTTAGTGAAGATGGCACTGAAGTAAGGAGGCAATTGCTGTTACCGAGTGGACTACGAGACAGGGCGCTGAATCAGCTACATGACTCAAGACTCTCGGGGCATATGGCAACGAAAAGAACCATTGAAAGAATGAAACAGCGATTCTACTGGCATGGAATGAGCACGTACGTTAAACGTTATTGCCGTCAATGCGACATTTGTGCTGCCAAGAGGAATCCACAGAAGCAACCCAGAGGCCCGTTGAAACAATACAGGCTTGGAGCCAACATGGAGAGGGTTGCCTTGGATATACTTGGACCACTGGTAGAAAGCACAAGGGGCAACAAATATATATTAGTCCTGTCGGATTACTTTAGTAAATGGACGGAAGCTTTTGCAATGCCGTGCCAAACTGCTGAGGTTGTATCAAGGATAGTAGTTGAAGAGTTCGTATGCAGATACGGGGTTCCACGTGAGTTGCACGCCGACCAGGGCCGACAATTCGAAAGCAACCTATTCCAAGAGTTGTGCAAGCTACTGGGTGTCCGGAAAACAAGGACGAGTCCTCTGCACGCATGTAGCGACGGCCAAGTGGAGAGGTATAATAGAACACTGGAGGAAATGCTCTCTAAATACGTGGATTTGGCGCAGAAAGACTGGGACGAACATCTGCCCTATGTCATGCACGCCTATCGTTCGTCCGTGCACTCGACTACCAAGGAAACGCCAAATATGCTGTGGTTAGGAAGAGAAGTTGAAATGCCTATAGATTTATCAACATCCTGTCCCCCAGATACGCCGTGCTGCATCACTGAATTCTGCGAACGGATGCGTGAACGTATGCAAGCTGCAGGGCAACGGGCACGTGAACAATCTGCCATTGCAGGAGTAAGGCAGAAACGAGGCCACGATGCACGGCTTGCTACCAAAACCTACAACGTAGGGGATGCAGCATGGTTACACAACCCTACCCGTGTCAAAGGACGCTCCCCTAAATTACAGAACTTTTGGGAAGGCCCTTACATGGTCGTTACCTGTATTTCTGATGTGTTGTTTAGAATACAACGAAGTCCGAAAGGGAAATACAAAATCGTGCATCATAATCGGCTGAAGCCTTATGAAGGGACCAATTTTAAAGCTTGGGAGACTCAGGAGATCACAGACGCTAAGACTTCTCAATCCCCGCCTGTGAATGCTCAAAATAAGCAGTCTAAACAAAGTTTCGGGGATCAAGTGGCTCCAATTGTCGATGCAAACGGCAGAGGTTTCCCCAATGATAAGCCCAGAGAACGCCCAAGGAGGAACAGGAAAGCTCCTAGGAGATATGGCCAAGATCCCCAATAAAAAACGAATACAGTCAAATGTTATAGTTCGTGTACGCCAGGTCCGTTCGAGGCCCGTGTAGCCGTGGGAATTTTAGTTAGTAATGGAATGCGGAAGAGGCTGGTAATCAACGATTTTATGACCTCCGATTAGACGGGCGATTATCCCCTAACCGCAAAGTGCCTGACCAGCGCGTGGCTACAGTGTTAATTGATATTCGACCCGGGGTCAATGTTTGATCAGAAGTTGTTCGCTCGCCTCTGAGGAGGAGCCTACTTCATGACAAGTAAAGAGGCGGGGCTTAACTTCAAAGGGAACCGACGTACGCCGTAACTAATCCCGAAACGGATCAAACCCCATCCCTACGTTATATCCCAGATGCATTTCAGTCATTCTACAGACTAAATTTCCAGGAGACACACGAAAAATGTCAGAGTTCAAAATTCCTAGAAAATGTGCGATATGCGAGAGAAGGTGTAACACGTTTGGCGAATTACGCCAACACCTAGATGAGAGCCACCCCGATGTGTGGCGGGGAGTGCGCGTACCAGCCCAAGAAAGCGCAAGGAACCCTGAAGACAGATCCCGGTCACGTTCCCGTTCGCGTTCCAGAAAGACGGCAAACGCCCAACGTACCTCTCAGTCGTCTACGGCCGTGAGAGGAGGTGCATCACCTGAGTGCAGCGTGCAGGTCAACGCACGGGACCCGCTTAATCTTATGTCGGACGCGGCGGCCCAACTAGCATCAACTGGAGACAGGGCCGCGAAAAGAGGACGTACTGAGGACTCGCCACCCAAAGGATCGTCGGCCGCGAAGAGAAGGTCCGCCAGCCCAACCAGCGGAGAGGCGTCAACCTCACGGTCGGCGGAAATGGCAGTCTTGGCGAAGAAGGACACCGAGAGCGTTCTCCCCATTACAGGGCCGGCGGCAGGGCTCGCAGCCAACGTAAGGGCCCTGCTGGAACAAGGGTACGCCGTACGTCGTTGGGAGCGTTCCACTGAAACCTTCGGGCCAGACGGGGCCGTCCAGCAGAAGGTGGTGGAATCCGTCACGCTGGACAGGCCACATAAGAAATGAACATTCGATCATAAAGTACGACAACATTGAGAACATTATATTTATTCTGTGCTGCTTAATGAATTCGCCGTGCTGACAGTTCATTCGAAGAGCGATTTGGAACATTTTAGACTTTTATACTTCAATAATATTTGAAGTACGACAACATTGGGAATATTATATTTATTCTGTGCTGCTTAATAATTCGCCGTGCTGACAGTTCATTCAATGGAACAATATTTGGAACATTATATTATTGTGCTACTAACGAACTTGCCATGCTGATAGTTCATTCGAAGGGCAACGATATTTGAAGCACTGTATTTTATATTTATCATTGCATTTGTGCACGCAGGACGCCAATTATTAAATTCACTGGGCGGTGTATGCCATTTACGTAGAACTATTTTCGTTTAATTACTTTAAGATTTCTGCAACCATATTGGGTGAAATGGACTCTTGTATAATTCTATATTTGATAACACTTTGTACATGACGCTGACCCCGGAGTGGTCAAGTCTAGGAGGGGGCAGTGTGGAACACGTGGCCCGGTTATTGTTCTCTATACCATCTATATGTATGTCAATCATAAGTCGGTGTGTGCCTCACATCATGTCATTGGCCAGATCATTACCCAATCATCATCTTTGTACATCATTATTTCACATGTAGTATAAAATACCCTGATCATCCCATTTTCATTAGAGTTACTCAGAGCTAGAGGCACACAGATACACCTTGAAGATCTTATAATAAAGTTGTTGTATATTGTACGTATTTGTTACTAGTTCTGTGTTTCCCGCCCTCCCCCTCCCGGGGAGGTCGGGGCTCTCATACCCACATCCCTTGACTTGTAGCAGCTGACCTGATTCCCCCCTCCCCACATCAGGTCTACCTTATGACGGAGCGGCGCGGTGATGCAGAGACCAACAGACCCCCCCCCTCAGGTTAAGTTGACCGGACTTGGAGCAGGGACCGGCCCCGGTATAAAGTACAGCACCCCCTCACTCGGTTCTACAATATTAAAGTTACAATGCTAGTGCAAAACAATTTGATGTTTGAGAAATGTATATTTCACTTTTAAATTTGAATATAGGTTGCTCTTGTTACATTCGATGATGGAGCTAGAATAGTGTTTGATTTTAACGACGACCAGACTAGAGAAGGCCTGCTAAACAAACTGGATGAACTGAAACAGGATACAACCCAACCCGATAGATGTAAAACATTCACTTGGGAAGCTCTGAAATTGACCAGGACACATCCAAACCTTTTCGGTATTTATTAATACATACAAAATGAGGACATATGTTTTTCTGTGTAGGCTAATAATTTTATTAAACCGTTGCACAATTGCTTTGAATGCAGAATCAGATCAAGATCTGGACGAATTTTTTTCAAAATATTCGGCACATATTATTCTTGGTCATGTTTTTCCATAACTACCAAAATTGTAAAGTTTTTTAAAATAATACCTTCATAATGTGTTATTTTTAATGATTATCTTGTTTATTATTTTGGAGAATTTCTAAACAATTTTTCCTCATTTAGACACTTTGAATCTTCGCCAATTTATAACATATCGTGGGATAATATATTTGAGATTGTAAGAAATATATTGGTAGGTCAACTGTACATGTTGACTCTGCCCTTAACTAACGACGAATTAAGAATTTGAAAAGCATTTTCTAATCGAATTGAATTCGCACAATCCAATAAAATCGTAGCTATCAAAGTTGCCCGTTTGCATCTCTTTGGCCTGTGGCTAGAGCGCTTTTTCACTGCATTGTATTCATTAATTTGAAGGACTAACTATTAAATTAATTTTATTCTCATTTTAGGAGGGGTAGAGAAAAATAGCGATCGGGAGAAGATCATTATGATTCTCACAGATGGTGTCCCTTTTGAAAATGAGAAGGTATGTGCACGGTCATTTGTACATACATCACTTGTACCTTTGCACTCTATATTTTCATTGTAAGCATACCAATGTAGCCTCTTGAGAATATTGACAAATAGAAATACTATAATAGTATAAGATTAATCATGTACAATACATTGCATAATATTTGGTTCATTTAGAACATAATTTTACCAAAATTATATATTTAACGTGCATAGTTTTCATGTCACGACCAGAAGTGGTGACATATTGTTATAGTCTACAACGTTTTGGGTTGTGTTCGGAATTCGGCGCACTGCATCTGTAACAAATGGCAAGTGGTGACATTTTGCTCTTTTTTAAACTAGAACAGAGAAGAAGTGACAAATAAAACAATTAAAGAAGGAGAGTTGAATGATGCAGATGGTATTAAAACCATGGTCTTTACCATAAAAAACAAGAAAGGAAATTTACCTCCAAAAGAACTTTTCGAAAAGCTGGCATATACAATGCGTTGGATGTTCCAAGTCGAAGACGCATTAGTTGATCAATTTGAAATTCGTGTTTTCCCTCTACTTGCCAGATTTACTTGTCCATGTAAGTAGATTTGCTTATTTTCCCTGTACTTGCCAGATTTACCTGACAATGTGAGTGTATTGTGCGTTTGCTCATTTTCCCCCTACTTGCCAGATTTACCTGTCAATGTGGGTATATTTGTAAATATCGATATTACCTTACCATTGATCGACGACATTTACTCATATATCATTTACACCTAACTTCCATGGCAGTGGTGAACTGACTAGCACTGCCGGGGAGTGTGTGGTACACTACCACAGTTAGTGTGAACCATCACATTTTTAGCCAACCGAATCAAGGATATGTTTTATGAATAGATTTTTACCCACCTTGGTTCGGAACCACTGACTTGTTGATGCAGAACAAAACCATCTAAACCTAAAGCTAAAAATAATATTTTGTATCAAACGATGGCTGACCTAGTTTGAGAAGTCAGTGTTAAAAGGGTTGATATCACAAGTTTAGGTATATTTTAAAGAATGTTAAGCCAAATGTTACCCATTTTGTTTATTATTGACAGATTCGTGTAGTGAAGCGATTGACTTAATTTATGTGATGGACCGCAGCATAAGCATAATTGTTGATAATATTAAGAAAGAGAAAGATTTCTTCAAACTTGTGACCGAGTCGTTTTCTATTGGCGACATACGATCTAAAGCAGACCCAAAGGCTTCAGTTGCTATGTTAAGCTACAATCGTAATGTCTACAAACATTTTACTGGTTTGGATTGTTCGGATTCTACATGTGTACTGAGCAAGATAGACCAGATCCCTAACACTCATGACAACTTCACTGTCACAAACCTTGCACTAGAGGAAGTAAAGGTAATCGTGAACCAGTATACAAGGAAAGGATTGAACGGCATACATCCAGTGGTGGTTTTGTCAACCGATGGTAATACATGGAAAGTCGGTGCCAACAGCATTTCATCTCCAAAGGTTTCAATTGCTGTTGCTGATGAACTACGAGTAAGAGGTATTGATACAGTCGTGGTATCTGTGCCCAACCACAGAGACGACCCTGGGTTGAAAGAACTAAGGGGCATCGCCAGTCACTTCATGTTTGACTTACAATCTGAGTACAACTTTACCAGTTTCGACGATCTTCGTCCTATAACGCCAACTCTTGTCAGGCTCATCTGCGAAAAGTATAAGCCTAACGCATAAGTTATCACAAACATACAATTACTTGTACAGCTTGTAAAAGATTTGAAGACAAAATAAATCTATTAGTTAGCTTAAATAATTGTTTGACTTGCTTTATAGTTATTGATACAAAGGCGGACTTGTAACGATTTTATAACTAAGTTCTACTTTAACAAGAACAACCTCCTTCATTCAGCAAATGTCATTTATTCGTCAATTCGGGGTATGGAAAATGGTGATCGAAATTCCCTTGTACCAAGGATGCAAGAACAATGAAAACACTGATATTATAATATCATCCCAGTATGTGACAAAAGGAGCTAGCTAATGTTAAATGGTACATCATAGAGGTGTTTACTAGAGTGCAACTAACTCGATAAAAGGGTTGTGCTGGCTTGAACTGTCTGTGGTTCTAGCCAGGATAAAGCTACCAGCTCCCGTCAGATTAATACAGTGAGCTGATAACATTATCCTACCACAAGCATATCCCCTATGATGTCTGGTTTAGATAATTGTACTTCAAATAAAATGAAAAAAACCTAATCAAAAATAAAACACAAGATTTATTCATTTTCTCTCGCCATAGACCTCATTGAAAGTCTGGAAATAGGACATACATTGTTTAAATCACCTACAATTAATTATGTTCTTGGCTTAAATCCTTGATTCAGTTTCGTTTTGACGTCAACCAGCCCATCTTAATTAGCTTCCTCATGGTCTAAAAAAACACACCAATGTTTCGAAATATTAATATTTTAATACTACAGGGTGTGGCAAAAATATTTTTGGGCACACCCTGTAGTAACAAGTCTTAAATTCCAACGTCTCGCCGGTTTACCTTTCTCATACATTACGACCCAAGATATACATGGTGCTTCAAACGTTGTAGAGGAAGGTTTAAAGCTATTGTTGGTACCATACATTTTTCTTAGATTTGACATTTGCAAAAAATCATAAGCTCAAATCAAATATTACTGAAAATGGATAAAGTGTGAACTTCAACATCCGTGATTCTTCAACCCTTCAACATCCTTCCCCTGACAATTTTTTAGCCGCAAACTGAAAGAACTAATACATTGTGACCATGGACAAAAATATTTCCCAGTGAAATCGTAGCATACCTCTGTATGGTCTTAAAATGTCAGTATCTTCATTTATCATGGACCCAATTCTCATGAAATATGCAAAACATTGAATATTAGTTTTTCTTTTGATTTTTGTAAGATGTTTATATGAAGGGCATCTCAGACTCACATTGGTAAAATTTTGCACAATAGCTTCTTTCCAGGCATGTTTGTTTAAGTCTTGTAATTTCTTCAAAATTCAAGAGTGGGAAAAATGATGGCACCAACAAAACAATGTGAACCTTTCTGTACAACATATGCATACCTTTCTGCCAACTCATGCATGTAAAGGAAACTAAAGCATTGCAGTGGTTCACTTTTTGAACCACCCTGTACTTATGCCATTTGGGAATCAATTGTGTACCTGATTGATGCAAGTAAAAGTAAAAACCCAATCATCGTTAGAAATTTTATAGCATAAAATGGGCGTTTTGGCACAATCTGTTATTTCATTGGTTCATGATTCAATATAATTATTAAGTATAAGTTTGTATTTTATTACAGAGTTTGTATGTCACTCCAAATAAAAAAAACTGATGTTAATATTGAACGGTGATAGCTGAAATATGCGTCACCTGGATCTACTGAACATCTACTAGTATGGTAATTGTGCAAAGTATTTACTTGATTGAGGTTCAGATAAAGGCCTGGTGCTATTTTATCACAATAAAATTTGCATAAAACCCCAATCAAGTTAGAATTTAAAAACAATATTCTAAGCTAAAATAATTGTGAGGTGGTTATTAAGATGATGATACACATTTTAACGTATTCATTTTGAGTACATCTCGAATCCATTCTCAACAAAGCGTTCACGAAAGAAGTATTCGAAATGTTTGAGTTCTGGATGATAAAAGTACGTTAAGATATACCGCTCCTTTACAAATTCCTTTGTGAACAAGATATAGAATCAAAAGCATAATCTTCTTTTTTACTCCCTGACACATGCCAACGTATTTACATAAGTGAATATCTCCGTTTAAATAATTTTGTAACCGTTGTTCTCTACAGGTCCCATTTTTATAATTGAAAAACAAAATTGAATATTTTGCATTTCTAAATTGATAAGTTTCTTGGAATACAACATAACTGTTTACGATTTAAGTCATTAATACGATTTCCCTTAGTGATCCCATGCTAAATAGACAGCAACTGGGTCAAGTTTTTATGTTCAACCTTGTTTTCAGGACTTTAAAACATGAGTCGACAATTATGTAGGAAATTTCAATTCCAAATGTCACCGTGTCAATTTGTGTTTTTTCACAATATAGCCTTTTATAATGATAGATCGCCAAAATCTGCATGTACCTCTCAATGAGGCGATATGTTTTTAAATTAAGAGATGTAAGCTATAAACTTAAACAAAAATTCAAACCACCCGCTATTATTTTGATTGCACAAGACGAAATTTCCACTCCCGGGCAGCACTTTCGGGAACACTTTGAAGGAGGATTCTGATTTTCATAAAAGGTTTCATGCAATATCATTGTTTGTTTAAGCCTCAACTAAAATCATACTCAAATCCGATACCATAATTATAAATTGAAATGAAACATTAAACTCACCAGGTTATATGATAAACCGTTTCGAGCATTGATGATTTGAGTTAAACTTTGAATATTTATATAAATGTTAATCGGCATGTATTCGACGGTTAATGTACACAAATGATGTATGCATTAACGTGTGACTTGAATATCAATTCGTGACTGTCATATTTGGCTTTCAAAAATTAAGTTGGAAGTTACAGTGGTAGGATATTACCGAAAACGTCACTAGTCACATCCAAATATCCGAAACGACGTCAAGTATTAACAATACACTTTTCGAACAAGGCAAGGTTCTGTGTATGTGTAAAAAATTCACAAATATCAACAATTTTCATTGAGTAGGAGATTACATTCAAAATCACAATTTTCAAAATATTTGTTTTAACCAAAAATTGTAAGAACTTGAAACATGTTGTTAGTTTTTCAAACCGCATATTCTCATTTACGTTCTTTGACAAGGATATGTAAACAAGAAAATACAGTTATGGTTTGTTCATAATGAAAAATGACAAATAACATACATCTTCTGAAGTAGGGGTATACAGGGACATAATGGAAATTCAGAAATTTAGGCCATATCCCCAAGATTGCTTCAACAATATGTAACAGAACATCAAAATTATCATTTACACGTTTGCTGATAGGGTTATTGAAAATAATTAACCAGAGGTTTGCTTCAATTGTGGCACCATTCTAAGGAAATATTGATGAACATACGAGTATCGAATGCTGACTAAGTTACTTGACTTGACTGATAGCTTTTATATGGTGCATACTCGTTCACCGGATAACTATGGTGTTCTTCAGGTCCATGGATGCACGATTGTTTAATATTAGTTAGTCCTGGCAAGGTCGAATGGAAAAGGGATTATCGAAAACGAATCAGCAAAAAAATTCCTGGACTGAAACATATGCCAATTTGAATTGCTAATAAAGCCATATTAAGTGGTTTCCTATCTCATAGCAGAAATATCTCTGCTCGTGTTTTATGCTCGTGTTTTTATATAAAAATATTCAGGTTTTTTTAAATGAAAAGAAAGGCATATGGTGATATGAATATGATCGATTATAAACAAAACAGGTGTTTTTCGCATGGCGGCTCATGACTAGATTATATAATATCCATAAGTGTTGTTCGTTTGACTTCAAATACAGTTGATGATGAATCTAATTTTTTGCACCAGGTAGTTGTAGATGCCATCTAATGGTTTAATTACTTCTATTGAAATAATGAAATTTGTGAAAAAATGCAAAAAACAAATTACCATAATTAAGCAAATGTTACTATAAAGGATCAGTTTATCATCAATTTGCATTACTTGGCGATTTGCTGCTCACAACAGTTTGCTGGTAAGTTATCGGGATTCTTTTCAGCTGAGTACAAATTATGATTCTTGAAAACCTTAACCAAAAATGCTAAAACTTAACCAATTTGGGATTTTTTCTCTATTCAATTTTAAATTTTATATATATAAATTTAAATATACAATACATTGATTTTTTCTTTATTCCATTTTTATACATTTAACAATACAATACATGAGAATTCAACTGAAGATATACAATGTGTCCCAAAAACGGAACAAAGACATTGTAAAATCACAAAATCGGTGATGACGTTATCACTTTGATTTAGTTTACCAGAAAGCAACAAGCCTCATCATTCCAATGGTATGTCAATTATTCATATATGACCACGGACCACATACAGAATAATCATTTCTTTTGCACAACGGGCCAAAATCTGCTCTGGACCCAGTTTTAGGCATTACAACAATTAACAAAGAGTCACCAATAAGGTGCTGATCTCCGCAAATGAACCGCAGATGATTCAAAGAGGTGTGCGACATGGAGACACAAGCCAGTCTCTGTGTGTAGAGAAATTGTGGTCACGCGAAAGGGTATGGAATGTAATCTTTCATGAGTGATCTTTCATAAGATGGCAGACGAGACAACGACTGTTCATGTCCCTTCTTTTTCCGCCTGTTTCGTTAACTGAACCAACAAGGATACTGATGAACACTTAAACAAGTTAAATTTTCTTTTCTTTTTTCTTAGTAAATCTTAATCGGAAATTTGTGTTATGTGAATCTTGTGACAAGAATTTAATCCCCAGTACCAATTACATGATTTACCTGATTGCACAATAAAGATCAGTTGTTTGATATTTCATAACTTGGCACAAAGGCCTATTCTCCCATGTACGAAAAAACAGTGACTTTTCAGTGGTCCATGCAGGATCAGATATGAACAAATGACATATCATTGGAAAGGGGAGACATGTGGCTTCATGGTAAACTAAATGAAACTGATGTAATCATCACTGGTTTTGTGATTTTACAATGTTTTTGTTTGATGCGTTTTTTGGAACGCACTGTAGAATCAATCACGCCCGGTGATCGTGAAAATGGGACGGAGGGGGGGGGGAGCAAGCAATTTCTGGTAGAAAAATGAACAAATCTGCAAAAATTATTTTTTCAAGAAAAGGTTTTATGATTTAATTGCTGAACGAATAGGCGCACGGTATGGTAAAATATGTCACGTATTCTACGAATTCTTTTTAGCCAACGCAACGCCACCAACGTGCAAAAGTCAATGTGTTTGCTTTAAATCAAGCATCAACGGTCTGCACAACCTGCAATAAATATTTGTAAGTGACATTATCATCATAAAATTAATGACCTTAATGACTTTACAAAATATGTTTCCATACGTTGTATAAAAAATAATCATACGAAAATAATTAAAATGGGACGGAGGGGGGGAGGGGACGGAGGGGGGGGGAGCAAAATGTCTATACGACATGATGAGAGATGTTACTTCACTTTATATCCAAATTTTCCCATTTTCCCCTCAATTACAATGGGTTAGGAATTGATAACAAGTTGTATTCGTAGTTAGATTTATTTAGGATTATCAAAATCTTGGAGGAGAGCGTTTATCTTTTTATGTGTATAATATAATATAATAGCATTTGTATTTCTTCAAAATAGAGAATCTTGAGCATGCACAAACATTGATATCAGAACGATTTGAGCCTGTCCCAATGGAAACCGGATGAGATATGGCTTACTGATTTAATAAGCACACAAAACAATTTTCAAATAATTAACAAATTTTTATTTCATTTTCAAAAAATGACTTGTTACGCTTCTTTGGCGTAATAGGGGTTGCACCCATGGCATGAATGTGGCACATTCACTTGGAACCTTCCTAGCAGACTATTAAGTGTAAATTCTCCAGTCAGATCGGCTGATGGAACATGTTTTTTTGGCATTGCCAGTTGGCCGAGCAGTCTACAGCGCCAGAATCTCAGCTAGACAAAGACGCCATAACCATCAGGTCGTGAGTTCGAGACGCGTGAGCTTCTTGTATTTATTCAATTCTGCATAATTAAAATATATCGCATAATTAATATCAAGTAGATTGTTACTTCGCTGTGAATAACTTACATTTTCGCTGAAACTTACATGTCCAAAGTGTGATGTGCTGTGTGTGATATGCCTACAAATCAGCAAGTAAAAACGTTAAGACAGGTAAACATTTATAGATAAACAGTCTCCTGGAATATTTTGCCAACCTAAATTTGACCCCTCTAACTAAACCTAACAAGTACAACATATTATCAATTCCTGACCCTTTGTAATTGAGGAGATAATGGGAAAATCTGGATATAAAGTATCAAGTAACATCTCATATCATATCTTATAGACATATTGCTCCCCCCCCCTCCGTCCCCTCCCCCCCCCCCTCCGTCCCATTTTAATTATTTTCGATTATTTTTTATACAACGTATGGAAACATATTTTGTAAAGTCATTAAGGTCATTAATTTTATGATGATAATGTCACTTACAAATATTTATTGCAGGTTGTGTAGACCGTTGATGCTTGATTTAAAGCAAAAACATTGACTTTTGCACGTTGGTGGCGTTGCGCCTTTTTTAATAGATCTTATACCTAAGAAGAGAATCGGCTAAAAAAAATTCGTAGAATACGTGACATATTTTACCATACCGTGCGCCTATTCGTTTAGCAATTAAATCATAAACCTTTTCTTGAAAAAATAATTTTTGCAGATTTGTTCATTTTTCTACCAGAAATTGCTTGCTCTCCCCCCCCTCCGTCCCATTTTCACGATCACCGGGCGTGTCAATGGGCTAGTTAACGAATTCGAAATAATCTGTCGGAGTAGATGTCCTCTATATTTCTAATTTGAGAACTGCGACTTGTTTTGTTTTTCCATAGGCTATAATTCACTATGATGTCATTATACTTCGTCGCTGTACTCCTGGGATTTATTGGGAGTCAGGCGGTTGATGTGATCGACTATCAAAAATTGTTTGGGCTAGATGTGAATTTTAAAAAAGGTAATTTTTTGTTATTGTCATTATCTCTCGGAGTAATACTAAGTAGGTAGAAAGCGCTCAAAATCTTGAAGCTGATTGGCTGAGACATACTTTGATTTAAATAAATGTTTGCTTCTAGATCTGTGTATGGACATAGTGTTTGTAGTAGACAGATCTTGTAGCGTTCCAGAGGATGATCTCGTCAATGAGTACCGTATCATTGAGAGCGCCATCAATGCCATAGAAGGATTTGGACCAGATAAAACAAGGGTAAGGAATATTTGGTTTTTGTATGCTTATACCAGTCTCACCGACTGGCCATCGCTACTATCAGACTATGTAGATTTTGTATTAAACAAAGGTGAATAAGTAGTTGTTTGACTGTGTAAACGTATCTAAAACTTGTAACGCATTGACCGAATGTATGTGCATGACGTCATTCCTTTTTGTCCTGCCAGTGTATATGATTTGTTGGGATTGGATCCCATTCAAGATCTCTCCACATATTAAATACTGCATATATCGCTCTTGAAAAGGAGGGAACAAAAATTGGATTTATCTGTGCAATCATCAGTGAAAATGTCCATGTCTTTATATTTTATTTTTGTTTATCTTATTTGTATATAATTGTACAAAAATAGAACTGACGAAATGATTCTGTTTACTTCAAATGTTCATATAATAGTGTTTGACTTTTTGCGATTGTGACCTTGATTTTGAAATCTTTTGAAATTCGAATCGATGGCGGAAAAAAAGTGATCACATCTTTTCACTTCAATGGTCTGTCTATGCAAAAACATTTTCAGTTTTAAAGTGGACATTTGGAGCTATCCCAAGGTATATGGGTTTAGGTACCGAATATCCTTGTTTTTCATAATTAATCCGAAGATTTTTCCCCATCGGATTGTATTAGAGGAACAGGGAGAGTTGGATAAATGGATTCCAACTTGGTCGAAAGAAAACCTTAGGTTTACTCGAGGCTTTAGCCAATTCTTGGCTAGAAGTAATTCCATCTGGAACACAGGGGGTTCGATGGGTTCGAGTAACCCTCACCCCCCCCCCCCTCCCCGGCCAAAAATGTCAAAATCATGCGTTTTTCATCATTTTGAGCACTTTTAGTGATTTTGGCCATTTTTGGACTCAAATTGGCAAAAGTTAACCCCCTGGAATTTTTCAAAAAATGACCCCCCTGGCAAATCCCGGATACGGGCCTAGTATATCATGTTCCACGTTGCTGGAGGACAGAAAACTTTCTAATTGTAGATTGGTCTTGTCACATTTGATTATGGAGCCAGAGTCGTTTTTGGTTTGGACGATGCGGAGACCTCCACCAGGGAGGGCCTGCTTGCTAAACTCGATGAACTGAAAAGAGATACAACTCGCCCAGAGAAGTGTAAGACGTACACATGGGAAGCACTGAAATTGACCAGGGAAAATCCAAGTCTATTTGGTTAGTTGCCCTATGAGGATAATCCTAACTCACATTTTTGTGTTACTGAGAAATCAGGCTTTGAAGGATAACATATCTGTAACTTCAAAAATGTGTGAAATTTTCAAACTGTTTTTTAATTGTGTAAGTACTCTCGAAAAATCATGTACTACAGGGTGGGCCAAAAACGTCCACATTATCTATTTCGATAGAACTTTTTGAAAATGCAATTGATTTCTATGAAATTTTTTGTAGGATATGCGGAAACCAATTTTACAATTGCTCCTGAATCCTGTGGGATAAATAAATCTCTTGGGCTTTTTGAAAAATAAAGGTTAACAGACACCTGGGGTAATGTTATTCGAAGCAACAATCTTACAATGATATTAGTCATGCCTCAAATTACTGTACCAGATTGACTTTTTGGTCAGTCTAAGCATAAATTACAAGCCAATAAGAGAAAATCATTTTTCATCCAGACTTTAACTTAAATGAGAAATATTTTTTGGGGATTATATGGTGCAGTCCTATCGTCAATAAAATGTTTTGATGTGTATTGATATTTTTTGATGAAAAGCATAAGCGAAATGCATTAAAAAACTCCCCGGATTCATTTGACAAACAACTCCCCCTCCTTTGTAACTTTTCATATAGAACTCTAGTGTATACCTTCATTTTTCCAAAGCCTCTACAGATTCATTAATCCCACATTTGTGAAATCGATTTCTGCATATTCTGCTAAAATTTTACAGAAATCCAAGCATTTTCTAAAAAGTTCGAAATAACAAATTTGGACGTTTTTGGCCAAACCTGTAGTACCTTGAGATTTCTCAAAACAGTCTACAAGCAAATTAAAAACGGAGATAGTACTTCTGTGATAAAACCTTTTCTTATTACTCAAATGTATTCTCCATTTATAGGAGGAGTAGATAAAAACAGCGAACGAGAGAGAATATTGATGCTTACTACAGATGGCGTGCCTTTTGATAACGAAGGCGTACGTATAACTTATTATACCACATTTTATCTAATTATAACTCTATCATCTTGAAATATTGATTATATTAACAATACCCTTTTTATACATCATCCAGACACTTCAGTTTCCCAAAATAAAATTAATTTCACCGGAATTCTTCATTGATTTTGGAAACTGAAGTGTCTGGATCATATGTAAAAATCGTGTTGTTAATCTATCAATATTTCAAGATGATATTGTAGAAACTATGACAATTTTCGTGAAAAATTATCATCGTTTTCAAGAAATTTCCGTGCTTTCTAGAAGGTTTCAGAAGTTTTAGACCGTGTTCAGGCGAAATGTCGAGACGTCGTGTGGTGATACTATATACTAGGTACTATACTAGGTATATCTGCATGGTATGGTCAATGTTTCTACGAAAGGGAAAGGAAAATATTCTGTCAAAACGTTGAAATAAATGAGTACTTACAAATCTCCAGCGGAAAATACTGGTATAACGTTGTAAACTTCCAGTGCTACGATGTATAAGAGAATTGGGTGTGGTGATATGCATAAACCACCAAATGGCTCATTCTTACATTTTGTAAGAAATTGTGACTTTGATTTCTCATGAAAATAGAGGTTTTCGGTCTCATGCATCCGTCGTATTTTTATTGGGTAGTAAGACCATTTATATTTTAATTTAATTAGAATAGACAGGAAATGGCGGATAACACACTTGCAGAGGGGGCTTCAAATGACGCAGACGGTATTAAAACCATGGTTTTCACTGTCAAAAACAAGAAAGGAGTTTTACCTCCAAAAGACTTTTTCGAACAACTGGCCTACTCAATGCGTTGGATGTTCCAAGTCGAAAATGAATTGGTTGAAGACTTTGCTACCTTTGTCTTCCCTTTACTTGCCAGATTTACTTGTCCATGTGAGTATACTATACTATATTTTGATGGTACGGGGTGAGCCAAAAAAGGTAACCCAAAGAAATGTTAATAAATCAGTCATCCAGCATAAGTTTAAAGTCATATTTGCCACAATTGAACCTAGTTTAATGTTCTATCATTCTACTTACTCTCAAAAATGATCAAGATTTTATTGCCATTTTACAAAACATACTCCAAATGCTGAATCATGCCAAACTCATCCGATATTCATCGATCAGACTTTTATGTTTGGGGCTATTTCAACGACAATGTCTACACTAACAGCCCTAGAAGCATCACAGTGTTGTAACAAGATATAAGCAGATGGTGAGACCCACTGCACAAGATATCTGTGAGTTTGAACAACTTCGCCAGATTTGTTCAAAGTTTCCTCCAGAGACGAAACCATTTGGAATAGACCAATAAAACTTGATGGGTTGCAAGAACATAAAACAAGGCTTATTTGTGATTGATTCATCCTTAAACACATGTTAAGTTACTTTTTTGACTCACCCTGTAATTTTCGTGTTCACTTTCGATCATCACCCAGGGAGGTGCCTGTCAGGTGTCCAAAAATTCGCAAGTTGTACGCGGAAGAGGTATAAACTCAATTGTGAACTGTTGTTTATATCCTCTTTGAGACATTGTTCAGAATATTTGTTTCAAACCAAATATCACAGCATATAATAATCACAACAAATATATATCATTTTCCGAATATTTCTTTTTTAAGTCATGTCCATTGCCATAATAGTTATGTGCACATGGGTTATTTCTATAGGTAATGAATACTCAATTAATAATTTCTCCATGTAGTTAATCATCCTTTCAGATCGGGCATCATTGTCCTAGCTCATAGAAAAAATTTAAATACCCTTGGACCATGGGTAGTCATGCATTATTCAGAGTACATTATATATACTACAATTGATAAGCAAATGTCAAAGAACTGACCTATTTCCCTAATGAATACCTCACGTCTTTTTGATTGGTAGATAAATGTGACGTAGCGATTGACTTGATTTACGTGATGGATCGCAGTATCAGCATAACGATACCAAACATAAAGAAAATGAAAGACTTCTACAAAGTCGTGACTGGGTCATTTTCTATTGGCGATATACGATCTAAGACTGACCTTAAAGCTTCAGTAGCTATGTTAAGCTACAATCGCGATGTCTACAGGCATTTCACAGGTTTGGATTGTTCGGACACAGAATGCGTCGTGAGCGAGATAGACCAGATTCCCAACACTCATGACAACTTCACTGTCACAAACCTTGCACTAGAGGCAGTAAAGGGAATCGTGAATCAGTTTACAAGGAATGGGTTGAATGGTATACATCCAATAGTGGTTTTGTCAACCGATGGTAATACATGGAAAGTCGGTGCAAACAGTATTTCATCTCCCAGTGTTTCAATTGCTGTTGCTGATGCACTACGGGCAAGAGGTATCGATACAGTCGTAGTCGCTGCACCCAACCACAGAGAGGACCCAGGCTTGAAAGAATTGAAGGGCATCGCCAGTCATTTCGTGTTTGACCTACAGAGTAGTCTTACCTCCTTTGATGATCTAATCCCAATTGCCCCAAAACTTGTTAAACTCATCTGCGACAAGTACAGTCCTAACACAGAAAACGAGGCATGATTGACGTATGATATTCGTACATCGATGTAACATACAATTGCTTGTAGACTAACCATAATGAAATGAAATAAATCGCATGCTTTTAGAAAATCTATTTATACTTTCTGAGTAATGTATTTCATATATGTGATTGCAAGCAAGCATAATTCAGTTGGAAGTCCTACACCAGCGTGTATCAATTGTACATTGAGAGGTATATTTGATACCTTTCAACCTCACTGGTTCACAGCAGTATCATACTAACTGGAGCAGCATCCAAGATGGTAGACAAAATAGTCCAAATATTTTGATTTCCAAATATTCTTCCCATACATTAGTAGAAAAATAGTGACTGGCATCGAGGGAAATTGTGCAAAATATTTTCCCGATAGAATATCCTGTCCAATGACATATTCTCAAGGCTGCCTTATTGGTGTATGATCTCTGCTCGAGAAGGAATTTTCAATATGACCGCTAAATTCACAATGGCGGTTATTTTTGTAAGAACTTTAATCTTTGATGATAACTCAAATACTAGTGGACGAATTTCGTTCACCAAGTGTAGTTAAAACTGTAATCTTTGATAACCCAGGTTCAAATTCATATACTGATCCCCAGGGACAAAGAAGCTCTTCTCAAGAAGCAATTTCAAGGTGGCAGATGAATTTCAAAATGGCTACCACTTTTCACAAAACATACTCTTTGCTAGCCCAAATACAAGTGAATGGATTTCTTTTAAATTGTATATGCTGATACCTAGATACAAAAGAGCTCTGTTCAAGAAGAAATTTTCAAGATGGCCGCTATTTATCAAAATATGTTTTGTTCGGTTGGATTTGCTACTCCGTGAAGTTGCTGTTTTCTAGTTTGTAAAATGAAAATATGCTGAATTTATTCAATAAAATCTTCACAAATTGGACGAGTTGGCAAAATATCTCGGATGTTTTCTAAGGGTGGCAAAGCTTTAGGTCCTATGCCAGGGGGAGATCTCTCAAAGTTCAGCCTTCATATTCGATCACGTGGTACCCATGCGCTAGATCCATATAAGGCTTACGTGACCATATAGGAATCCAACTGACCGTTGTCCGCCATTTTGAACACATGTGATAGATCCATATAAGGCTTGTATGACCATATGGGATGGCTAAGGGGAGATCCCGAATACGATTGAATATGATAGTATTAGGCCTATGGGAGCTACTCACTTCTTCTGGTCCCATGCAATGGGAGCAGTGATAGTCCATGAGATGGTCCAAAAAATTAAGTTTCGTTGTCCAGTACTCCGCCACACAAAATGAATATACCGTATGGATGATGCACTGACTTCCCTAAGAAAATATATTTCGTTTTGATTGCAACAGGGGGGGGGGTTGCTTTTAAAATGGAGTGAGACAAGGCAGCCCTTTAAAGGCAATTTTTATATATTTTTTTTATTTTTTCCCCCGGAATTAAATCTACGAAAAAATTGTTTTTAATAAAAATTCAATACTTTTGGTTAATAAGAGAATATAGACTTAGGAAAATGTTGACTCTGACAGGGTGCAAAAATCTGCAATAGTAAAAACTCTGTATTGCGCAATATTTTGGTGTCACTACAATTTAAGTGAAAAAACTGGCTAATGCTTGAAAAAAGGTAACGTGACATGTATAAAAGGTTCAGGGTGACAAAATCAGTGTTGCTGCATATCCCCATCTACACATGTTGAGAAATGGTATATTCTAGACTACTTTGTAAATTCATAATATTTTTGTCCCTATCCGTGCATTTTGGGACCATGTCTCCGGGTGGGCTATTTAGAGACAACGAGCCTGCTCAAGTCATCAATATGTCTTCGAGTTTTCTTTATCCATGCATATAGCTTTATTGGTATAACAAAATATGATATCACATTTATTAAAGAATGTGCTCTTATCTAGCCAATTAATGTTGATAACTAGACAATGTTAATGAATAATTAAAACGATTAAATGAATATTAGCAACATAATATGAGATATTGTTTTAGAAATGAATGAATCGTACATAGCTTGTACTGATTAACAAGGTATGAAAAAGCAAATACAATTGCAAATACAAACAAAGTTGTTAACATTACAAATGTAAACAGTGGTAGCCATCCGAGACTAATATTTCCAAAGCTTGGACGACTATTGTCAAGTTAAACACACTCCATTTTTCTTGGATACGAGGATCGTTCAATAAGTTCTGCTTGAATACATAAAAATTATGAAATTTGTATTGAATTTTACTTGGATTTTACTTTGGATTTATTACTGCCAATATTAAACGTACGTAAATGATTTAAACAAACGGAATGAATATTTCTCTATTTTTATTGCGAGCGCATTAATGTTTATGTTTCTATTACATTTGCTAAGGGCATCGTTTGAAATCATGGCTCTCTATTAAGGTTGAAAAACGCTTTTATTAAAAGAAGCAACTTTCTGATACCAGACATTCGTAAATGTTCGAATAAACATAGTTACTATATTCTTCGTTATCAGAGTAGAGTTAATGAAATTTTGCATTGATTTAATCATTAAACATTTACAGTTCTCGAAAGGCTCGAATGAAGTCACAAAAGCCTTCATTTTAAGAGACTTTTTCTCAGAACTTATTGGTCAACCTGGTACATAGTGTAGGCGTGTCTTAAGAGATAATCTGTTAGTTTTTGTGAAACTCAATATCACTGAAAGAAGATCTATGATATGGGAATAAAAATATATATTATAAAAAAGACGGAACCTTTTGAACAGCTGATACATTAAAAATGTAAACTAAAGGGAGAATAATTGACTTTTGGTTGATATACAGAAACAAAGGGAAGAAAATTAAATTCTCACTTTTCAGCCTTGTTACTAACTTGCTACTTGCTACTAAGACGTGAAATAGGAATCATGAAGAAAAATATTTCCGTGAAAATATTGGAGGGAAAGAGATGCACACGCGAGCTGTGTCGGAAACCTCTCACCTTCACACCGTCCTTGTAATTCCTTGAAATAATATGGACATCATTTCAGTCACTTATGAAGGCGGAACTAGACACTGAAACATTGGATTACATGCACAGATCTACAACTTCTCTTAAACCGAGGTAACAACTAAAAAAACATCTATGTTTGTTAGTTTATCTCGCGGTTATTTTTTTATTTCGGTTAGTCGCAGATAATAAAGCAATTAAATGTGAACTGGAATGAAAAAAAATAAGTTTTTTTGTTCATATCAGGATTTTGAATTTTACCTGTCAGAATATTCTATGTGATGGAACTATGGAAAATATGCGATATAACGTACAATCTACAACTGACATGGCCATATGGCGTCAGAGATAGTGTCAAATTAATATCAAAGCATTTTGAGTACAAAAAATCCAGACTTTTTATATCTGAAGTTCTACAAATAAATGGCTGGTTAAGAAATATTACATTCACAGGAAACGTTTCTGGTAAGTGCATTGGTATTGTTATCTAATGGAATATTATATTGCCTGATTATACATTTATACGCTTAATATACATTTGTATAATGAATATACATTATATGGTACCCATTATATGTTCTTGTATATGTACCTTATATCATCTGATTGATTTTTATTGTGCCATGCATACGGTTGGCTTAGTTTTAAAAAATCACTCAAGTTGAGTTTAATATGCTTAACTGCATTTGGGTAATTAAGCAAATCCAGTACATGGTACAATACAAGTGATAGTGACGTTAGATTTCAACTAATACCTGAAAAAATTTTCGTTAGAATTTCTTGACCATATGACCCAAATTAGGTTAAGTAGGATAAGGTGAACAAGTTATAATAATGGTATTAAACAACAACTGATGAAATTAAGAAAAGTTATGAACACGGTTAAATAGCTGGGTTTGTTTGATATTTGTTTTCAGGCATGGAAATAATATACTCGTACATTCGAGAAATTGAATTCTTAAACAAAACGACAAAACGTTTCAGTAGACATTTACATGGTTAAAATAAAAATGGTTATGCATAACTGAAATAATATTTATCCGAGTTGATTATTTTACAATTTGATGTCATGATCTAACTTGAGAAAAAACGCTTGGACTGATTTGTTTTACTGAAGTGTGTCTTTAAAATGTTCCGCATTACTTCTGAAGAACTCCTCGCATGTCAGTATGTGTCGAAAAACTCCGCGAGGAAATTTGAACTTGAACCTCAAGTTAAAACATATGAGTCGACGTTGATTGAACTCGAAGTATTCTTTGAGAGATTATGTCTCGGACATTTAGCCTGTATTCGCGAATGCAACTTTCGGCTGTCGGCTATCGGATTAACCTACTATTTTATGACCGACTTATTTAAATATGAATGGAATAGTTGCAAGTACAGGGTGACCGGAAAAAAGGAGACCATTGAAATAGGCAATATCTCCTAAAATAGACTAGTGACATCAATGAAATTTTGCATACATCAGGACAGTTCTATGGAAATTTGTTCCTGAAAGTGTCAATACAAGCAGTCAACTGGTTCAGGAGCTATGATCATTTACATAACATGCTCCAAATAGGCGCAATTGAGACCAACGCAGAGCTGGATACATTTGGCAAATACCCTTACATATTCCGACCTTGTTATGGCATTACATTTAGCATTTATTGCCACCTTTAGGTCAGCAATTGTCTCAGGATTGTTTTGGTACACATTGTCTTTCAAATTGCCCCACAAAAAGAAATCAGGTGGATTCAAATTTGAGGTGTATGGAGACGAAGCTTATCTGACCTATGGCTTCTGACTCAGTGGTCCCACCCAGTTACAGTATCATCCTAAGGAGGTTTTGGGCAGCCCTTGGTTTCCATATGGGATTTAATTGTGCCATATAGTGGTTTTAGTAACATGGCACTATGCCCAATACCTAAAGTGACTCTTAAGATTTGGTAAATCAGCACTTTGGCAACAGGATGATGAACCACATGTCAGATAACCCTTCATTGCCATTACAGCCTAGACTTGAATCCTGCTGATTTCTTTTTGTATGGATATTTGAAAGACAATCTATACCAAAACAATCCTCAGACTATTGTTGACCTAAAGAAGGCAATCACTGCTATATGTAATGCCATAATAATGCCATAGAGGGCAGAACATGTAAGGGTAGTTTGCCATATGAATCCAACTCTGCGTTGGTCTCAATTGTGCCTATTTGGAGCATGTTATGTAAATGATCATAGCTCCTGAACCAGTTGAATGCTTGTATTGAAACCTTCAGTAACAAATTTCCATATAACTGTTCCAGTGTATGCAAAATTTCATTGATGGCACTTGTCTAGTTTAGGAGAAATTGATTACTTCAATGGTCTCCTTTTTTCCGGTCACCCTGTAGTATTCATATTCAAATGAGTTGCCCATAAAATAGTAAGTTAATCCGGTAGCCGCTAGCCGCTATTTGCATTCGCGAATACAAGCTTAATCAAACAAATATCAAATTGTTTTGTTTTTATCGATTATAGTTCACCATGGTGTCACTCTTCATTGCAACTATACTCCTGGGATTTATTGGGAGTCAGGCGGTTGATGTCATCGACTATCAAAAATTGTTTGGGCTAGATGTGAATTTAAAGAAAGGTAATTTGTTATTATACAGGGTGACCCAAAAAACAGAATCCTCCAAAAATAAAATAATTTCTTATAAAACATATGTAGTCAGCTTCAATCGGCTACAATCTATGCATGACAATGTGTTATATTACATTCAATATTCTTCTTGTTACAGTCGATTAAAAAAGTGCCCACTTTTGAAAGAAAAGAAAATGAAAGATTTTCGTGTCAACCAAAAGGTCACACATCGTTTGTTTAAACCCATGTTAATTAAATTAAATTTTGTTAAGATGTGGTCAAGAAGAAATTTAACTTTATACGGTCGAGTTCTGATAATTAAAATGCTTGGTATTTCTATACTCAATGTTAATGACAAATACCCCAAACGATATATTAACAAAGGCACAACAGGTAATATACTCATTCTTATGGGGTGGAAAAGCTGAAAAGGTTAAGAGACGAACTTTATTGGTGATTGCGACGAGGGTGGTCTAAGAATGATTGACATGTTTTCCATGGAAAAAGCACTTTAACTGATGTGGCTAAAAATATTAATTGAGCTTCGGCAAAGTCATAGGAAATATATTCCAGAATTTTACTTTAAAACACTTGGGGGAATTAAGTTTTTTATACAATGTAATTTTGATATTAAAACAATAGATTGATCCTAATTTTTAACAAAGAGGTAATAATTAAACTTTTTACAGTATTATGAAAAATACATCGTACAAATGAATTTTATTGATTATTATGCATTAGTACCAGCTGTACCGAAGGAGTGGAAGCGCTTGTTGAAGCGAGACTTAACTTCCGTTTTTGAACCAAGCCTACAGACGGATCTTGTGCATTTAACATTTGGCGAAAAACCAGTGTCATTAAATGGTTTTACAGTAAAGTCAATTAAAGATAAACATGATCGTGAGTTAAATAGAACAGACTACTTTAAAATGGATTATAGCTGCACGAAACAAAATAAGATTCGACAACTCCAGTTTAAGATTCGTCATGGTATTTGTACCACAAATGCTTACTTAACGCAGATATGAATTAAACAGGATGATAAATGTAGTTACTGTCCACTGATACACTTTAAAGCACAGGTTTTGAGAGTGTAGGCGGGTTCAGATTTTTTGGAAAGCTATATTATAGAGAATTTAAAGAAATTATGTAATGTAAATCTTGATTTTAATGCCCGTGATACGGTGTTCGGAAGATTTGTAAATAATGAAAACATTTTGCTAAATAGGCTATCACTAGCAATCAAATATTATATATGTGCAAAACAATTTAATGAGGTAAATCCCAACTTGGACGAGACTCAATTTGAAAATACTATGTTTTTATATATACGAGAACTTTTGGGTATGACTGTTGCAAATTTCTGAATGAATGGAGGTGGTGTGAAAGTGGTTAAAAATATATGATTTTGTCTCAATGTTAACTTTCCGAAAATTGGACGAATTCTAAGTTCATCAATGATATCACAAATAATCAATTTTGTGTGACAAAGGGATATGTATTAAGAAATTATTACACTTTAGAGGGTTCTGTTTTTTGGGTCACCCTGTACATTTAATTTACGTGCTTATTTTGAATATGATTACAATATACCAATATCAAGAGGCTGTCACCATTATTGTCAACCTTGTTCCAAATGACGAGCGTTGCATCTAGTCGGGCTCATCTGGTATTTATATTTTAGAATTTGATGGACGATTTACGTTTTTTGCAGAAAATAGACTTGGCAATGAATAATATGAAACTAAAATATACAGGTTGGGGAAGTTTGTTCGCTGTTTGTTCTACCTCCTTGTTTGATTTTGCACATACTGACGAACTGTATTATCTAATGTTTATTAAAGATAAGTAAAACATTAAATAAAGAGTTTTTAACATTTGTATCAATCCAGTTGTCACACGAAATATCTTGGTTCACGATTGTTAATGTTATTCTTATTCTAGATCTGTGTATGGACATAGTGTTTGCACTAGACAGATCTTGTAGCGTTCCAAGGGATGATCTCGTCAATGAGTACCGTATCATTGAGAGCGCCATCAATGCTATAGAAGGATTTGGACCAGATAAAACAAGGGTAAGGAATATCATGGGGTTTAGTGTGCTAATGACCAGTTTCAGTATGTTTGTCAACCACCTAAAGTTCCCATATAGGGAGGAACAATGGGTATTTAAAGAGGATATGACCTTCCTGGTGAGACCATGGTCATGCAACCACACATTGACATTGACAAAGATGCAACTCATGCACGAAACGTCTTAAAACAATAATCATGAGATTTTGGAAGTCATGAATACACATTTTCCAGTGGTCCTTTAATTAGGAATATCCAATTATGATAGCAAATTTTCTGATTGTAGGTCGGGCTTATCACATTTGATTATGGAGCCAGAGTCGTGTTTGGTTTTGACGATGCGGAGACCTCCACCAGGGAGGGCCTGCTTGCTAAACTCGATGAATTGAAAAGAGATACAACTCCCCCGGAGAAGTGTAAGACGTACACGTGGGAAGCACTGAAATTGGCAAGGGAAGATCCTAAGCTCTTTGGTTAGTGCTAGAATGCATTTTTGGGATTATATCCCAGGGAAATATTTATAGTACTACTGTGATAAACCCTGTTCTTACAAAGAAAAATGATTGCAATATTATTTTCCTTATTTATAGGAGGATCAGATAAAAACAGCGAACGAGCAAGAATTCTCATGCTTGTTACAGACGGTATACCTTATGACAAGGAAGGGGTGTGTATTATCTTGTCTATATTATTACCAGTCTCTATAATGATCTGAGTCTACTTTTGTTGCGGAAAAAAGGAGATATCAATTTATTTGAAAACACAAAAAGGCCCAAAAACACGCGGTCCTAACTTTGACCTACCGGATGTTTGAAAATCAAGGATTACGAGTCTGATACTGCACCGTTTTCTTCAAACTTATTCCATTCAAAGCATAACAAAAATCCTTTTCTGATGGTACATTTTTTTCTTAAACAGAGTCTCTACTTTCAGCGGCATTTTGGTCCCCAGCTGTAATAAGGCCTTCTAACAGCTGGGGACCAAAACGCTGCTAGAACGAGGGACTCTTTACAATAAAGTAATGCACCGACAGAAAGGCAATTTTGTTTTGCTTTTAATGGTATAAGTTTGAAGAAAAACGGTGCAGTATGAGACTCGCAATCCTTGATTTTCAAGCATCTGGTAGGTCAAAAATTCAAATTAACGATCGAAGTTAGTACCGCGTGAAAAAGGCTGAACTGCCACACAAAATATATCTTGGGCCTTTAGGTTTATGTGTCATTATTACTACATTCGCCCACTATAAATGGAAATCTAGGAGTAAATAGAGAGATTTCGCAACTCACTTATAGCATGTTTATTGTTGAAGTATAACATATAACTTATGAAGCGTTTGATTACGTCATAATTTATTGCGCAGCCACCTTTCACCTTTCCACAAAGTAAGCTCATGAATATAATAATGAGCTGCTTAAAAATCAGTGACGTCAATGAGAGAAACTTTTTCCCGCGAAAAACAAATCCAATTGAGTTTACATGTAAATCCTCGGTTGATTATTGTAAGTTTTACCTCTTCAAATGTGCAAGTAATCAGTAAATTATTGACGGATTTTTATTGAACGTCAAATTGACATTTATTTACGCCATCTAAGCGATTTATATATTTCTGTTCATAATGAGTAAATAATTTAAAGAGAATTACTCCCCGTTTCAATAATGATAGGAACTGGATGTGAACAGATGAAATTATCATTATCATTAGTTCACCAACATTATAACATGTCTCTCATGCATAAAGATATATACAGGGTGGGCCAAAAAACGCCACTTTTTTTCAAGACACTATAACTTTTTTATTTTCCAACCTACATACCCCAAATTTTGCAGTTATATAGTGCCAAGGGTTCTTAGTAATGATATGATGTAACAAGTCCTTCAACTGGGATTATATTTGATCTAAAAAAAAGTCCAGTTCGTCCGCCAACCTATTTGATGATAGATTTTAGTTTTAGTCGCCTTGCTGATATCGCAGTATCAATGAAATGCTAGCAATATTTTTTTCAACGTGTCTTAATTGCCAGAGTAATTTTTTAGATTGGGTGCCTTCATACCTTCTCCTGGAGACCTCCCCATACCCTATACTCACTGGGGTTTGCAATAGGGCTTTTTAGCTTGGCGGTCATCAGGGCGTATCAGTTCAGGAACATTTTGCAAATTATGCTTACTTCTCATGGCACACCACATGTTTAAGTGAGACGCTGGTGACATATTTTATTCAAGTAGAAGTGTATAATTCATGATCCATGGCTAGATAACAACCTCAAGTTTTATTTAGTATGCAAATTATGATTTTCTATTAGTTATAGCATTTTGAAAAAAAGTGGCGTTTTTGTTGGCCCACCCTGTAGATAGGCAATCTATTTTAAGTTAATCTTCAGTGTCATTTGATGAATGACCTGTTCAAATGAAAAACATTTGCTCTTACTCATTAATTATAATGCTCTTATTCATTAAATCATTGACACTACTTCCATAATTTAATCAACTAAACGATTACAATTCCTATTTATTTCTGCATGTCATATCAGATCGTATCTTGAAAATATTATACTTGAAAACATCAGGACATAGAATTGATATCTTGGAGGAGCGTGACATATATAGAGATTATCCTATATGAGGTTCAGGATATTGGGATTATCCCGAGGCAAATATAATATATCTGCCCGAGGGCCGCAGGTTCCCAGGGAAAATATATTATATTGGCCAAGGGATAATCCCAATATCCTGAACCGACTATAGGATAATATGTTTATCCCATACCAATCTTGGTCATCTGGTTCACATTGTGCAATCGTGGAAATATTTTACAATATTCATGTCTAGTTTTGTTTTCTTGGCCGTGGGCGGGTTTGTCTGTTCCCTCAAATATTCCCATAATTATTTTCTCGAATTTTTGATTGATTAAGTGGATGCTCCTTCCCTTTTTTAAACCATCAAACAGATCCCGATTGTCTGTGTTTCCTCCATTGTCGTTAACAGTCATTACGCGAACGTTACAAATTATTATAGGAACATCCTATGGTTTTGAAAACATATCATTTATATCCATGAGTGGATATTGATATCTTCATGAGTGAGCGCAGCGAATGAGTGAAGATATTTGTATCCATGAGTGGATATAATTGATATTTTTTGAAAAACCATAGGATTGTCCGTTTATCCCATGGGAAATCATCATCAGCGAAAAAAGTTGAAAAATATAATTTGAGAAAAAATTTGAAAAAATAATTGAAAAATCTTTGAAAAATGTTGAATAAATTTTTTGAAATTTTTAAATTTTAAAAAATATTTTTGAAAAACTTCGAAACCATCGAATATCACTTTTCAAACCATCGAATATCACTTTTCAAACCATCGAATATCAATTTTTAAGACGTGACATTTATGGTGTTTAAACTGCTTCTTTATTCGGTACATTAATATTCCATAAATACCAAATAAAACAAACAATTTACCAAACCTTTACCCAATCTATCGAATGTTTTTTTTATTTTATCAAATGTAATAATCTATACAATTTATATTCGCTAAATAGTTTCACTTGTTCTTTGTATTGGCATTCACATTTGATATTTATACATGTATTTGTGTGATGCAGCGAATCAATTTGTTTTCCTTAACGCACGTATAATTCAATTAATTATTTGTACATTCGGTATTTAAATTATTTATATTCGGTAAATACCGAATGCCACATTCGATAAATTTCGTTATTTTTCGATAATTTACGAGACTTTCAGTCACGTGATATATTTGTACGATGTAGAATAGCTGCGCGGCCATTTTGCAAATCTCGAAGTCACGTGACAAAATATCGAACAACAACGCAAGTTATCGAATATTACTTTATTGCATTCGGTAAATAGCAAATTAGCTTTCGGTAAAATGCATTAACTATGTCATAGAAAAATAAACCATTTGGTAAATATAGGCAAACTTATTTCGGTAGGATTGAAACAAAAATTCAATATTGTGCATATACTGTGTTACTCTTAAGGAATACCATAACAATTTACGCCAAAAAATATCATTTAACGAATGAAATATGTAATTTAATGCACATAGTATTAAGTGATTGGCTATTTTGAAAACTTAATTTGCTGTAACAAACATATAAACGTTTTTACCGAATGGAAAAATGATTTAGCGAATATAAATGTTTCATATATCGAATATATTTGAATTTAATGAATAAAGAAGCAAAAATAATGCCATAGACATTCGATAGTTTAAAAGTGATATTCGATGGTTTGTGAATTTTTTGCTAAAATATGATATATTGATCCACATATCAAATATATCTTCATGTGATATTCGTTCTATATCCTTGCAACCATGGGATAAGAACAATTACCCCATACTTCGTAGTGTTATAACATGCGGGAATATAATCGATATCTGAGGTGAGCGGGTGATATATACATGTGTATCTCATACTTGAGTGGGTTTCGGGTAGATATCACCCGGGAATATATATCGTATCTGAGGAGCGGGCAGGATATATTGTATATGTCCCGCTCCAGGCCAAATGCGGGCAGATATAATATATCCATCCCGCTCCCGGGAATTTTTCAAAAGTTTAAAAAAGTTTAAATATCAAAAGTTTTAATTTTAAAATTTAATTTTTTTAAGTTTAAATGTTACAATTTCATTGTATGGAACAAAAAGAATATTACGAAAATGTTGAATATAAATATCTTGTCATTTGAAAAAGGTGGAAAAGGTTATATCTACCCTAAACCCACTCAAGTATGAGATACACCAGTTATGCACGGTCGGTTTGGATACATTGTATATCCCTCGGGATATTCCCTGTATCCAAAACCTCCCAGTGCATAACCCCTATATATCTCCCGCTGAGGTGAGCGGGAGATATATATGAATATACGGGAAAATCCTCTAGTATGATGAAAATATGCTTTAGCCATGGACTTACATAAGCTCTGTTAGTCCTTGCTTTACTTAAAATGCAGCCCAATTATAATCTAGTCTTTTATTTTAATTTAATTAGAATAGACAGGATATGGCGGATAACACACTTGCAGAGGGGGCTTCAAATGACGCAGACGGTATAAAAACCATGGTTTTCACAGTCAAAAACAAGAAAGGAGTTTTACCTCCAAAAGACTTTTTCGAACAACTGGCGTACTCAATGCGTTGGATGTTCCAAGTCGAAAATGAATTGGTTGAAGACTTCGGGGCATTTGTCTTCCCTCTACTTGCCAGATTTACTTGTCCATGTGAGTACAGGGTGCTTTATATGTATCCACCCCCTCTAAAATCATATATGTAGCATTGCTACCCTAACATGTTATATATCATTTTGTTCCGCATAGAAAGTTACTCAAAATTTCAAAGTTTTAGAATCCAGGGTTGTCTTTGTAAAAATACAATAATGTATCAGAGTATGTGGATACGGAGTCATTTAGGAGCAATTTCTGGTCATTTTGAGGGCAATTTAAACGAAAATGTTGGTTTCGATATATTGCACATTTCTAGCAGTTGTTATCATCACAGAGTTAAGTTCACGTGTCTATGGCAGTTATTCACACAAATAGACAGGATTCATGCAGTGACTCGTAGGGAGGCCAAAGACCATGGTACCTACTTAATCACTAAAAAGAAACCAGATCACCGGACTGGGTCCAAAAATACTTACAAAAATGCTTATAAATTACTCCATACTCACATACTTTGATACGTTGTATCTTTTTCAGGGAAACCCTTCGATTTTGAAACTTTGCAATCTTTTGTAACTTTTCATAAAAAAGAAAATGATATATGCCGATAATGTTACTTTTGTATTTATATTAATATCAAGGAAATTGAAATAAATTGAAAAAAATATATATATATGACATGAAAGCGTGGCAATGCTACATGTATGAGTTTAGAGGGGATGGCATGCATATTTATCTATTGCAGGATTTACTAAACAGACTTCATTTTTGTTGATCGCTTACAATAAAGGTTTTTAATAACGTCGATTTAGATACAGCACATTGAGGTGTAGTCATCCAAAACACATATCGTTAACACTGACGAGAGGCAAAACAATTTTTGGGGAAATTAATTATTGAGCCCATCTTTTTAAAAATTGAAGCCCAATTTAATGAAAATGACGCCACATTAGATGTTGGCTTTGCTCGAATCAAAAGTCCCGCGCGGAAAGATACAAAAGCAAAGGTTCTCTGGGATCACCAAATCAAATCAGCATTTCATGGCTGGGAAAATTGAGATGTCATGGACCATGGTTTGTTATGATGGATCAATGACATTTGCTTCAAAATAGTTCTTCTGTAAAAGCGTAACACACGTCTAAAGCATTTAAAAATAACAAACTAACAAAATAATGGTATTTACAGGCAAATGGCATTTATTTTTGAAAAATGTCATGTCAACATCTTCATTTTAGTATTTGACATTTTCGTAGTAACTTCATGATCAATGAATATCAGATCTCGGCCGATTCCACAGAGCCATGCATGTTATTTATATTTTCATAATATGTTTGTCCTCATTGTATTTTTTTGATTTGTAGATAAATGTAACGAAGCGATTGACTTGATTTACGTGATGGATCGCAGTATTAGCATAACGACACCAAATATAAAGAAAATGAAAGACTTCTACAAAGTCGTGACTGAGTCATTTTCTATTGGCGATATACGATCTCAGGCAGACCCGAAGGCTTCGGTCGCTATGTTAAGCTACAATCGCGATGTCTACAGGCATTTCACAGGTTTGGATTGTATGGATGCCACATGCGTGCTGGGCAAGATAGATCAGGTCCCCAACACTCATGAAGACTTTACTGTTACAAACCTTGCCCTTCAAGAGGTACAGGAAATCGTGAATCAGTTTACGAGGAATGGGTTCAACGGTATCCATCCAGTGGTTGTTTTGCAAACCGACGGTAATACATGGCAAGTCGGTGCCAAAAGTATTTCATCGCCAAAAGTTTCAATTGCTGTTGCTGATGCACTTCGTGCTAAAGGTATCGATACAGTCGTAGTCGCTGCACCCAACTACAGAGAGGACCCGGGATTAGTAGAACTGAAGGGGATCGCCAGTCACTACGTGTTTGACCTACAGAGTAGTCTTACCTCCTTCGATGATCTAATCCCAATTGCCCCAAAACTTGTTAAACTCGTTTGTGACATGTACAAACAGAATAGTGAAAACGAGGTATAAATGACCCACTATTTGTGCATAGACAAATATTTCGATGCTAACATAAAATCTCTTGTAAACTTAAACGTTCAGGAAATAAAATATTTTGTCCCAACAATGTATTTGATATGTTTGAGTAAAAGGCATATTCCTAATGCATGACGCTGAATTGACGTGAATCGTTTTAAAATGTATTTCTTTAGAAATGAGTCAATATTGCCCTCTTTATATAAAATTAATACCGTGGGTACTGGGCTCACATGGTGACAGAAAAAACGGATATAATTTTTTGCTGATTTTTTGGAACAAAATTATTTCAAGCCACTTGCCACTATTTTGGACTGACGGAGAGACAGATGGACAAATCGATGTTAAGTAAAATTGCTGAAAAAAAAACGGATATAATTTTTTTTCAATTATTTGGAACAAAATTATTTCATACAACTACCCTTTACAGTGACATGGCTTTTTGCAATGCAAGACACCTGAAAATATTTGTGTAGCTAGGAAATGGGCCAAAATTGAATTTCGAGAGACAAAAATGACGACCATTTTGAAATCAGGCAAGCTTTTGAACCAGGAGTCAAAGGGGAGTTTTTTTGTATTGATGTTGAACAAAAATAACGTGAAACTGGAATCCTATCGACAGAGGTTTTAAGTAAATGGTCCAAAAGAGGATTTCGCGAGACAGATGAACAAATCAATGTTAACTAAAATGGCTGAAAATAAAAAAAACAGATATTGCCGATTTTTTGTAACAAAATTATTTCATACAACTACTCTTTACAGTGACATGGCTTTTTACAATGCAGGACAGCTGAAATTATTTGTAAAGCTAGGAAATGGGCAAAAAGTGAATTTCGCGGAACAAGAATGGCAACCATTTTGAAAATAGGCGAGCTTTTGAACCAAGAGCCATAGGAGAGTTTTTTGTATTGATGTTGAACAAAATTTACTTAAAACGAGAATCCTATCGACAGAGGGTTTAAGGTAAATGGTCCAAAAGTGGATTTTGCGAGACAGATGGACAAATCAATGTTAACTAAAATGGCTGAAAATAAAAAAATTGATGTAATTTTTCGCTGATTTCTCGTAACAAAATTATTTCATACATCTTCTCTTTACATTGACATGGATTTTTACAATGTAGGACACTTGAAATTATTTGTAAAGCTAGGAAACGGGTCAAAAGTGAATTTCGCGAGACAAAAATGGCGGCCATTTTGAAAATAGGCGAGCTTTTGAACCAGGAGTCATAGGGGGGTTTTCTGTATTGATGTTGAAAAGAAATAACTTAAAACAGGAATCCTATCGACAGAGGTTTTAAAACGTGCCACTGTTATTGACGAAAAGTGGATTTCGCGAGTCAGATAGACAAATCAATGTTAACTAAAATGGCTAAAAATAAAAAAATGCATATAATTTTTCGCTGATTTTTTGTAACAATATTATAACATATATCTACCCTTTACATTGACATGGATTTTTACAGTGTAGGACACCTGAAATTATTTGTAAAGCTAGGAAATGGGTCAAAAGTGAATTTCGTGAGACAAAAGTGACTGCCATTTTGAAAATAGGCGAGCTTTTGAACCAGGAGTCATAGGGGAGTTTTCTGTATTGATCTTGAACAGAAATAACTTAAAACAGGAATCCTACCGACAGAGGTTTTAAAGGAAATGGGTTAAAAGTGAATTTCGCGAGACAAAAGTGACGGCCATTTTGAAAATAGGCGAGCTTTTGAACCAGGAGTCATAGGGGAGTTTTCTGTATTGATCTTGAACAGAAATAACTTAAAACAGGAATCCTATCGACAGAGGTTTTAAAACGTGCCACTATTGTTTGACGGACAGACGGACGGACGGACGGACGGACGGACAGACAGACGGACAAGTGAGTGATTGCAAAAGCTCACCATGTGAGCTAAAAATACAAAGATTATACTCAAGTTTGGACGAAGTGATATGATAGTGATTCGTCAGACAATACCATGCGTATTTTGGCATGGGAACATTCATTGAAATGGTAGAGAATTTTGGATATTGGCCGATGCCTGACTGAGTCACATTTGAATATTTGAAGACAATTTTGAACAAAAAATCTCAATCGATCGGGCGCCAGGCGATGAATCGGACGAAATGAGACTAATGCTTAAAACGGGAAATGAAAATGTTCTTCGAGTACTTTAAAGATTCTCGCAATCTTTATCCAATCAGCGTTTGCGAGTGTGTCGGCTCACGTATAAAAGGCGAATCCAACTCAAATCCATGCAGGGGTGTATGAGGTACTCGAATAGGAAAGAGCTCGTGAAATCTGAATTTATATGCACATGGTCAATGTTAACACATGTTTGGAGTTATTGAAGAAAATGTGATATGGGTGTGGTTCCGAATTTGAAGTCATTGCTGGAAAATATGATTTTAATACGTGAAATTATATCTATAAATACAGCACTAAAAATAACAGTACACATGAAGTACATGTATGATCGTGTTCAGAAATGTTTGAAACCCTTACGGAAAATTCCGTCTGCATTTTGTCACCATTGCTCTTTCTTCCCGCATTCTAGTGCTGTTTGAATGAATATATTAATTAATGTATTTCTAACTAAAATATATCACATTTTTTTATAAACCACAAACATTTAGATCATAAAAAAATTATTCAATACTTGAGTTAGCACGATATGCAAGGGTGACTAAGTTGACACAGTAAATGACCACTGATATTGTGTTAGTCCATGCACACAGCGTATTCTGCTAAAGCCATAAGAAGTAGATTCTTTGCTTTGCGTCCCCTTGCTTGTACGATTTTGAGTAAATCAGAAAAAACAAACACATCAAAATAGCAATCACAAGGGTCTGAAAGTACCATTACATTTCGTTCAATCAGAATCAGACGAAATGGCGGATAATTTGGTGTGCGTCAAAATTGACAGTGTTATAATTATTTTGGCATACATTGTGTATTTTCTTATTTTTTCCCCTTGAAGTTTAAATATATTGTATAAAATGTATAGATATGTTTTGTAATCACTGCAAATTGGTATGTCATCCCTTTTTATTCCCATAAAATGTATACATTTCTCAGCAAACAAGTTTGTGTTTTTTTCTTGAGTTTGTGTTTGTTTTCCTTGTACCCTTGCATGATTTGGATTTTGCCAGGACGCAAAACAAAGAATCTACTTCTTATGGCCTAATACACATTTGCTAACACCCCCACTTTCAAAGTGAAGTAACTAATTGGTTTATGTTTACGTTTTAATGTGTTTTGGGTTCCTTGTTACAGCAAGGGGAGCCAGTAAAGTAGACTAACATATTTGCATGGCAAGTTTTGATCGAATATGTGAGACACTTTAAACAATTTTTATTCCTCATCAACAAGGAATTACCTAATGTATTATTATTGATGAGCCATTTAAAGAGGGCAGAATAACTTAACGTGAATAATAAAATAGACGTTCCATAACATAACATTCTGAGTTCCTGAATCTCTTTATTCATGTTATTATATCATTACGCAAGATCTCATTTATTTCTTACAATAGGCGTTGGAAAATCACCACCGATGTAACAAAAACAAACAACTGTTTTCTCCTGTTTTGATCCCTGATATTGAATGATATAGGTCATAATTGGACATTGCTAAAAATTAACCGCTCGGTTGTGGTTGATTGGGATAAACAACTATCTTATTCTAGATTAAAAGTCGTATCAGATCTAGGAAGATGGCATTGAAAATCAAAAGTCGTCTTGGCCACAATTTTGGGCCCATATTGGGTATTTTGGGCCCTCACTATCCTCAAAAATACCCAAAGTATATTTTATTTGAAAAAAAAGACTTTTACAATAATGCATTACTTTTTTATGAATATGGTTACCATATTTTTTATTTGGGAGAATTTAGATATCTGTTCCCTATTTTTGCACTTTGAAACATAAACAACGTCACAAATTGATAACATATCGTGGCTCTTTGGGGAGATATAATTATGGCTATTTGAGATTGTAAGGAATTCATTTGTAGGTCAATTTTGTCACTCCTATAGATCTGATTCTGCTTTCAAATAATGTAACTTCAATAACGTTTATGATACTTTTGGTAATTGGTATAAAATGCAATAATCAGAATATGATATCTAACAAAGGCATCATGAAGTGATTTCTGGATTACTCCTTTTCGTCAAAAAAACGTCAGCTTTGTCACAATTGACGTCTGTTGATTCCCCATTTGTCATAGAACATGCTACTTTGCATCTGAATTCATCGTAATGTGCGTTGGTGTATAAAGCAACGCAGTTTTCACAACTTTTCTGGCAGGTATTTACGTCGAATCGCCGTTTTTCCATTGTATCATGATCAAGAACCGATCTTTTTCCTACGTGGTAATCTATGTTCTCACAGTCCATATCGATTGTTTTACCAAGGGATTTGGCGCATCCTATCGCACAATTCTCGCCGTCATAGTTCTGCTTGCCCCAAAAGCCAACACACATGCCGCATCCAAGAATGCATCGACGAACCATCGGATGTTGTTTCTCGCAGGTTACTATAGCGACCAATGCGGTTGCTATGAGACAAACATATTGCATTTTTGTCATCTGAAAATACATTGATTACAATTTACAGTAGGCCTTTTTAACAGAAACATGCTATCCAGAGACAAACCAAGTTGGCGGATCAGGAGAACATATTGAAAAAATTTTGTGACGAAAGTGTGAGATCGGGGATTCAGCTAGACATATTTCAACGGCAAAGTTCTTACAAATTGTTTCTATTTCAACGGCAAAGTTCTTACAAATTGTTTCTATTTCAACGGCAAAGTTCTTACAAATTGTTTCTATTTCAACGGCAAAGGTCTAACAAATTGTTTCTAAGTTCTAACAAATTGTTTCTATTTCAACGGCAAAGTTCTAACAAATTGTTTCTAAGTTCTAACAAATTGTTTCTATTTCAACGGCAAAGTTCTAACAAATTGTTTCTATTTCAACGGCAAAGTTCTAACAAATTGTTTCTAAGTTCTAACAAATTGTTTCTATTTCAACGGCAAAGTTCTAACAAATTGTTTCTATTTCAACGGCAAAGTTCTAACAAATTGTTTCTAAGTTCTAACAAATTGTTTCTATTTCAACGGCAAAGTTCTAACAAATTGTTTCTATTTCAACGGCAAAGTTCTAACAAAGTGTTTCTAAGTTCTAACAAATTGTTTCTATTTCAACGGCAAAGTTCTAACAAATTGTTTCTATTTCAACGGCAAAGTTCTAACAAATTGTTTCTAAGTTCTAACAAATTGTTTCTATTTCAACGGCAAAGTTCTAACAAATTGTTTCTAAGTTCTAACAAATTGTTTCTATTTCAACGGCAAAGTTCTTACAAATTGTTTCTATTTCAACGGCAAAGTTCTTACAAATTGTTTCTATTTCAACGGCAAAGTTCTAACAAATTGTTTCTATTTCAACGGCAAAGTTCTTACAAATTGTTTCTATTTCAACGGCAAAGTTCTTACAAATTGTTTTGTGTCGCCCCCCCCCCCTAAAAAAGTCAGAATTTAACTGGAAATCAAAATAGATAGTTATGGATTGTCAATAATACATTGTATATGCTGAAATCAGACCTAGAATTTTCTTACGCTCTGAAATTGTCAGAATGCACCAAATGATGTTCAATTTTCAAAATTTTCTGGGGGGGCCAGACCAGACCCCCTTATTCTCACTCTGATATGGGTCAGAATTTACCAAATGATGTTCAACTTTCAAAGTTTTCTGGGGGAAGAACCCCCCAAATTCGCCTATTCTCGTGTTTGTTCGCTGCGCTCACTCACGCGGTTCGCTTAGCTCAAAGTAGAGTTATTATCAAACCCCCAACACAAATTCCTGGATTCGACATTGCTCTTGAGATAATAATTAAATAATTTCCAAAGAATCATGTTTGGTGTGGTTCGTAATTGGTTAGATTAAAGACTTTATTTCGATGGTAGAACATTATTAACTGTGGGTATTAAGACACTTTGTTTGATGGTTGTTCCAAAGGAATTTAGTCAAGGTGTTCGTTTAAATATACAGTTCATGAAAATCTCGTCTCGTCTGGTTAAAAATTAAAACTTGGCCATGTATGCCAACGGCTAATGTTCATAACGAATAAGGATTACATTTCATTAACTCTGTGTTGCCTGACTTTTGGTTGCTATGGCAACCATTTCTAATTGAATATTTCTGTTACTAGTATACTAAATTTTGCTCTATTAATTGAACATTGTATGTCGCACTTTCTCTAAAAGATTATATAAAAATATAAAGAATAAATTGAAAAATAGAAAAATTAGAGAATTATAATAAGAACTTCATGATCAACCTTCGTATACTAAGAAAAACAATAGTACCGTGGGTACTGGACTCACATGGTGTTGTTTACTAGTTTAAGTTTAAAGTTTAAAAATTATCCAGAATGTTCAAAGACTAAGCATGTGTACAATTTTATACCAAGAAACATCCCTGTAAGTTTTAGATTGATCCATGAAATCGTTTGACTCAAACTTAACAGACAATATTTAAGATCGGAAAATCCAAAAATGGCCGAAAATAAAAAAAAACTGATATAAATTTTTGCCGATTTAGTTTTACAAAATTAATTCATAAAACTACTATTTACAGTGACATGGGTTTTTACAATACGAAAATAATTTAAAACGGGAATCATATCGTGCCACTATTGTTGCCGGACAGACGGGTAGACGGCTGGACAGACAGACAGACGGACAAGTGAGCGATTGCAAAAGCTCACCATGTGAGCTAATAATAAAAAGGAGTACACACCAGGGTCACCTGATTATCCAGTCTAACACGGAGTTTTGCTGTAATTAACATGCTAAAGCTCTGTGATTTATCAAATATGCAGAAAGAAGATGATTTTTAGAAATAATTGGACACATCGCATGAGTTATTCAATTCATTAAAGACTTTTTCTGAAAGCACTGGCGTTATATTATGAAAAGCGTCTTAAGTCTTTATATAATGATCGATCAGCTACGTCATGTTATGTCCAATGTAATTTTGTTGCATGCTTTTAATCAACTTCTAAAATCAATGTGTACTAACTAACTTAAATATATCATACATGATATATTTCTTTACATCTAAAATAAATTAGATGATGTATAAAGGTGGACGGTATTGAAAGAAGTAGTATACTAGTGTCTTCTCCATTTGTTTTCGGCTTTGAAATGTTAAAGATCGATACAAAAACAGGGTCTGCACAAATGATCGAATCCTTCTGGAATCTCTTGAAAAGTTTAATTAAATACAGGTCTATAGATAGGCATGTGACATGCATTTTATCAGCATAGAAAATTGGCATAACATTCCTTTAAGGTAATGTATTGAACAACCTCGGCTTTAAAATACACGATCACAGTGACGATGGCGTCATGTGTAAAAAGGTACCAGAAATATGTCAGGGTCTATCCTAAATCCTCATTAAACCTTCAAAACTCAGTTCGATGCTATTGACCAAGGTTGATAGATAAATTTTCAATATTTTTATTATTGGCTTTCGTTTTACGGCTAATATTATAATGTACGATTAATCTGTGTAATGATGTGATAAAGAATTACACCTGCCACGCACCCTGTTATTCTTACCCATCGGTTACTATAGCACTCATATCATCCACAATATTTTACGCAGTACTACGACGTTTTGTTTTTTTGTTTTTTTCATATGACTTTATTTCCTTCAGTGTAACAATTAATTAACATTACATTTACAAAAGGAAGATATGATAAATAAATGTTTGTTGTGTTGTCCTACAGTCATGTGGTAAAAAGTTAACATGATATTTTGAGTAAAACTGCAGTTTGGTTCAATGCAAGGTGTTTTTTGTTTATGATGAACAGTTGAATATTCAAGATATGCAGACTAAATTTCAACAAGAATAGATAAAACTTGAAGTAAAAATTATTAGATTTTTGGACGACCCTCGTTTGTCTGAGTTTACGTTCAAATAAAAACTTAGTACTGGACGATCGCTGTTACCCCTCTCTTCTCGAAATTGTGAGAAACCTTTCTTATTGACATTTATTAGATTTCCTGGAAATGGAGAAACAAAATGATAGCAAGATGACTGTTTTTCAATACGCAAATAACATACATATTCTTCCAAAAGCTTTACATTCCGAATAGTAGCGTAAATTGTGCCGTATCTGAACTATGAATATTTCTCAATGAAATATTCATATTTCTCAATGAGTTCTTGCCAATTCATCAATTATTTCCAAGTAATATATAGTGTTTCACGTGGTTCATATCCACTAATGCCCGTTAGCTCTAAGATACGATTCAACATTAGTCATAACTTTTTGGTTGTCTTTCTCTTTTTAAGGCAATAAATGCAGGTACTGAAAGAAATACATCTAAGCAGCTCAACAGCTCAGAAAATTAACTACAATATTATTTCAATCAATTGATTCTCTTATTATCATTTAACGCACTGTTTCTTCGCAGACTTCTAGTCGGCAGTGATATTTGCAGCTGCCAGAGTGGTTATGGGACTCGATATATGCTACTAACCTTACGTTAAAGTGTGCGCCTGACCCGGCTACGTATAGCACAGAGTTTATACTGGCGGATTAGACTAGTTCATTTTTTATATGTGTGTGAAAGCTTTCTCTTATTTGCGTTTTTTCGTTTAGTACGGTTTTGTTATAATTGTCGAGGTCATATAACCGGGATAAAACAATGATTATCGTTGACTGCGCACACACAAAACATACGTTGAGTGAACAGTGTTATTACAAACAACAGGCTTTAGAATACAAAGCGTAGTGTGATAATAAGCTGCACACTACCACTGCTGCATGTACATATTACTAATTTACTAGGGCTCCCAAAGAGTGGATAGGGAGGTTGTGTTTGTCACTTTTAAATTTTACATTTCAAAATTGTCATTTTACATGTCATAATTTGTTGGTTTCATTCGTTTAGCCAATCAAAACATTGTAAAACAATAAATTGTCTGTTACGTACAATCAATTTTGTTCAGTTTTGATTAGTTGTCAGAATAAAGTTACGTTCATCTGAATCCATGTATGAAAACAAAAATCCTATTTTCACTTCAAAATACTTCAGTGAGATGAAGGCTCGGAATTGTCACATGCAATAACTTATTGTCGTATTCGTTATTTTATCTTCTCGATAGTAGCATTAATGCCGTGGTCACATTTGCTCCGATTTTTAGTACGGCGCCCGGCCGATTGAGTATTGTGCTCAAAATTGTATTCAATTTTGAACAAAATACTCAATCGGCCGGGCGCCGGTGCTGAAAATCGGAGCATATGTGACCACGGCATTAGTCGCACATTTGATGCCAGGTCACCTTGTCGCGTACCTCTTGGGGAACCCCACATTTATGTGTGTACTCATGGAAGTAAATTCCCCGGTGTAGCCGAGAGCCACAAACTTTTCAACAGGTTCGAAATGACCAATTTCTCTCATATATACTCTAAATATTTTATTATTTAGCACCTACAAAGTATTGCTAATAACCATATGTAATTTCAATAAGGAAACTTATCTGGCTACATATAAATTCAATATCAACACTAGC